CCGTAACCAAGCCAGTCTACGCACAATTGAGAATCTCCTAACGGATGTCTCGAAAGGCGAGGGTGACAGCTAGAGGGAGCCGGTCGTAGTCTCTGCCACAAAAGACCTGGGACGCGTGGCGGGACTTGAAACTAGGATAGAGACAATTCTAGGTATGGAGGTCTGGACTCAGACGGGGGGGGGGGGGGGGGGGGCCTTATGGAAGTTGCAATGTGATACTCCTTGGCCAAGATGACAACTACTAAAGTGTGGAGATACTAAGTTGGCATAGATAGAGTGTATGACGATTGATAATCTCCGTGGGGTGAAGGATGAAGAATTCATTCACAGAAACCCACACGCTGTGCTCTACATTTGTCAGTGGTTGTGTGGTACGGCTAGACTACGACAAGAATCTTTTTGATACACGGCGACTTCACAAGCAACAATTCACCGTTAGGCAGCAGGCAGGGAGAAGGAAAAGTCGTGCGCTAGTGGATCAGAAAACAGTGCTTTTGAATAACGTCGTAGGTATCAAGTGCGCAGCTACAGCGGCGTTGACTGCCCATGTCCAGTCATCACAGGAGTTGCCTCCCACCAAGGTCCTTCTGAACTTCTTACAATCTTCTAAGGATATCCTCGACAACCTCGTCGGTCTTGGCGGAGCCACCCAGGTCGGGGCTCAGCAGCTTGCCCTCCTCCAGGTTGGCGTCGACAGCGGCGTAGATCTTGGCGGCGGCGGTCTCCTCGTTGAGGAACTCGAGCATCAGGGCAGCGCTGCGCAGGGTGGCGATGGGGTTGGCAATGTTCTGGCCCTGGATGTCGGGGGCGCTGCCGTGGCAAGGCTCACCGATGGCGAAGCCCTCGCCGACGTTGGCGCTGGGAACGAGGCCGAGAGAACCGACAAGAGCGGCGGCGCCGTCGGACAGGATGTCACCGTACAGGTTGGGGGCAACGATGACGTCGTAGTCCTCGGGCTGGCGGAAGAGCTTGTAAACCATGGAGTCGACGATCTGCTCCTCGACCTTGACGTTGGTGAAGCGGGGGACGGCGAGGGCCTTCTTGGAGGTGCCGCGGAAGAGGCCGTCGGTCTGGGAGAGGACGTTGGACTTGTGGGTGATGGTGACGAGGGGGCCCTTGTGGATGCTGGCAGCACCGCTCTCGCGGATCTTCTGGCGACGCAGGGCAATCTCACCGGCCATGGTGGCGATGCGGTGGGAGGCGTTCTCGCTGATGCGCTTGATGGCCTCGGCGACCTTGCCGTTGGGGCCGTCGTAGGTCTTCTCCTCCTTGACGTACAAGTCCTCGGTGTTCTCGCGGACAATGACCATGTCGATGGGCTTGGGGGCAGTCAGGACGGTCTTGACGGGGCGGACGTTGGCGTAGAGGTCGAGCTTCTTGCGCAGGGCGACAATGGGAGAGGAGTAGCCCTTGACGGGGGTGGTCGGGGAGCTCACGGCACCGAAGAGGGCGCCATCGCACTCCTTCTTGAGGATCTCGACGGTCTTGTCGGGGAGAGCGGCGCCGGTCTGCTCAAAAGTCTCGAAACCGGCCTTGAGGTCGGTGAACTCGAACTTGAGGCCGAGGTAAGAGGGGAGGGCCTCGAGCACACGGCGGCCGGCGGGGATGACCTCCTTGCCGATGCCGTCACCGGGGATAAGACCTAAGTGACAATCAGAAAACGATCGATTGGATATACAAACAGGTCAATTGAAATATTTCAAATGTATCTTACCGATTCTAAGAGTTCTGACAGACATGGTGGGCGTCAATGAGTGGCCAGAAAGGGTTGGTTATCTGCTGGGTGAAGAATGGAAGCTCGACTCATTCACAGCCAAGACGTAAAAAAAAAAAAAGGTACGGTCGATATCGGAGCTACGTGCCAGCCACACCGAGAGCCGTTCGGCGAGCGACCAACGGGCGGCCGTTCTCGCGGTGCAGGGTCCAACAAATCGGAGCTTTAAAACCGCGGCTAGTTCCAGTCAATTGCGTCAAGTCACGAGCGAGAGAGAGAAAGAGAGAGCCATTTAGCAGCCCACTCGAGAGGGATAGGGTCGGCAGAGTATCTGGCTGCATGATTCGCGTTCGCATTTTATCTTGTACATAGCGCGTTCGAGTTGTGACTGCTCCAAGCTTTGGGTGGGTTCATGTCGCAATTCCCCCTACATCACCACAAGATTCGAACGCCATCTCACATACCATCCCCCACGGTAGATGCCGGGTACTCGGGCCATCACCGTTCTCTAATGCCAGCTGGACCTGTTCAGGCTCGGTCGGGTAGGCAGCGGGAAGAGAGAGGGAAGGAACACTGCAAACTTGGGGCCTAACAAACGGAAATTACATGGGCAAGGTTGTACGCCGGTTAGCGGCCGAGGGACATGATAACCCCTGAGAGACTCCCCACATTCTACGCTTCTTAGCGTGTTGGAGAAGTGAGAGAGAAGAGCAGACGGACTGGGATTGGGGAGCTTCTAAAGCTTTCCCCTCGCGAGGCTCCAGAGGCTCCAGAAGCCCCGTCCCCCGACATGGGAAATGGGAGGGAAAAGGGGGGTCGCTGGAGTCATGTTCCAGATACAAGACGTTGGGCAGCCCATTTGCACGAGGTGGGCGATGGGGGCGGTTTCGAGGCTGCCGATTTGAGACCTTCAAAGGATGTTTTAGGCCGGTAGTGTATAGTGTAGGGCACTGTTGCTGCAGCAGCCGGCATTTATTAGCAATAATGAGGGCGCCGTTGTAAACAATTACTACACGAACTCTTTTTTTGCCCTTTCTTTTTGTCCTTGTGTTCTCTTTTTGTCTTTTGGCTGGCTGCTTTTTTCTTCAGGTTTTTTTTTTTTTTTTTCCTTCTTCTACGATGCCCCATCCTTACCACCCCTCATTGCCCCTTTCCTACCTGAATATGGATAATGCATGTGCGGATAGCGGGTTAAGCGGCAAAAGGCGGTAAGCCTAAACTAGTACATTACAAACACCAATGCACAATGGATAGATATATGGACTTGGTGAAGCGCTTTGAAACGAGAGGCCGTGCGTTGTAGCTTTCCCGCTAGAAAATTTACCACTTAGTAAGAAGGTAAAAAAAAAAAAGCTCATACAGATAGATGCACCTAATGGGGAGCGAGTCGGCGTCACCTCAGAGACGTTGCTTTTCACTGGAGATAAGGTGCTCGACTTGTCAACACCATATTGCAGTAGGGCCAAGCTAGTGACTTTTCGACATCTGCCAAAACTAAACTGTCACCGTCGCTGGGAGTCTGATTCCCATTTTTCCCTTTTTCAGACAAACTGTGTTCGACAGTCAGGTACTAGGTGCATATGCTAAGTGAGGCGAAATGGCACGGCCTTTGGCACCAGTCTCTCCGTTCACACAGGTGGCGGGGGGACACTCAGATCAGAGAGTTTTTCTCTCTCAGGGCTCATCGAATCGAGTCATAAGGAGAACGAGCAAGTCAAGGGAGAGAGAGCGTGAAAGTGTCAAGGGAAAAGGGGGCCCACAGACCGACTCCCACCTTCCCTGTGATGTGGCTTCAAAGGTACTCGTGTAAGGTAATGAGTACTTCATATTGGAATCCCGGGGCCTATCACCACCCACCCAAATGACAGCTCTTCAAAAGTGTTGTCGACGGGGCATTTGCTGACGAAAAAGCACTGGCCGTTAATGAGTTTCTTCCAGAACCATGTTCGATGATCCTGGCCCAATGGATCTGCTACTCTGGAGCCCTGTAGACATTTCAACAAGCGAGAGCAGCGGCGCGGTCATGGCCGGTAATGTCGAGTGGATGCAGCCAGTAAGTATTATGTAGCTCTCCATCTTGCACAGAGGGAGGAAGGAGATGCATGCACATGTCCTTGATGACCGTAAGGTATCTTGTACTTGCATACACACTGCATGCACCTAGATACGTATACATACACAGACATAGCTATACACACGACGCGTCCCACCGCCATGTCGTGTTTGTACATTTTCTCTGACAGTGAGCTGGCGTCGGGACGGTTTGGTAGTGTAGCAGCAGATTGAGCATGTGCATCTATGGGAACCCCTGAAAGCTCGCACACCCCTCGCCGGGCCGCCCCCTTATGATGAGCAAGAAGACCCTCTCTTCTTTTTCCTCTCCCTCTCTCTTACTGTCCTGTATACTTATGTACGAAGGTACGTATACATTAGAGCATTAGTAGTACATGACGCCGAGGATCAAAAAAAGAGCGCGGTGGTCTGGTACGTTCGAATTGGTAAATAGTGGCCTCCCGCGTGGTGGGCATTTTGATCGATCCAGTCCGCTCAGATTATGATTATGGGATTATGGGGTGGCCGTAATTTAAATGCCCGCCCTGAAGGACAGCAACCTCACTTCCCCTTCTCGAACCACCCGCACCGCACCGCACCTACACCCTGCCCTGACGATTGAGTGTTTCTCTCTCCGTTCGCACTGAACCGACTGACTGGACGGACAAATCTGGGACTGGAACAGACCAGACGAGAGAGATAGTCTGACTGAGACATCCGAACACACGCACCACACAACCAGAACACCGCAACAAACGCAATAACCCCCCCGTACAATACAGCCGTTGCATCCTCCTCCGCCTTCTCCTCTGTTGACCATGCCTCTCGCATAGCAACTCGATACTACTCTCCCGTCTCTCTACCGAACTCTCCACACAGAATCCAGGCCTCAATACCCACCATAGATCGCCTGCCTACCTCGCTACACTGACACCGCCGCCCTCGATTCTTGCCCTCTTGTCCCCCCTCCACCAAACCCACGAGCTACTGCCGGGACCTCCGTTCTTGCCCCCGACTCCTTCTATACACACGAACTAGACTCGGCATGCGACTTGCTGCTGGAAACGATCCGGCATTGAGTCCTTCCCTATAACCCTTCGTAACTTGCGTCGCGCTTCTGTCGCCCAACATATCGCCCAACGAGCTAGCCGTTGCACCTCCCACCTCCCTTACAGCTTCCACCGAAAGCTTAGCTGAGTACCTGGTCGCAAGGAAGCGACCCGACACCGTAGCCATGTCCGCCGTCAAGAATCTGCGGGCCATGTTCGAGCAAAAGCAAGACACGAGCCCGCCAGATCGCGGAAGGTCGCCAGGACTTTCTTCCAGTAAGTGTTGCCCTATGTAGTCTTTACTTCTACCCGGTCGGCGCGACCGAAGCTCCGGCTTGTGTGTGTGGCCTTCTGTGGCAGCTTTCCCCACAGATTCTGATCTCATACAACCGCAACCGGCTCGTCATCACCTTGTTTTTGGAGCTTTGTTAACAACTTACTTCTTTACAGATGGCACCGAAACCCCTCCTCCGGCTGCAAGGCCACTTTCGAAAATCCGAACCAGTTTTGTTGCCGTCGAGAAGGACGGTAAAGTAGGACTTCGTCGAGACCCCAGTAACGAATCTAGCCGCAGCTTGTCTCAGCGACGACTGAGCACCCATACGGAAGGCGAAGCTTCTGTATCTGGTCAATCCGACAAGACCATGGCTACAGAGGAAACTTCTGGTGGCTACAAGACGAGTGTCGTTGGCGAGACCATTCCCGAGTCTCCTCGCCGCCCAGACACCGACAAGGCCACAAATGGAGCTGTGATCCGCAACCTAGGAGCCTTGACGGACAAGCCCAGCCATAACCCTGACAAACATGTTGATATCGAGACGCCAACGCCGGAGCTGTTACCCGGCGATCCAACTTTGAAGACCCCCGCCGAGCCTGCCGTTACCAACGGCGTCGCCGCCGCAAAGCCGGCTGCCAAGGCTAAAGAAGCAGCAAAGACTGCCGCGAAACCTTCATCAACCCTCGCACCCATTGCGACTAAGACAAGATCCAAGACACCGACGAGGTCTCCAACCGCCGTTAAGACGCCCAACCTGCCTCACGCGAGCTCCAGGCTGAGCGCCCCCAAGTCGCAACATGAGCCGGCTAAGAAAACCCCTGAAAAGTCGGCGACGACTACGGCAAAGGCCGGTGCAAAGGCAACTGGGTCCCACAAGAAGCCTGCGCCCGTGAATATCTCTCCTCCCAGCGGCACTGGCTTCGTTAAGCCCAAGCCCAAGTCGCCCACCCGACCGGTGAAGCTGCCTTCCTCATTGATGGCCCAAACTGCCGCATCCGGCTCAAAGGTTAAGGAGACCCCCCGCGAGACTCTCTCGCGTGCCTCTGGCAACCAGGGCCGCCCGGCTAGTAGAGCGAGCGCTGCCGGTGCCGCGCCGGCCACCAAGACTTTGAAGCGTCAGAAGTCGGTTATCAACCATCCCAGACCCAGCATTGGTCCCCCGCCGAAGAAGCCTCTCCAGGACCATCCCATCACCAAGAAAGAGAAGGAGGTGGACGAGAACTTCCTGGCACGTATGATGCGCCCTACCCAGAGCTCCAGCTCCAAGACAACTGAGAAGGCCCCTGTTACGCCTCCCAGACATCGGAGCTCCACGCAAGGCAGCGGCAAGCAGTCTTCCGCTTCGAAGAGTCCTAAGAGGACCGCTAAGCCGGCGTCCGCAGTGGCACGCACGGGAAGCCCCATCTCTAAGAAGGAGGTGCCCATTAAGCAAGTCGCGCCTGAGACCGCCAAGGTGGAGACGGCGGAGGCTGCCGTTGATCTTGCTCAGAAGGCCGAGGCACCCATTGAGGTCAGGCCAGAACCGGTTAAGGCGCCAGTTACTCCAGAACCTATTGAAGCCAAGATGGAGGAGCCTTCCCCTGAACAGGTTTCCGAGCCTGAGCCTGTCGCTGCTGCGGAGCGTGCCGAGTCACCTGCGCTCGAGGAACTCACCCAGCAGGCCACGGAGCTGTCTATCAAGGAGTCGGACAACCACGAGCTCAAGAGCCCCGATGAGTTTGAGGAGCTCCTGACTGACGAGAAGGAAATTGGTGAGGAGCACGTGCAGGCTCCTGTTTCTACTGAGGCGACCACAGAAGTCAAGACTGAAACTGCGTAAAGAGCATTGTCAAAGAGTGGCGGAGGTGATTGTATAGTTTAGAACCATTGGGGTGTACCATGATACCTGACCGACAAAAAGGCGTAAATTACTTCGTAAGTGTTGAGAGTTTCTTTGGGGGGTTTTCCAAAGCGAGGAGAGTTGGTGTTTGGAGCCCAGTATTAGTCATAGAGAATGAATACCATTCGAAAGTATTTCAATTCAATTCAATTCGAATCATTTAACTTGGTTACTATTGTGGCTGGCAGTTCGACGCCTGATACACGTGTCCTGTACGCGCTCTCCATTCTCTGAAGCCTCGCGCCTCGGCATCAAGCCTACATGGAGGGAGTTGTCCAACGTGAAGAAGCGCAAAATGGTGTGTTCATGTCTTCTCTAAAATACATATTTTGTACAGTATATGGAGGACAGTACTCCTACAGGGGCTCCCCACACAGGTCGGCCTTTCCGGTCCGCCTCGTGGTGGCCTTTGTTCCCAAGACTCCGTTTTTGTGAGGCCATATTCATTCCCTTTTACGGCGGGGCCCAGTTTGTCGTCCTTTTTTCTTCTCTTTTTAAACATCCAACCGTCTCGGCCGTCATCTCTCCTTGCCTTCCTGCTTTACCTCGCACGGCACAGGACCATTCCTCCGACTTTCCTGCTCAGAGCCTCCCGCGCCTCCAAAATACCCTTGTCCGTCGAGATGAACATGCACTCGCCCAGGATGAGGCCCTTGACGAGACCGTTCTTGGTGGGGAATCCTCTGACGATGAGCTCGAGGTCCTCGATCGAGACGTTGACAGGCCTCTTGGGCTTGGTGACCGTTTGCAGGCCCTTGAGGACGGGCTCGTTGTTCCAGTACTTGAGGCCGAGCCAGAGACGGCGCGTGGCGACGTTGGCGCTCGTGATGGGCTCTGGGGGCTGGCTCATGTGCTCGGGTTCCGGGGGCGTCGGGCCGCCGCGGTAGAGGGAGGAGATGAAGCCGGAGCGGTGCAGGGCGAGGGCGAGGTTGAGGTTCTGCTTGGTGTTGGCGATGGAAGTCATGCCGAGGCGGGCGCGGGAGGCGTTTTGCAGGTGCGAGCACATGTTGATGACGTTGATGAGACCACCCATCTTGAGCTAATTGGTGAGCCGGGGGCTCGGGTATCGCGGGGAACACAAAAAGGGTGAGTTATGGGGGGAGTTCGAGGGAGTGCGAGTCCGGCGCGGCGGTTCGCGAGTCTATTGAAGATCGTGGTTAGAAACGTGGCCATCAGAGCCATTGGAACGGCTTCTCTTACCACTGAAAACCTCAACAAGGTGATTCACAGGGTTAGAATGTCGCCCTTGAGCTTCAAAAAGAGTGCTGCGCGTCAAGTGGCTCCAAGGTTACCGCGAAGAATGGACTGTCACCTGACCAATTTCGTTCGATAGGGAAGCTATCGCCAAATTTTTGGCACGCAAGCCTGGCCCCGTTCAGATATGATGACTAAGACAGACCCCGATTCTTCCGGTCCGTGCATGGTCTGCTCGGAAGCTCAGCAGTGAGAGGAGAGAGAGCGTGAGTAAGACCCACTTCGGGGGACCACTGCAAGTGCTGCTCGCTCTCACCCCGGCCTGGACGTGTTATTGGCTCGTTCAACCTCTTGTAAGCGCCGAGTTGACCACTCGATGCGACCGCCTGCAGGCCTGCTAGTTGACCCAGCATGCAGACAGACGCCGGCACATTCTCAATGGCGAGATGGGCGTTACAATGTCTGGGAGACTGGTAGGGGTTTTTTTTTTCTCTTGTGATTGAGTACCGAGTGGTACAAAAAGCTCCCCAGAACGAAGGAGGATGAGGGCAAGGGAAGCTGAAGCTGGCCCGGTCCAAGGAGACCTAATATCCAGCCCGCATCAAACAATATCCAAAACCCTTCCTCGAAACTGTACTCCTTCCCGTCTCGTCCTTTAAAATCTGCAACCAACGTACCACACATATCTCTGCGTCTGTTTCTATTGTCGTTTGCCGGTGCTGCTCGCTGCTTGTTGCCGCCCTTGGCTTCTGGACCGAGGCGGGGTAATTCCACAGTTTGCGCCCCCTCTGTGCCTCGAGGAGAGATTGATTGTCTGATTTTCCGGCTGAGGCCTTGATACCAAGGATCTATTTCTGGAAAAGAGTCAAAGAAGGCAGGAGATTAAACAAAACGAAATGGCGACCCGGCTGGGCGAGGAGAATGTGGCTACTCTGTAAGTCTCTCAAAAGGTAGCAGTGCTACTTCTCTCGCTCTCTCTCTACACAACAATCGACGGAGGACCAACAATCGAACCGGAGCAATGGCTGACTGGCCCATCGCGCTTCACAGCTTCGGAGACATCCATTACTTTTACGGCCCACCGACCAACAACCCGCCTCACCACCGGTTCGACAAGGGCTCGTACGTCTACCTGTTTGAGAACGCAAACGACCGCCGTGCGCGCATTGAGATCGCAAATCAGCCCGGCACTGACGACCAAGATGCCTTTGACGGATGTTAGTCTACGCCCTTGAGCTCAATTCTAGCCGTTTGCAAGAAAAGCTAACGATGATGTCGCAGTCCTGGATAAGACGCATGTCCGATACTCTTACAACCACCAGTGCATGGTGACGCTCACCGTCGGCGAGACGACGGACCAGATGGAATGGCACCTTCCTACATACGACCCGCACAACCAGAGCAAGTATCACTACAAGCTCCATTCACTCGACATTTACTTCTGGAAGCAGGAGGATGCCCTACAGTTCGTCAATGGCATCCGCAGAGTCCTCCCACCAGCGCAGGTTGAGATCCTAGACGAGCCGGCGCAATCGTCATCACACCACCAACTGCACCACCAACAGGCCGATCCTGTGAGCACGCTGGTGCAACAGCTTGAGCACGTCGCCGTTTCGGACCCAAGCTACGGAACCTCGCAACCTTCTCAGCAGGCGGCCTCCGTACCGAGCTTCGCAGGCCCCCCCACGTCCGCTGTCCTTGCCCAGGAACCTCCGGCGAGCTTCGTGCCGATGGCATACAACCCCGCAGCGCCCGCAGCTCCGGAGGCGATCCGACATAGGGAAAAGACCCCGCCGCCGGAAGATGGCAGCGTTGATCCTCTAGCTGCGGCAGTGGCATACGATGCGCAAGCCCCCTTCTCTCCCGGCTTTGTCCCGCCGCCAGGCTTCCAAGCCGGACAAATCGGCGTCGCGGGCTTACCTCCGCCACCCCCGCCGCCGGCGCAATTCGGTGGGCCGCCTCCACAACCCGGACTCCAGCGCGCCGCGACCATGCCCGCGCAAGCTGTCCAAGGCGGTCTTGCTTCGCCGGGTCTATCCAGCCCTTACGGCAACGGCTTTCCCGGCACCCCTGGCTTGCAGCCTCCTCCTCCCCCGCCGCCTCAGCAGCCGCAACAACAACAACAACAACAACAACAATCGCAGACGCCTCAGCCACAGCAAGTACAACAGTCGACCCCGCCGCCTCCAACATCACAAGGCACTCCCCCGGTCACAAGTCCAGGCGCCGTGGCCTCGCCCCCAGGAGGCTACTCATCTTATTCGTACACCACGCAGCAGCAGCCAGCAGCTCTCGACTACTCTGTCCATCAGCAGGTGTACCGGCCGACGGAGCAGGAAGCGGCCAAGTACAAGGGTTACATGGTCAAGCAGGAGCCTGCCGGTAAGTTGGAGGTGAATGCGGGGCGTCTGGAGAGGGGCGTCACGGGCATGTTGAGGAAGTTTGAGAAGAAGTTTGGGTGATTTATTAATGCAATGTCGTCGGGTTTGAGTGGTCAGGGGAGTGTTCGGGGAGGAAGTCCGTTTTCTCTCTTTCTATCTTTCTTTCTTTTTTTTTTTTTTTTTTTTTTGAGGGGGACTATTACAGACGCTCGCAAGAAGATATCCAACGATTAGGGGTTTGGAACGAAACCGCCATGTTACGTATTTACGGAGTAGCTCAGAATCAGATCTATCTCTTGTAATCACAAGTCTTACATCACACATTTTGCTTCATAATGCTAGATAAGGTGCTGTCAAGCATGCATCACATCAAAATTGCTGGTATCAACGACTGCTAGTTATATCAGTGGCATTTGTTGAAATCACCCGCAGTTTTCCTATGAATAGTCCTTGGCGACTCTGCATTGGAGAAAGCCCTGCCCCGTCCATTGTGTACCCGGCAATATTACTCAGTTCTCACTTCAGCAACAAGCATAACCTCCTTGATCAAGTTGCTCGGTTTCTTCACAATGTCTACGTCATGCGCCAAAAAACCAGATGATTGCCTGGAAGGATTGACAGCTTTGGGGGCTGGATGCTTTGAAGCCACGCACCAAGAGCCTGTGAGGCTATCCTTCTCGGCAGATCGTCGGTGGGGGTCGATGGTGGCGGCAGAGGATGTGTAGGCAGCTCACCGAATACAGACAGCAGAATGTGGTGTTGGATCTTCCCCAAGACCACACTGCAGCCAGCTGATGGAGAAGTGGCCAAAGGATAGCGTCATCAGTTCTGTCTTCAGCTCGATTTGATTCTCCTTGTCTACGAAAGCGAATGGCATGTCGGTGAGTTTTCTTGGACTAGCTGCAGTGAGCTGAGCTGAGACGGACAAAGTTCGCATTCCCCAGCGAGTAATTGCTTGCCACACATGAGGAGTGCACCGTGACTTTGATTTCTCATCAACTGGTGCGATGATTTAGTGGGGGGAAGCTGGGGTACCGCGTTGCTCGTATAACTAGAGGCGGCTGTGGCACGTTGGAACGGCAACTCAACGTTGCGCTGCTGTACGGTTTTGCCCAATGCGGGACGGAGTCTAGAGTTTCGTGCTAGGAGTTGAGGACGGCGCGCTAGAGGCCGCCACCGTAGACCAAAAGCTCATTCGATCCGAGGCACAGCCGGCGGCCCTATGGTGGACTGTGTGTGGTACCGGTTGGTAGGAAGGAGGTACATTGATCTCTGTCAGCACTACTTGCGAAAAGCTGCGAATAGGAAGGTCAAGCCAGGCCATTGGATGGTTTAAGACGACATGCAGGTAAGTCTCAGACAAGGTGCATCGGCTGTCTGAGACTTGCATTGAAGCCCGCCTCTGTCCCTGAGGATAAGGCCCGTCTCGGAGAACTAGCAGATTTTGGTATATGGCGCCAAGACAACATTCGCAATCATACTTCCTCCATGTGAGAAGACATAGTATGTGAGAAACAAAGTAGTATGTCACTGGGACGATCGCGACTTCAATACGGGACTTCGGTAGGGCTGTGCTCCGCCCTGCCGTTAGCAGCAGATGGGAGGGAGCCAGCGCCAGCCACATTGCAATCGTGGGATGCGGCGGTGCGTTGGATGGCGGGGCATCCTTGTTACCGCCTAGAAGGCTTCCCAGCTCTGGCAACTGGCGTTTGTTGGTCGGTCTCGCGCCCTCACCTTTGGCTGAGCTAGGGAACCTTGCAACGTCTGTGGGCGATGGTAGTTTGGTAGACCACCTGCTCTTGAACGTTTGGTGCTAGGGGCATGTACTTAGGAGCGTGGCTGGTGGGCCGGTTGGTCCAAGGCACGAGGGAACGGTTGTTAGTTGCTGCGTCACTCACGTTCAAAAAATGTCGTCGCTGGTAATTACTGGGGCAGTGATGGTGATGCTTGTGTGTTGCTTGATGATGTTGCTGGAAATAGCAGCGCGGGCAAAATTGGAGACGACGACCCTGAAGGCTTGCTTGAGTGGATCGCTGCCTTTGCTGGAGTGGGTAACAAGCAAGTCGGAAAAGAACCAAGCCGGGCGGCGGCATCGTGAATTCGTTGTTCCTGACAGCCCCTGGCGCCTGTAAACTTGTGTCGCGGCAAGTGACAGAAGCGAACCCAGTGCCCTAACACAAGCAAAGTATTACTTTTGGACAGAGTTTTTTTAACAGCGATTCTCGTGTCGTGGTTAGGGACACTAGAAAGAGAGTGTTTCGTCTGATGTCACCGTGGATCCGAATCAAGGATTAGATGGCGATGGAAATGGAGAACTGGCGGGCGACGGTAGTGCGGAAGTGTCCTGGCACTCAAACTGGGCATTTGAACAGGTGGGATTGAATGGAAATGATTTACCATAGCCAGGACAGTCATGGACCATGAGTTTGGAGTAGTGGATAGGCCTAAAAACCAACCATCCAACTGGACGGGCGGCAGCTCCGCCACCGCTTCAAGCCCCGAAACTTGTGGGTTGGGGTTGGGCTGACTGGTACTGAGACGCTGATCTCCCATTTGGGGGTTGGGAGCTGTAGAGGGTCTGACACAGCGACGATCGGGTAGAGTTTGGTCTGCAGATGAAGCAGTATGGTGATGGTTGGTTGTGTGGATCGACTGACTTGTGGTGATGTCTTCTGGGTGGGAAAAGTAGTTTATCTTCGGCGAAGGCCGGCGGCGTTCCAATTGCAGTCACGTTATGAGGAAAAACGGGAACCGCATTGACAAAAGGTCCCTTTTTTGTCCTTTTTTTTCTTCTTCCCCCCTGACAAAGCTTCAATCCCTTGTGGGCTGCCGGGTATCGACAGGGCGCTTCCCTCGGCATTGTTTCGAGCTGTTCGTGTTCTTCATCACGATATTCCCGGTTGTAACTTATCGAACTCGAGGGGCAGAGCAAAACTTTCTTTTCCCCTCGCAGGTCACCGTTAGTTAGTTGGTTGGTCTGAGGCCCCAATTATCGTCCCAACTTAACTGTAGTAGATGTCAACACATCCGTCTGGTGTTGGTCTTGGGGGTATATTGTCTGATAACGTTGAAATGAGCGGCCCGCGGAGTGCTTTGCAGAAAGACGCGACGACTTGCATTCTCCCATCGGAGTGATAAATTAGCTGATTGGTGCATGTGCAGCGCCATGGTTCTTTCCGTGGCCGGCACGCCCACTAAGAGGCATACACGAACACTAGGGCGGGTCTCTCTCCTCTTTCTCTCTCTCTCTTTCTCTTCGAGGTTGTTCTTTCTTACTCTGAGCTGTATTCCCGAGGTGTTTCCTGCCTCCATTTTGGGGATGTATTTTTCGGGAGGCTGTTGCCCTTTATGCTCGGTTTTTCCCCCCTTTGGCTGGTGGCACCGCTTGGTATCAGCCCGTGTTCCTCGTCCACTGCTCCTCCTCTATTTTGTGCTTTGCTCTTGCCGCACCACACCTGACCTCCTCCAATGTACGAGCGAGCTGATCTGGGCTGGGCTGACCGGACCGCTGCTGCCTCCACTCCCGCTAAACAAGGTACCTAGGTAACTTAATTCCTGCTTGCTATGAAGGCTCATTGAACCCACTACATACGGAGTAGTACTAGATGACCACGGTGACTAGGTAGTAAAGTAAACTGCACACACTTTCTCTCTCACTCATCCGTGCCAGAGGTACCCAGCCTCACGCCTCACACACCCCACCCAAAGGACCCTTGTCCCCACGACATAATAGTAAGGCTTCTGGCCCTGCACCTGCACCTGCACCTTGGGTTGCCCGGGACCTGGCCTGCACACCTCGTTGCTGCTACTGTTGCTGCTGCTCTTCCCCTTCCTTGCCTCACCTCACCTCATACCTTCCCGACCAGCAATCTAAACACCTCCTGCTTCTTTCCTCCTTCCTGTCTCGTCCAGTCTTCCTCTCTTTCCCTCCACATCGTCCAAAAACTCGTCTCACAACAAAACACACTTTTTTTTTTGCGCATCGCAAATTGTTTGTCCTCCGTCCCGCTCCGAGTCTACCGCTACCGTCGCCGTTGCCGAGTCTCAATGTCCCAGCTCTGACGCTTATTTTTTGCCCTGCGCAGCTGGGCCGCCCCGCCTTAATTCGCCTTACGACTTACTCACCTCCGTCTGCTTCGCCCGCCGACCTTTCCGTACCGCCGTCGCTGCTCTCAAACATCCTCTGTCGCTCGTTTTCACAAACCCATACGCCCACCTACAACACACAATATGCATCTCAGGATGCGAATACCTCCTGATATGCCTCCTGGCCCTCGCGAACATTTACCCAGGGCTTTGCACCGCCGGGACGACATCGATCCCAGGAAAATCACCATCATTGTAAGTCGCCGATCATGTGACAGCTCTGAGACGTCAGCTTCGTTCGACCTTTCTGCTGACGCCTGCCGCCAACTCAGGGAATTCTTGCCGGCCTAGTCCTACTCATATTTGTCGCCTTCATCATTTTTTCTCTCCGCGCCTCTCGCCGAGGCCACAAAACCTCCAATTCCTCGAGCGGCTTCCTCAAGATATGGAACGGTGGCGCATCAAGGAGCAGATACCACCAAGCCCAGAACGAGAATTCCAACTCCACCGAACAGTTAACAACTCGCCGCCCGCGCCCGTCATCTCTCAACCTCGAATCGTCGACCAATCAACCCCAAGCCGATAGTCGATCCCCCAATAGCGCCGTGAACCGCAACACTTCTATCCGCTCTATTATGACTTTACCAGCTTACAGGGCCGACGCAAACGACAATGAACAGGTCCTGGGTCGCGAAGGTGAACGTGGCGGTGTTGATGTTGTGATTGAGTATCCTACAGAGGAAAACGAAGAGGAGTTGCGCGACCAAGAAATGGAAGCTTTATACCAAATTCGTCTCGCTCGCCGTCAAGAACTTGCCGAACGTGAAGAGAGAAGGCGAGAGCGCCGTGAAGCACGAGAGCGCGGCGACCATGTTGCGCTAGAAAACATTCGGACAAGAGCTCGAAACGCTAGCAGCAACAGTGTCGTTGCAGTCCTGCGCGAGGAGCACGAACGTCTCAAGGTCGAACGTCAGCGAGCTGTCTCCAGCGTATCATACGCCGACCTTGGCGTCGCTCGTCATGACGGCACCCGAATCCGAGCCAATAGTCAGGAAAGCGAAAGGACCGGCTTGTTATCCGACGCTGCTAGTATTGCCGCCACATCCACCCGGTCCGGCATCGACTCGGCCACCAACCACAGGAGGGGCAGCTCCGTCATGAGCATTGACAGCGATTTCCCCTCTCCTGGACTCCCCAGGTCCCGTGCGAACTCGCGACCGGAAACCCCACGGATAGACACCAGAGCCGGTGCAAGCCCAGATATCGTCGAGGCTGACGTAGGAGAAGCTGGCATTCCCATTTACTCTCCTCCCGGATACGATGAAGTTCCCCTCGACGACGATCCCTCCCGAAGCGCTACTCCTCGACCAACTACTGAACCCCCTCCGGGTTACTCCGGACCGGCCCAACAACGCGACGAGGACCTTGCCGCAAACATGGCTGACTTGGCCGCCGAGGAGCAAACAACAGCTGGCCCTTCTGCTGGTCCGTCCACTGGTTCGGCTACAACCCCGTCTAACCAGCAGAGAAAGATACCACAACTACCTAGTTTACGATTGCAGCAGCTGCCGCAGATCGTGATTGAGCCATCCAGCGCCAGGCCGCACGACGACAGGTGACTGCCGATACGGGATGAGCAATAGTGACACTATACAACCGGATGATAGCATAACGGCTGGATTTAATGAGCCCCGGTATGAATGAACAAAATTTCGGAGGCGGTTTTGATATACATATGGGTCTGGATCGTCAAACACATACACGTTGGGCGAGGGCTGCTTACATCGCAGTACCCGCCAAAAATCACATTTGTATAATAACTTACCAGTAAACTGGATATCGGCGTTGGGCGAGCATCGGTCTGGACAGGATGAGTTGTAAGGATACCAAAGCGTGTTGAGGAGGTTGCAATGTCTTTTTGGCCTACGTGCCCAAGGCCACAAGAACATATTTTGAACCAGGTCATTTCGAGCTTTCAACTGACGGGTCTTTTGGTGCGCTGTGCCGTGTCTATCGACAAGTGAAGGCTATTTAGGACAAGCTAACTTGGTCGCTTCCATTGAAGTGGATGGTGACTATGTTTGTAAAGCTGGGCCCCGCTACCTGGAACATAGGGAGCATGCCTCTCAACGGCAGTATCTTGACCTCAGCTCGCCCAGGCTTAGTTTACATCAATTCATATGCAAGACTTGGGGGCAACCCTTTTAGCCCACAACATAGTCCCAAATTCGTTTCATCACTATGGTCAACATCTGACATTTGAATAGAAGTATGGGTTCCAGGGATCAATGACGGTACAAGAACGATCTTCGAGTTGAAGCTGAGAGATCCATTAACTCATCAACCAATTGCCTCGTCATAATTTCTAATTATATATTTCGCCGGGTATATATGGACATTCGCTTGAAATCTTCTTGGGGAGCAACTAAACTGCTACCCGAGGTGTTGTCCGACTTGCTCCATGAGCTGGTCATCTTCATGTGTATTTAAATCAAAGCTTTCTTGATACACGTATTTTGCAGGTTTTCGAGACTCCCGTGTGTCGTAGCAGGCACTATCTCAGCACCACTTGATACCAGAGCGAGTGACCAGTAAACTTACCATCCAGGGCTTTTGGATCAACTCTCATGCAGAATATGGCAGCGCAGGGTATGTACTGAGAGCATGCAGCTGGTTGCATAGATGCGTTTCACAGCGGGATATACCTATTCTGGGTAATTGGGCTTCAAGACAGGGCTGATTGCAGACTTCCAAGGCACCCCGCTTGGGAAATGAATGACATGACTGATAGGTAGGATTCTGAAGTATTTTCAAGCTTACATGAGTATTGAGTACCTTTGCTGGCGGCTCAAGCATGCATGTTGATTTAGAATAAGCCGAGAGTTATGGCGAAAGAAAGGTTTCAGGACTAACACATCCATGGTCTGACCTGTTTCTGTCTGCAGCGGCTCTATGAATCCTAGTTTTTTTGATGGATGTTACCAGGACGAAAATAGAAAAGGAAATGATGGTATCGAGAAAACCAACTCGGTAATACATGATGGGATCAAGTGGCCCTGAGCGTAGCTGTAGGAATCCATCTGGCGATTGAATCGACGAGGAACGAGCTATGGACTCTTATGAGATTTGGCTGCCTCATTGACACTGATAGGAATGCAATCTGGGCTTATCCCTATAGGACTCAGTCGCATGCATCAGCCGTTGTATTTAAGCCCTTTGCCGATCATAAAGGTGGGACTTAGGTACTTATTTCTAGGTATTAGTAGAGTGAGGCTTTGAATATCCATCAATCTGACGGCGAGCTGTAGTCTCGACACAGGTAAGCGAAATAGTGAGCAGGGAGTTTTGTGCTAGGGGTCTTAGGTTGTCAAATCAGCGAGCCAATCAACAATTCGATCGGATCCGATCAGCGGGCAACTTGGCCGAGCGGTCTAAGGCGCCAGACTCAAGCGAAAGCTTACTGTCACACGGACCACTGCATATATCGGGGCATGCATTCAACCCATGCACCCGGCTATTGTTTCCCATATAAAACTAACGGGGATGTCATTTTGTGCATGAAAACCTTCAAATCGGTAATTACCGAATAGACGGTTATATAATCAACCCAATAACCCCTAGACAGTCTCTAATGAATGGAAGCATCTTTTTTTACCCCATAAGTGGTGGGCAAATTGACTGCGTGACAGTTATGAGCCCAGTACCTCATGGTGACAATTACCAATTGAAAAACCGACTTCCAGAAGGGAGCAGTTCAGACTTATGCCATAGACAAGGGCACTCAATTGACGAAGTTACCGACCCATGAGACTTTGGCAGTCAAGTCCACCAAACAAAACATCAATTCCAATCACACAAGGCTGAACGTTGAAGTGTTGAAACATTCAATCACAAAAGAACTTCTGGTCATCAATTCATATCATCAACACTTATCAAAAAAATCACAAAAAGTTCATCTCAACTCAGGGGGACTTACCACATCTGAGGAGTTGAACCCAGGACTCTTAACTTGAACCTTATATAAGTTCATGCTCGACCATACCACGGATACGCAGCCAGGAGGGTTGGAATTACGAAACGGAAGAGACACCTAGTTGCTCATTTTATGTCTCTGAAAGCTTCGGGCAGATAAGACGAACAGGTGGTTCACTTTATAGTCTTCGTGTAACGGAACCGATAAGACTTTTTACAAATTGCGAAAACTCCACAACCCTGAATTGAACCCACGAAGGGGAGCTTGCCAGTCTTACGGTCCTTGCGAATAGCTACAAGTTGGGTGGCTAGACCAACTACACTAAACGGCAGGTTCATTAGACAAGGGGGGCGTCTTGCGTTTTGTTGAGAATTGAGGCGTTGAGATTGGCTATATACCCTCAAACCTCTAGGCAACAATCGACAAAATCACCAACTTGAAACAAGAAGTGTCTAGTCACGAACTCAATCTTGGCCACGGCGAAAAATCAACTGCACAACGATCAGAAGAGAGAGACCAGTTCTCTTTTCAAGAGAGATCATGAATTCAACTACGGAAACTGCAAAATACACACAGCGGCTACAGACTGACAGCGACTGGAACCACTGGTTCAACAACTTACAGATGCTGGCAAACGTTCATGAAGTCTGGGACTATGTGAATCCAAAAGGAACCAAGATTAATACTAAGCCAAGATTGGAATTCCCAGACCCAAAAGACCTCAGACAAGAAGAACGAGCAAACTATAGCAACGTTATCAGCTATGGAAAAGCTATCTATCAAGAAGAAAAAGACCAATACAACCAGGTTCGGCGAAGTCTTCTAGAAATTCACAGTTGGATCATGAACACTGTAGCAGCCACTTATATCAGCCAAGTCAGCAAGGAGCAAACAGTCAGGGATATCATAAAAGCTCTTGAAAAACAGCTAGCGCCAGACAACTTTGGGAGACAACAAATGGTATTGGAAAGATATAACAAGCATATGCTATCAATCAAAAGAGCAAAACTTGGAGGATGGCTCATAATCTATCGAGAAATCATGGATGAAGCCCAAACAATCGGAATCCCTGCTCTCAGCGATCCAGTTACTCAAGTCTCTGAGTTCTTGAAAGCAGTCAAGCAAATTGCACCAGATTACTACACATCTGCCTCTTACGACTTCACAAAGCGATACAAGGATGACCCAACCTACAGTTCGATCAGCAAGACTGCTGGAATTGAGCAAGCTAACGATTTCCGCAGTTGGGTGAGAACTTTCCACCCAGACTGGCTGAATGCTGCTCCATTAAAAGACACGAGTTTCGCTACTTGGCAAGGAGAAAACGAACAAGGAATAAAACAGGGGGCAAAACGAGAGCAAAAGTGTGCAGCTTGCCCAAACGAAAGTCACCGATTTGTTGATTGCAAACATGCCAACCCTAAGAAGCGAGGCCCAAACTATCATGAAGATAATCCAGAAAATAAGAAAGCACTGGAAAGATTGAATGAGTATCTCCAGAAGAAACCACACTTAAAGAGAATAGTTGAAAAACTACGAAAAGGGGCAAGCGATCAGCAGTCTCAAAAGTCCCCAGATCGAGCAACATCTTCCTCAAACTGGAGAAACACTACACAATCATCATCCCACTATACTCAAGAAGTGTCTGATGGAGAAGGATCACTCTCATCTTTCGTCACTATCGTCAATCAAGGAGAAGCAAGTCTCTATTCAGGATTCCCACTGTCAGACAGTGTGATAGTAGACTCAGGAACAGGATTCCACATCTGCAACGACTCCTCAAGACTTCATGATCTCGACTACACAGTCACAAAAGACTTCATCACTGGAGGAGGAGATGTACATGCAATTGCGAAAGGCACAATGATCATCAAACCAAACCAAGGCGGCAAATCCAACAACAAGGAGATCAAAGTCAGAAATGTATGGCTTGTGCCTGGATACCCAACATCGCTCCTTGGGACAGAACCGCTGAAGCAAAAAGGGATCAACTTTACAACAGGAATACCGGGTCTTATCGACTCAAAAGGCAGACTTCTATTCAAAACACCAAACCGATATGGTCAATACATTATTGAAGCTGGCCCAGCTCTGCTGAACAATACCTCGTTCAGCAATACCGAGAAGACTGTGAGATTCAGCCCAACCGTAGAAAGGAAACCAACCAAAGGTTTTCAGTCAACAAGACAACCACTCCCAACATCATCAGCAGAAGCCAAGTTGTGGCATGAGAGACTTGGTCATCCAGGCGCTGAGGGACTGGAACAGCTACTTAAAACAGCTCTTGGGATACAGATAAAAGGAATCACAAAAGTGGAATGTGATGCCTGTGCTGTTGGGAAGGCAACTCGCCAAATTTCCCGCAGAAACCCAGACCATTGGCCAACTGCTGTAGGAGATTATCTATCTCTCGACTTCTTTACACTTAGCAAAGCATACAATGGGGAGAAGGTGATCCTGCTGGTCAGCGATGGCTGGTCAGGGTTCTTCTGGATAAGAACTCTTCGTACTCGAAAGGAGGGACTACAAGCTATGACAGAATTAGCAGCATACCTCGAGAGACAGTGCTTTATCAAAATCTCTATTCTACGCCTAGATTGGGAGGTTGCTTTACGCAATGCGTTTGAACTATGGGCAGCTGTGAATGGATATATGATTGAAAGATCAGCTGAGTACACTGGTGCTCAAAACCCAGCAGAAAGAGCTGGAGGTGCTGTGTTTATGATCATGAGAGCACTTCGATTTCAATCTCGCTTTCCTGAATTGATGGCACCAGAGCTGGCAAAAGCAGCAGTTTATCTGTCAAACAGATTGCCTCGAAGACGCCACAAGTGGCAGACACCATTGGGGTTGGTCAACACTTGGCTGAACTCTCATCAACAGTCTACCCACAAGAGGGCTGAAAAGCCACAACTAGCACACTTGAGGCGATATGGCTGCAGAGCTTACCCCTTGACACAAAACTACAAGAGAGGAATAGAAAAGTCAAACAAAACTGCGCCAAGAGCTCATATTGGCTATCTATGTGGTTATGACAGCACAAATATCTACAGAATCTGGATCCCAGCAATAGGAAAAGTCATGAGAACTAGAGACGTTACTTTCGACGAAAACACGCTGTATGATCCAAGGATTGAGGATACCAGCAAGTTAAGCCAAATGGAACTTGAATTCCAGTTCACAGAAATGGATATCCCATTCACAAATCCAATTGAACAAGACCTAGACACAGCTGGCTGGGATGGAGAAGATTTCAGCGATAATATTACCGGGCCACTACCCGCCTCGAATCCAGCCGCTCAAGAAACAACACCGGCAACACCGATGCAGGAGAAAGAATCAGGGGATTTTCAATTACCTACACCCACTTCTCTATCACCAACAGTACAGCTGTCAGATTCTCAAACAACTGAGGGGGTGAGGGAGACTCCAGAAACTCCAGAAGTATCGCCAACTCCAGAACAATCGGATCAAAGTGAGACCATAGAGGAAACCTCAACAGACCGACTCGAACTACAACAGACACCAGTCATAGAATTGGAACCAGAAGAAATCATACCACAAGATTCCTCCACAGTAATCCCAAACATAGCGAGAAGGGGAAGACCTCGTGGCAGCAGAAATCACAACATCTACAATCGATCAGCCCCTCTTGGTCAAACAAATCAACAGCCACCAGAAGCAACAAGATCATCACAAAGACTGAGAAGAGCAAGAGAATCCCACTTCACACTGCAATCTACGGATACAGTAAAAGGAAGAGATCAATGGGATGCATCAGCAGATGATTTAGGCAATCCACACCAAAAGACACTTCCACCAGTTCCAAAGAATTACAGTGAAGCGATCAAACACCAATACAGTCACAAATGGATTGCTGCAATGAATATTGAACATTTGATCGAGAAGAACGCAGTATGAATCTGGAATTTGGTAGTAAGTATACGGAGTTCTGAATAGTATCATTTCTGTATTTGAATGAGAATACAGAGAATCAACCTACAACAGGTTGCCTCTCTGAGGGGGTGTGTCACACGGACCACTGCATATATCGGGGCATGCATTCAACCCATGCACCCGGCTATTGTTTCCCATATAAAACTAACGGGGATGTCATTTTGTGCATGAAAACCTTCAAATCGGTAATTACCGAATAGACGGTTATATAATCAACCCAATAACCCCTAGACAGTCTCTAATGAATGGAAGCATCTTTTTTTACCCCATAAGTGGTGGGCAAATTGACTGCGTGACACTTACCCTTCCAAAGGGTAGTATTCTGGTCTCGAAAGAGGCGTGAGTTCGAATCTCACAGTTGTCAATTCTTTTGCTTTTTGCACCTGTCAAAAGGTGTGAGCAATAGCCTCACGATAACTTGCTCATAATACCGTGTATTCAAATAACGAGCAGATGGCGAGTGCATAGGCGGGCAGCTAATCGACTGGGCTCGTGCGTCACATCAACAGCAGACAACTCACTTTATGCTTATTTGGATTGACACCGAATTTGCCTTTTGGACAATCTCGACCGAAGCCCTCACCGATGTATGAGCAAAGTATTTCAGCCAACTCTATCGCCACTCTTTCATCCCGTCTAAACTCCGAGTCTCACATCTACACATAAAAATGCGCAGATCAAGATCACAGCCAAGCTGATAGCCATATGGGAAACAAGCCTTTCTCCTGGTCCCTTGGCACCTAGCGTCGCCGCACGGGGCAAGGCCTCCGACACGTCCCGCGCTCCGCTCACCTCAGACACCAAGTGTCGGATCCCCTTTCAGATCACCAAACCGTACTATGTCGCCATGCTGGCCGCTTAGGGGGCAGATCATCCCAGAGGATGTTTCACGTTGGAGTAATATAGCGTCGCGATGTCGCATGCTTAGCCCGCAACTTGGAAACCTGACGTCTCATTTTCTCCATGTAAAAGTTGCATGTATTGAAGATTCGATAGCTCGATCTTCATCTTTAATATCACTAATTTGTACTTCCGAAAGGCGTAAAGCTCCTTATCCTTTCGTCACCTATCTCCCCATTGTGTCTATAATCGAGGCTATGGCGCCCAGTAACGCACCATACTCAGACAGTCGTCAAAAGCGCGAACCGATCAATGACTCCATGACCGATATCAGCGTATCGCTTCTAAACGATGATGAGGAGCAGTGGAAGCGGGCAGATATTGAGGATGGGCAATACACAACACGGCAAGGGCGATGCGCAAAGAGATGCGAGACCTTTCGGCGCTGGCGCTGGCTGTTCGATACGTCACTTCTGCTCGTGATTGTTGGCCTGCTCGTCGAAAGACGATATCTTCAAGCTCCGAGCCGCGACAAACGCCTTGAGCCAACTGGCGACCTGACCGGCTTCGCACCCGAATGTACGGATCCCAATCCTCCATCGCGATCCCTGTGATATCATGTAGCTGAACCCATCCAAAGTCACACAGCAGATAACGACCTTTCACCCGACAACGGACTTCGTCCCCGATGACCCGAAGAAGCTGTTCACCAACGCATCGATCCAAGCGAACTGGCTCGCCATAGTGCCCAAGGGTCTAGGATACCTCGAGGTCAAGAACCCGGCAGCGCTCAACAACCTCCCCGTGCCTCTCCCCGAGTTCGCCCCTCGCACCGTCTTCACGACCTCGATGACACACCAGCTGCACTGTCTGTACGCCATCCTCGAGAGCTACGCGGGCCTCTCCGTGAACGGCAGCGCCAATGTCGACATGCACTCCCACATCCCCGAAGGTACCGAGGGAGCGGATGGGCCATGGCATCTTCAACATTGGTATGCATGACGCCAACCTATTAATTTTCAAAGACACTAACTCTCAATAGTTTCGAATACCTACGTCAAGCTATCCTTTGCTCGGGAGACGTTGCGCTCGAGGGCACACAGACGACATTTCCCCCTGGGTTCACGGGTAGCGACGGATGGGATGCAAAGCACGTTTGCAAAGACCCGAAGCAGGTATATGATTACCTCGACAAGAACCGGGCCTTGGACGACCATTGGATTTGATTGATGCATGATGAAAGGGTTGGTTGGCGTTTGGGAAGAATTCATCTGGGTACGGCGTTTTGCGAAAGAATATCCATCAAGCAACTAGGTCCTGCAATTATTTACGGGCACGTTACCGAAATTGAGTGTTTGCAACAGACACCATCTGAGCTTTCATAGAACTCTGTGCTGCAGTGCTGGCGAAGTTGAAGTGCCGGCTCTAGTCCATGCATACAGCGTTGCTAGCGAAAAAGTCGAAAACAGACAAAATTTCAATGAAAACTAGCTCAGCTGTAAAAGAGTAGTCTCATTGGAGCAAAATAAAAGAATGATCAGGATTCCAATAAGAAAAAGCAAAAGATTATGGACACACAGGGGATTGAACCCTGGGCCTTCCGCAGAGCTGATCGAGAGAATGCAAAGCGGATGTGATACCACTACACCATATGCCCAGCCTATAGAATGCTGATTGGATACTTGTGCATGAGCAAAAACCCTTTATGTATGGCTGCGCGCAACCGAACCAGCAAGCCTTCCACAGGTGGTGTGCGTCAATCTTCGGTCGAATTTCGAATGTGGATATTCTCGTCACCCTTGTCTCATTCAGCCGCTATTGGCTCTACATTCTTCTATATTGTTTGAAATCTGCATGCATTGCCCTTCCGAGCTCGGTCACGATGCGGCCATTTGTAAGTTGCGGCCTCAACGGCCTCCGGAGTTGGCCGGGTCTGTAACGGCGTCGGCGCCTGTCGTACCGCCGAGATCCTCTTCGTTGGTGTTGTCGTCCCCCAAGAAATGAAATCGTTCGAGGGCCCCCGGAGATCAGCCTACGGTGGGCCGGGAGGGCTAGGCTTTTCACAGCTTAGCTGGTGGGAATACAGCGGAGACAACCAGAGGACGGGAGTTGATATCGGCAATCCTCAATGCTGAGGTTGGAGGATATTGACCGTTTCGCTCTTCACTGCTGACCTTTTGCATTCACAACGCCTGCTCGTCATAGTGCATGGAACATTGGCCGGCAATTCTCTCTGTGGCAAGCGCCACTCCTGCATATCAGAATCGCATGATATCAAGTGGTCTCGGCCTCAACCAACCAGGCTTGCCGTCCTTCGGAGCATCTTCCGATCGCAACCATCCTACGCACCTAATGCCGCCCTCCAGGGGACAAGGTGGAGGAGTAACGATGCAATCCGTTAATAAAGATTTTCTCCTAGCATCCAATGAGGCGAAACAGTGGATCCTCTCAATGGTGCAATAGCTCGAAAACCCATCGATTCTGGCCCTTCTGCCCGTTTTTATATCCGGAGCCGTGCTAATTCCTATTTTTCTCTCTGCCGTTTACCGATTCTGATTTCTAATACACATTGTTTTCTTCTGCTTGTCAAGCTTGTTTGCAGTCACATGAGAATAAGGCCATCCTCGTTCGGAGATACGAGTGCTGAGCTTGACGTTGGTAATGATATTTAATATTGAAAACTCCTCTCCATCTTCGTCCGCCGTTTGAGCCTCCGGCAGTACGGGACTTTACTTAGCGCAGATCGCCACGCGAGCATAGTAACGAGCAAAGTTCATCCGCCAAGGAACTGCACGAGGATACACCCTCTAGCCGAGCATAACCTCGATACCTCGATACCACAAAACCTTAACCATGTCGTCGGCCCCGGCCCCGGTACCGGTGGACGCCGATGAGAAGCACGGGTCCGCCCCAGGCATTCGCTCAGATAACCCCTCCGAGACAACTCTAACTCCCGTTTCGAACCCCGACGACCCCGAAACTCAAAGGTCCACCCCGGCAGCCACTGCATCCAACCCCGGCCCCATCCCGGACGGGGGTCTCGAGGCATGGCTCCAAGTCCTCGGCTCCTGGGTCGTCCTCGCTGACACCTGGGGCCTCGTCAACACTTTCGGAGTGTACCAGACCTACTACGAACAGACCCTTGACGCCACGCCTTCGGCCATCTCCTGGATTGGATCGCTCCAGGGCGCTCTGCTCATGATGGTCGGCTTTGTCAGTGGCCCCCTATATGACAGCGGCTACTTCAGAGAGCTGCTGTTGACAGGTCTCTTCCTCATCATATTGGGCCAGTTTATGACCTCCCTCTGCACAACGTACTGGCAGGTCTTTCTAGCCCAGGGCGTTTGCATAGGCCTAGGCTGCGGGCTGACATTTTTGCCGTCCACCGCCATCCTAAGTCAGTATTTCCAGAAACGCCGTGCCTTCGTCATTGGCATTGCGTCCACAGGGTCTCCTATAGTTGGCATGGTGTTCCCCATCATCTTCGGCCAACTGGAACCCAAGATCGGCTTTGGCTGGGCTACACGCATCATGGGCTTCATCCTCCTTGGCCTGTCCATCATCCCCGCCGTTTGGATGCACACAAGACTTCCGCCATCGGGGCACAAACGCTCCCTCATTGACAGGACCGCCCTCAGCGACCCCGCCTTCATGCTTGTCATGCTTGGGTCGTTCTTTGGGTTCTTGTCAATGTATATTGCCTTTTTCTACATCCAGCTCTTTGCCGTCAGCCATAATATTGGCGGGACGTCGTTTTCGTCCTACTTTGTTACACTACTGAGCGCCGGGAGCATTCCGGGTCGTGTGGTACCCAATTACCTTGCCGACAAAGTCGGCGCGCTGTACATACAAACATTTCTCACCGCGGGTGCGGCCGTGATGATGTTCGCATGGCTGGGCATTCGGAATATGGCGGGGCTCGTAGTCTTCGCCATCATATACGGCCTCTTCTCCGGTGGCATGGTGAGCATTGCACCTAGTGTTATTGTAAGCTTGTCGCCTGATCTGGGCCGTGTGGGTACCCGCATGGGCATGATGTTCTTCACCTCGAGCATCTCCATTCTCATTGGCACGCCCATCGCCGGTGCAATCTTGGGAGATTACAGTGAAGTTGAGTGGCATGCCATGATTGGGTACGGAGCTGCGGCGTTGACGGTGGGTTCGATTTGTTATACTTTGGCAAAAATCTTCCAGTTGAAGAGAGCTCGAGCTACCAAGATGTAGCAAGTAAAAGAACAGAGGAGAGGTGATTATATACAATACCCTAACAACAACTAATGATAAATAAATATCAATTACACAATACGTATGCAATGCTGCCAACAGTCACAGGCTGCTGTCTTGTTCTAGTATTGTCAAAGATCACAACTGCCATCAGAGCTGTTGGTTCTTGGCAGCAACCGTTGCATTCGATCAACAATGCCGAATTGCATGACAGGCAATGGTGGGCTAAGAGCTTTACACAATATCTCATGCCCATCCTAGACCTTATTTGGGGCTAGCCGACCGATGTTTTCGGTTCAAGGTAGGCCTGCCTCGATAGTTTGAGAAACAATGCCGGCTTCCGACTGGCGGTCTTCTACCGGAGCCTAGGGTTGAACGTGCATTTTACAAATGAGCATCACGGTTGGAAACGACCTGGCGAAGCCGAATCAGTGATGTGTCTGTAAGTCGACTGGGCTTTCTGGCCACTATCACCAGTCTTTCTTTAAACCGCGTTTTCAATGTCTGTCGGCCTTCATTTGGTGTCCGGAAGTTTGCTCTTGAAAAGAGAATGTGGTGGGGCATATCCTGCAACCAAGCCAGACTATCCGCTCAGCTATGGTGCCTATGGAAATGGAGTATATCTGGCTGGCGTTGCGTAACCGGCAGATGGAAGCACATAGTGGCGGCGATCGGATTATTTGCGAGCGATGCGCCAGAAAAAAAAAGAATGCGGTTCTCTTTTGCTGGATGCGGATTAGGGCCAATGATATATTTGGCTCGTCTGTAATTGAGTCAGTGACGGTGACGAAACCAAGTCTTTGAACATGGGATACTCCCGGAACCCTGAGAGATCGAGATGGGCATCCATAGAGATGGTGAAGAGATCTCAGTGGAGGGCCAAAGAACGATGGGAAACAACTGTTGAAGGTGCTGGGAAGTCGCTCGGATCCATCGAAGCGGTGCCGCAGAGGCGTCCTATCACGGGCGCAGAAAATGTGTTGGACCCGTCTCTTGCTGTGTGTTGCTGATTCATCCTTGGATCATGTTGTAGGTGCAGCTTAGCAACGCTTAACTCAGACCCGCGCGCAAGGTGTCAGTGTGTGGGGCTTTCTCGGCCAGAGCTCCGTAGTGCTTCTGGAGCCGATACAGGCTGCAGCGATCCACCGCCCTTTGGCATCTGTCTCGTGCCGCGTACCTGTCAGCTTTAGTTTTGCGCCAGGGGAAAGCCGTCTTCTAATTTGTCAGTCACGACTAATCTCTTCCTGCCTTTTGCTAGACCGTTACTCCGTATCGTGATGCCTTTTCCTCGTCCCTGGCCGTACAAGACCCGCAGCCACTTCAATTGGCCGGGCAATTTTGGGTACTGAAGGACAGACTATTCGTATAGATTGCGATGAGGAAACAGCCTAATGTATCTTATCCCATGATTCTTCAATGCAGAGCGTTGTTAGATTAGGCAGCTCTAAGAAATTCATCTGAGGGTCGATGCCTGTCTCATCATGTAAAATCCAAGATGACCAAGGCCATCGTCTCAGATTCATCGTACAGATCGTCAAACCTGACATGGCATGCCCGTGATCTATGTTTAATCACTGATCGGAAATGTCTACAATACCATGCAAGAGAGAAGCCTCGCTAGGCTACAAGTGCCGTTTCCCCACGGCGGTCAGGGCCGACAAACAGAGGGACTGTCTTGGGTATTCGTAAGGCTCGATATGATAGCTAAATGTGTTGTTAAGCACTTATTAAGCACCTCACGCACGGTTTCCAGCCCCCCCATCGCTAAGGGTATGGCATCTGAACAGACATTGACAGGGTTCGGATGAAGAATATGGTGGTGTTCACCGGAAAATATCGCTTCATTATGCTTGAATCAGACAAGGCATTGTTCTGGATTGTTTGCCCGGCATGGGGGTTGTTCATCAAGCTCCTCTTCATCATGATGCCATCAGCCATCGTAAACTGCTCGCTAACCCACCGACGATTGGTTTATCCGTATTTGTGATACTTACACAAGCAATGTGTACGCTGGTACCTCGAGGTACGTACGTCCTTTGTCCCAGAGCTTGATGCGAGCCCCGCAGTGGGACACAGGCCCGCTTGGAGGGGTTGGTAGTGTCTGTACCTTAGGTAAGGAAGCTCTGCCATGCAGGCATTTCCCTACTACTCCCTCCCTACCTGCTTACCACGACTTACCTGAGCTGCTTCCATGTCTCAACTTCTGGATTTCCGGGTACCCACTCGGCCAGCGAAAGCTGTGTGAGACCGCATCGCGTTGGCCTGCCATGACCATTCCAAGAACTCCAAGGGTACCCAACTGAGAGACCGCCCGTTCGTAGAGCTTAGCGTGCCATTGATGGATGCAAGCCGCCTGGACGAAGTACCACACCCCTCCTTTACCCTCCAGCATGGGCACTCTTATGGCATTGGGGGCCTGATATAAGAAGATGCCATCCTCCCCAACAGACATGTCCATCCCGCACCCCTTCTCTCCATCTCTTTCTTTGTTAAGCATTGGATTCCTCTTCTCTGCAGTTGATACCCCCATCTCCATCCTTTTCACATCTCCCACTTATTCACATCCTTCACAATGGCTCCCAAGATTGCCATCGTCTACGTGAGTAGCTCTTCTTTCCTAATCGGGCAATTTTGCGTCTCCTTCACGCTGCCCCTCACCCCTCTTTCACTCAAGCTTGGTCAACGCTTGGCAGTCTCTGCTGTTGTCGTTCTTCATTCGCTCTGCTCAAGAGCAACGAAGGATGCTTCGCAGAGACCGAGGGTTCACCTTTGGATGCATTTATCTGCACCGCCGTGTCTTGAACCCTGCCGAACCGCACAAATCCATTCCATAACCCCTGCTCTCCCTGGACCGCTTTGCTAATGGTGTCTCCCCTTGCAGTACTCGATGTACGGCCACATCCGTACCTTGGCCGAGGCCGAGAAGGCCGGTATCGAGAAGGCCGGCGGTACTGCCGACCTCTTCCAGTACGTGACCAGCTCATCGGCCATAAACCCCCAAACAACTCCGACTAACATCATGTCCGCAGGGTCGCTGAGACTCTCCCTCAGGAGGTCCTCACCAAGATGGGCGCTCCCCCCAAGCCCACCGACATCCCCGTCCTCGAGGACCCCTCTACCCTCGAGTCTTACGATGCCTTCCTGATCGGTATCCCCACCAGATACGGTAACTTCCCTACCCAGTGGAAGGCCTTCTGGGACAAGACTGGCAAGCAGTGGAGCACCGGTGGCTTCTGGGGTAAGCTCGCTGGTCTCTTCATCTCTACCGCCTCCCTCGGCGGTGGCCAGGAGTCGACCGCCATCGCCGCCATGTCCACCTTTGCCCACCACGGCATCATCTACGTCCCCTTCGGCTACGCCAAGGCCTTCCCCCTCATGGCCGACCTCAGCGAGGTCCACGGTGGTGGCCCCTGGGGTGCCGGCACCTTTGCCGGCGCCGACGGCTCCCGCCAGCCCAGCGAGAGGGAGCTCGAGATTGCCCGCATCCAGGGCCAGTCCTTCTACGAGGTCGTCGCCAAGCACGTCGGTTGACTGCATGGCAGCGAGGCCGGTGCCAAGGTGGAGAATGGAACCAACGGAACCAACGGGGCCAATGGCTCCGAGAAACCGGTTCCGGCCCCGGCCCCGGCTAAGGATAACTCTTCGGCTACAGAGGGTCGACAAGGCCCAAGGGAGTTGGACGAGAAGGACGAAAAGTCGGGGCCATGTGGGCTTCCGCACAAGTGTGTCGTGCAATGAACCTCTACGCACTTGTCTAATGATATAAAAGAAAAAAGTGAAAGAAGAAGAATAAAAAAAAGGATTATAATGACCCCACATCCCCTCCTCCTTCAACTGTCTCCTGTAAAGTGAACTCCTCCATCTGAGGCTCTAAAAAAAGAAAACACCGCTTGTCGAGAGATACCCTCGACAACCACAAGGTAGAAGCGGAGTCAAAATAAGATTCATCTTGCATTCGCCGGAGACAAAATCCCTTCCTCTCCCGGCTGACTGCATTTCTGCGTCAAGGGGGGGGGGGGGGGGGGGGGGGGGGGGGGTTTCCTTTCGCTCGGGTAGTAGAGTGGCAATTGCAGGCAAGTTACACTCGCCAAAGAGCGAATGGGAAATCAAGAAGCGGGCGTGGTGTGGTGTGGCAGGGGAACGGAGAGGCTAAGGGACGGGATCTGACAATCTGACATCAGCACAGCGAGAGGAGACGAATGCTTCTTTTTATCGTTTTGGTGTTTTTTTTTTTTTTTTCCCTCCCCCTCTCGCTTCCCCTCTGTCTTTCAATTGCGACACCCCTGGAAACTTACTTCTGGACTTCTGGATCCTATCCCCATGGTGTCTTTCAGTGGCTTTGGAATGATTAACTTTCTCGTCGGCAAATCTTCCTCTACGAACCATGTGCTCGAATGCTACGAAATGCAATCTCATCCTGAACTCGCCCATGTCATTAACAGTTGTCCGTCAGCTGGCCGCGCGTCTTCGGCCGCGTGTGGTCATGATGAAGGTGATAGAGGACAGACTGTAGCCATCATGTGCATTTTCCATCATGGTATACTGTAACTAATGTTGACCTATCTAATCTGATATAACGCCCCTAAGCATGCACCCCATTTGTCTGGTGTAAAACGCCTCAGCCTCAGCCAGTCAACTCGCAAGCCATTTGAAAGAAATTAAGCCCTGTACATGTAGCCCCTTCACCTCCGACCGAACAGAATGTTCTTGCTGTCGTGGACATTGATCATAGTGTACTCCGCCAGCAGTGGGTCCTTGTTTCCAAGGTTCAGAGTGATGGCGAGCAAGTTGGGCTCGGTCCAAGTAGGACGCAGGCCGCGGCCCTCGAGGCGCTCCCACCAGTCGAGAAACTTTGCTGAGGTCATGCCATTGAAGAAGTGAATTTCAATCATGAGCTGGCCTACAGGCAGTTCCTCGCCCGATGTTAAGGGAAAGTCGTTGACAAAGCCCTCCATGGCTTCAAACTCGGCGAACTCAATGTCCATTTTCAGAATATCACTAGAGAACATCATGTTAGTTTTCCGGCAAATTCAATCGAGTAAGGAGAGTCATACAGGTACTTATGGCCGTTCATATCCATCAGGTCACTGATGCTATAGAATGGAGGGTTTTTGGTTGTGTCCGTCTTTCCTGCAATGCCTGCTTGGAGGAAATGCGCTCTGTCGCGATTGGAAGGCTCAAGCTGCTCGCCAAAGTCGACAACAGAGAAGTCGTAGGCCCATACGACACAGTTGGTGCGGCTAAGCATCTCATTTTCTGGCAGCAAATCTCGTCAGTAAAGATTGATTGATCCATGGATATGTCAGCCTTGTGGCCTAATGGTATGTACCTACCGAAACTGGACTCGTCACGAACGCCAAAAGAGTAGATGATGCAATCTCTACCCTTGGGATAGTTTACATATTGAGACATGCCGCATACCCACTTGCCGCCATCTCCCATACGACCGACGCGTTCCACCTCATGGGGGCAACTATACGAAGCTGGTGTGAAATCCCAGATGGAGTATGGGTGCTTCTTATAGAAATCGGCATTGGTAGCAGGAAACCTAGAGAGCAAAGAGTTGTTAGTCTCATGTCTATAACGATCCTGGGGGTTGGAGCACAAACAAAGGCATCTTAGAAGCATCTCCGTAATCGGCGGCGATCATATCATGACGCTGCTGCACAGTTTTCGCCCAGATGGCCTCGGAAGTTGCCATGAACTCGCGCATTCCGGGTCGGCTGTTGGGAAGGTTCTGGGCGAGATTGCCCATCTTGTTGGTCGCCCACTCCTTGGCCTGATCTGGGGAGCCTAGAGATCGTAAAAGAGCAACCAGAAAGAGAAGACCGGCGGCCAGCCAGAGCATCTGGACGACACGCCGATTGTTCGCAGTCATCGCCATTTCGGTAATTTGGTCGCCAAGCGGTGCTCTTGATGGTGACGAGTCGAGGAGCACGGGTCGTCTCTCCAGCTTTTGGGCTTAATTGAAAGAATGGTATCGACACGAAGCCGAGTATGGGCACAATCAAGTGGACTCCAACGGACGGAGTACTTGGACGGCCGGATCGTCAGGATCGGATTGAAAATGAACGAGACGTGTTTGAGAAGAATTGCAGTCACGGACCGAACGCTCGGGAGCAGTTGATAAGGAAAGGAATGATGAATCAAGAGTAGACCACCAGAGGTAATGATACCCACGGGCAGAGAATCATGGAGAGGGGACAGAGGTAAGAAAGTTTGAGGAAGGAAATAGTGGAAAGGATACCGACACTTATTGAAAGGCAAGGGAAAGGCCAGGTGCACTTGCTTGGTGTACCAACTTCCACCACACTCGAGTCAATGAGGGGGAACGGTCCACAAGGTATGGTACTTTCCTTTTCTTGGAGATGTTTCCTTGTGCCAGGTCCCGGCAGCTCTTACCTTCTCTTCGCTACTAGTAGATTTACTTAGCAACAGTACACACTTCCTTGACCAACCCAAACGTGAAGCGTTTGGCGTCCGGAGTGGGGAGGTTCAGCCAAGACCAGACAGGCTAAAATCGCCTCTATCTCTCGTCGTCCCAAGCTTGAACGGGCAGGGATTCAGCGAGCTTTGAAAAGTTTAGGAAGATCAGTTTCCATAGAACCGCACGTGACTCGCTCTTGCCCGGGGTCTAGTGTTTGGGATGACATTTTAGGTTTGGGGATGCAGAGCTGACAGGATGAAAAACCGACGGCATCGTCCGACATCAATAGCCCGAGAGTCCGCCCTATTTCTTCTGCATTAGAGAATATCCTAGTCTGTGATGTGGCGTTCAGTAACGCTGGGTATTGTGGGAAAGGTGGTGTATATATGACAGTTGTGTATGGGGGGTTTATAAAGGGCAGCCACTGCTTTTAGCCACAGCGCCATTAAGCACGTTGCTGTGTCATTCCACTCTCTTATAGCCCCTAACTGCCTGCCCCCTTTTTGATATTGAAGCTAATAAACAAAGAATTCTTCAACGGGTATCTTTTTTCTTTCTATCCAACAGCATGGCACGTTGTCTTAAAAACGCCACCGTCAACAGCCTTCTGCCAAGAAATTACGAAGCGACTTGACATTGCCGTACCTCCTGAGATTCTACCGCACCCTCCTTTCGTTGGCATCTGCTCAGCTGAAGTTCCTAAATGATTCCCTCGAACGCGATAACCAGGCCAGTCCGAGCATGGCCTGCTAGGCGGCCAAGAATCTGACGGTTGTTCTGGGCATTTCCGCTTTTCTTTCCTAATAATCGGCTCTCATCATCTCTTGAACAAATTCGTTTGCGAGCCGAAAAATGGATTCGGCTGATATGATGTTCGATATGCATCCATTTCTGTGTCGTTACTTTTCCCTCCATCCGTCAGATCGCATGGCGCGACCTTGATCTCGCCGCGCACAATTTCCACCATTGATACGAGGGGGAAGAGCAGCACAAGCAGCGACAATAGCTGTCCGAAAGACCATCCCTTCTCGCCCTCATCGCTCAGGTCGTACACTGGTCCTTTCCCGAAGGCATCCGAGGCGATAATACAGCGCACCGCAGCGCCGACTGCTGACACAGCCATGAGGAATGTGCCGACAAGCTTGATTATCTTGGCGAAACGCTGCGTCCGGAGGTGGAGATACCAGCTTGCGAAGGAGAATACAAGGACGTTTCCCGCGATGACAAGAATGGTCCCGACATAGCTCAACCCTGTCATTGAGCGTAATCCTTCGTTGCTAACTTTCCATACGCACGCAACGGGCAGCTTCGAGTCCTGCATGCCTATGGAGACTCCCTGCAAGATGAAGACACCGTACACGCAGTTGAAAACAAGGTTAACGAACATGAGGAACTGACGCAGCCAACGCAGGACCCAGTCGCGGCGGAAGTCGTGGACAAGGGCGAGGAGTGTCGCATTATGGACCGCCATGGACATATTCGAGAGGGTCCATATAATGAAGAAGTGGTAAGGTACCATGCTATTTATACGTGCAAGCCCAACCGATGATATGCCGATACCCTGGAGGATCTGCTGATCGGAATAACTGTTGAGTAGCTTCCGGAGGATGTTTGACGGCTTCCCCTTCATCTCCTGTATAATAATGGACGAACTAATGATGAGAGAGAGGCCGGCGGTGATGATGAAGGACAGCAGGACGCCAATGCCGGCGACGCCTGCATCGCTGGGTACTGGCGCGTTGGCCTGGACGGCAGTGCAGTTGGGGCCGTCGAAAACCGACATTTTGAGAGCTGCCGATGGTTAAGATTTACTTGTTGTAATCGTCGTTTTCGTTATTTATGGTCGTGTTTTATATCAATGTCCGTCAAGAGTTCGCTCAGTGGTACAGAGAGGAATGACGAAGAAGAAAAGTTGAAAGAAAGAAAATGCTGTGGCTGGGAGAAGATGTCCGCAACGCTCAGGCTGATCTGGACATAAAGTCCTTGAGGATATCTTCCCGACAAAGGCTAAGCTGCAGGACGTCGAGAAGTTGAATGGCGATTGTGACTTCGAGGTAAGAAATCGAATGGTGAACAGTTGTGGCGCGGATGATCTTCCTCCTTTTTTTTGGTCCCTTATGACGTACATCTAAGCGCTGCCCTTGTCGTCTGAAACGGTTGTCCGCGGGGGAAGATCCCTGAAGCTGCTAAATGACTGGCTCACAGGGCCCTCTCGGCGACCTCTTAGCGTTGATGCCCGCTCTGCTGTCCGTGGCTGTGCCCCACCAAAGCCATCTGGTTGATGCCCATCTTCGCCTGTAGATCCCTTCAATTCCTCCACAGCGCCCTTTCACCTCGTCACGGCTACCTCAAGGTCCCCCTGTCATCTTCTACAATGCACACTTTCATGATTTCATGAGGCGCAGGATTACGGGGCCATCTGATTGGCATTCCAAATCCTATCTCATTTGAACTGGGTACTGACGAACACACGCACGGCTTCTTGTCCTACGACAAGCCAACAAATCAGTCTTGTCGATCCTTTGTTGTCGACCAGCGCGGCGCACCTGAAGCTACCACAGTCGTGAATCGTTTGTAATTGACCTTTAAGGTTGTCTCTTGGAGAGGAGTCGATATCATCCCTCCAAGGCAGTGTGCTATGGTAACTCCCTATATGCGTTGTGGCGCGCGTTTGATTTGGTCATTGGCGCCAGAAGAACTAGACCAGAGATGACTGGACAATAGCTTTGATGACTGTAAAATCGTTGATGTATTTTCTTACTGAGAGTATAGCTCTAGTGCAATCATTCTAAAACAAGATTTCGCTCTAATAATATGGTATCAGAAAGCAACAATCGAAGGAAGACATTTTGATGTAACAAAGGAGAAGAACGAATGTTTAGCGCGCAGATGAAGCGTTTGTTTCGCCATCATCAGCTGTTGCCTGTTTGCCCTCGGGTGGTGGTAGCCTTACAAGGAGCAAAAATACCAGAGCTACCAAGCAAAAGGCAGCGACACCCAAGTAGGGCAGACCTATCCAAAATCCTCCCATTTTCATACCTACACTGAACAGCCCCGCAAGCATTGGCTGTGTATACGTCTGCCCACCCGTCTCAACCAGCGAGATGATCGAAAACAAACGAGTCCGATGCGCCGCGTCAACGAAAACGCTGCTCACACTTCTCACATAACTGGCCCATCCAGCACCCAATGCAAGGATGGTAAGGCCACCAATGAAGAACCCAACATTTGGAGACGCAGACATGGCCAACGAACCCGTTAGGAGGGCTATTGACGACAATCGGGCGAGGAAGAGATCGCGTTGGTGATCGTCCGGTAACCGCACCGATTTGGGCGCCTTGGGTGAAGCGAGAAGCTTTGAGAACGCCGGAAGAATAACAATGACCGTGAGAAGGACACATATGCCATACAAGGACGAAAGATAACCCGTCTGCGAGAGCGAGACATGGTAACGTTTCGAAGCGAAGATGGACATGAATTGGAACGTCGAAAGCATGACGGGATACGAACTGAGCATCGCCAGCAGCAAGACGATCAGAGATGGTGATTTCAAAAGACGAAGGGATTCCTTGATTCGATGAATCGTGTGCTGGATGGAGCCAAGCATGGGAGATGCGGCCTCGGGCTCGTCTGCGATAGGATCTGACGATAGTTGAGCGGCCGGTTTTGTCTCAGGAATGAGATGAATGCTGAATATCAGACTCAGGAAACCAGCGTAGGCCATCGCCATGACGGGCCAAGGGCCAGTTCTCTCCATCATCCAGCCGGCGAAAGCGGGCGCGCACAGGTTTCCGATCATGGACGCTACGTGTATGCGCATGAAACTTTTGGCTCTGTTGGAAGAATTAGCTCCGAGTCTGGAAAGCGAATAGGAGACAACGAACCTGTTCTCGGAAGTAGTGACATCGGCGAGCATCGAAAAGACAATGGCGGATACAACCGCATTTCCACCTCCGATGACCATCATCATCGGGCCAACCCAAATGGCTTCAAGTGGAAGCGTTGCCGGAAAGGCGCAAACTATGGCAAACCAAGCCTGGTCCAAAGCCATACCGAAGATGGTCAGAGAGAAGACCAGTTTTCTTCCCAATCGATCGGCAACGATGCCCCAAGGAAATGCGCAGGCAGCTCCAATAGACGCCTGAAGAGCACCGTACACGGCAAAGATGTAGGCGACTTTGGACTGAATGGCGTCCTCCTTGCACAAGCTCTCATCAATATTCTCATTGCTCAAAACGTCATAGTAATGGCGACAGACAATGTCCTCGACCTTGCGGGTGGCGGGGATCACCCACAGTCCTCCACCGGCAGACCCGACGAGGACAATGGCACAGAAGATACTAACAATAACGTCCGGGTTATGCACCTTGGGCACGTGGATGTTGCCTGCGGCGCGGAGGAGCGAGTCGGTACGACTGCGGCCGGTACCGGGGCGCCGTGACTGTTCGGCAAATAGTGGCGTCGATTCGGTCGGCTCATCCTCCGAAGACCTGGACGGCACCATGTTGGAGTCGATGTTGAGGTCGGATGATTCGGTGCGGCGATGCATCTTGGCTGCGGTGTAACGGGTCCGATGGCTCCGGGATTGCCTACGGGTATGGTAATGCCAAGATCCCAAGGCACAACACAGCTGCGTGAAGTCTAATGCGGGAGAAAAAAAATCTTAGGGATTGAAGGAAAGTTAAATGTAACTGAGAGACATCACCGATTCCTTCTTGGGCGTGATGGTGTTGAGAAAACGCATACGGCAATCTTATCCCTTACTGACGCGATGGGACCCCACGATCAGACACGAGGTCTGAAACTGATAACTCCCTGTGGAACGAAACTAACTTTGGGTCCGCGGCTACTAATGACAGGCGACGTATGCGTGCCACGATGCCGTACTGGAGCTTGCGCTGGTGCAGTCGTGGCCGTATCCAGATATGCGTGGCACGATAAGGCACAGATCAGATTGACCGATGCGAATGCAGCCCGCGCAAGTCGGGGTCTACGTAAGGAATTAAAGAGAGCAATCATACACAAGGCACCGTTATCTGCGTTGCGAGTGCCCGGACGTAAGCTCCGGAGTAGGAAGAAGGAAGCGCCAGACGCAGTGCGCTGTCGTCATCAGCAATAAACGGCGAGGATGACTGGTAAGGCCTACTACCAAGTCTCAACTGCGAATGAGCAACAGAGCGCGTGACTGAAAGAGGCAAAAGGTGATCAGTGAACAACAAAGTGCAGCGGTATCGTACTTGGGCTACGCAATCAAGTGGTTACGATGTAGGGCTGCAGCTCTGAAGGGGGTGCCAAAAGTTCCAGCTTGCTGGGGCGGGAGGAAGCAGGAATATCTTGGCACATTCAGTCACAGATAGCCTTCACACACGCGAGACTGACACGGCAAACTGGAGAATGAGCACGCACTTTGAGTTGCAACAAATCAAACGCCCGCAGCGTTCCCAGCTTCCAGGTTAGGCATGGCGCCCAGTGTCTTTTTCGGGAAAACCGGTGCACCAGAACTGGAGCTGGAGCATCCAATGAGCGTTCGGACGCCGGCCGCCTCCCGATTGGGGAAGCGCGTTGTCATCGAGGTGTTGAACACTGGATGTAGCATGTCTTACGGACACAGATTACTGCTTGAATAAGCAAAGCACTGACTGACGTGGTCTCGCTTGCGCGGCAGATTCCCAGTATCCGTTGCCCGCCCTGCCAAGCATGGAAAATCGAAAACCCTCCTCCACTCTTGCAATGGCCGTGAACTGAGAGGGGGCTCGCCGACAAGCATCATTGTCGTCGAGTACGCTTTATCCGTGCAATACGACGCGCGTTGGATTATTGGAGGACTACTTGTTGATACCTGCCAGTATTTCTCCGATTCTCCCTGTCTGCCCGAAAGTGCTCAAGGTTCTTTCAAACGTAACCGGAACCATCCGCGGTGCCGCTCGTTGGAGCGGCACAGCACAAGAGGTGGCACAAAAAAGACTGAGCACAAAGTCGCAACGGCGGCGCAACACATATGGCAAGTCGCCCCGGGTCTCGCTTAGCCATTTTGGAAGCAGAACAGTCTGGCCGATGCTCGGCTCAGCTCTAATTCCTAGTCAATTCATTTCCCACACGAACTCCACCGAGGGACGACGACGCGATGCTCCCGCGGAAGACCATATACTTTCCGCCGGACACTTCCTGCACCAAACTATGAGGCAGCCCCAACCATGTTAAAAGTATAACGCAAACCCAGTCCAATGGCATTCGCCGCGCAAGTGAAGTGGGGAGGCCAATGAAGCTCACTCTCAATAGTTTGGACCATTTTTGTTCGTCGTTTCAACCTCTTATCTATCGTTTATTCCCATACGTTCTGAGAAATCTTAATGCTGGTACTTGTGAACTATCCAGACTCGCTTCACAACGTTCACTCATCTTCAGAATTGTCCAAAAATCTCCACCGAGCTTTCCTCCGGATCGGATCTAGTTCCGCTGCCCGAAGAACCATCTGGCGACGTACGCCCATGGCCATCATCAAATTTCACTTTCCTCTTTCATACATCTCCTGCGCAAATTCTCACCGGTCACTTGCTGCGGCTCATCTATCCCCACCACCAACATAAGGCCCTGTACTTCGTACACATCAAGTCGATGAGAGACAGTAGGTCAATCTGTCACTTCACCAACCAACAAGTGAAATTCGCCATGGGCCCCCTGCAGCATCTTGTGACGGGCAGCTGATTAGCTGCATTTGTCATCACCTTGCTGCCACAATACACGATGAAGGTTACCGACACCTGGCTGCTTCCTTACTGCACAGCATAAACCTAAAGTCTGAGGGTGGCAAGCTTCCCTGAATCGGTCGACGATTAGCTCAATTATGCTTTCGCCTCCTGCCGATTGTGCAAGGCGAAAGCTAATAAACTGAGTGATATTTCCAAAATCAAATGACATGAGAGAGTCTCAGATTTTTACATTTGTAGTTCTTGCCAAAATCGCGATTTATGAGATGCTGACAATTTAACGGGTTCGTTAGCAATACTGGTAAGCCGATTCCCTGCAAGTGAAAGCTCGGTGGATGAAGTGAAGACTAGGCCGGGCTTTTACTAGAGCTGCTTATGCAGTATGCGTTTTGGTTGAAGAATAGATTAAGGTGAACGATGAATAGCTTATACGGGTTGCATAATCATTATGTGAGTATCATAGTCATATGACATAAATTAGTGAACAATTTTAAACCGAGTACACATTTGGGCCCTGTAACGATCCTCTGAGTCCTGCCTCCGACAAGTGCTTGTCGTAATGAGCGTGTGCCGAGGTTACTGACGAACGTTGCAGACAGGTCGTGAAAGAAACATATCAACAGAATACCTAGCTCAGAACACTTGTTACAGTAAGCATAGTCTTTGACTAATTCTTAAATATTTTCGCTAGAAAAACAAGCACTTTTATATAACTCAAAATATTAAATACAGTCAAATTTGAACTTTTTTTCTTACTAGACAATGTCGAGCATTCACTTCCATCGTTTGTCCACAAGGTGTCAAATCCTCAAGACACAAGCATTTCCCACATTTGTAGCGACCTGCCACCAACATGAAGGTCGCCTCTGTACTCCTCACTCTTAGAGTTCTATTGGATGTTGGATATTGATATTATCTCGGCTTATTTACACAAAAACTATTCTCGCAAAGCAGCAAGTACAAGGAAATGTGAAGGTTGGAAAATTAAACCTGAAGACGATATCTTTCAGGGAGCTTCCCAGGGGTCTTTCCGCGGCTGCCATGAAAGTCCTTTGTCCATATCCAAAGGATGAAGCTATCGATTAGAAGCCTCTCGGAAAAACTTACGACATTAGTGGTGTCGATGGTGCTTGCTCTTTCGAGGCTGTGGTAGAGAAATCTCTCAAGGGCAGCTGAAGCTGGAACATGACTACCTAGTTTCTATTTATATGCCCTCAGTTACAAACTAAGCATCTTTCAAACGTTAATAATGGGCATGAAATGTTGATTGTGAACATGTAATGTGAAGTTAATGGCAGCCTAGAGCCAAAGCCAAATCGAATGCATAGGTTAGGGGAAGTTCAGGATGCCATAAACACCAAGCACGCGGGATTACTCGCTGCTATCGAAAGATCGAACGGATGCACCCCCCTCCTCCTTTCAACTGACAAGAATGTCATAAATAGATACAGCAACTCAGCCGGTTTTGCCCTGCCGCAAAATATGCACAGAGAGCTCGAAATAATGAACAATCCTGGAGAAAGAGATTTGTTCGTTCATTGCCAGGAGAATGTATATCAATTTCACTTTGGTGTGTGCATATCATGGTCACGCCAAACGGCACGAACTTCAGGGCCTCCCCAGGGTGGTCTACCGCCTGCTCTGCTCATTTTTGGAATATGCCTCAGGGAAGTTTTCCAACTCGCCCTTAATGGAGTTTGGTTCTTGCGAATGCTACGTCGGCCCATTCATCTACTACATACAGCATCTCGGCTGTTCCAGCCCCACACCCAACGCGTTTTGATAGTCTCGAGGGTGGTGGCATTCTTGAGTTTAGACCTCCCATTCTGCGTAAGGTAGTCACTGCCTCTAGACATCCGGTTTCAAAACCAACGTATCGATAAGTGAGAGCCCTTACTTTACGAACGCAATATTGCCCTTCATACTAGGTAATGAACATCGTCACAGCAGGAGCGATAGGTGACTTGCCGGCCAAATTGGAGATGTGACGTTGACTGCATGTTTGTTTGATCAAACCCTCCCCTCGCTCGTCTTTGCCCAACCCATCAGGGGGTCGCCAAGTTAGAGACCTCAACAACTGCGGCGTGTTCCAACAGTGGTGTGGTAGGATGTCAGGCCAGCCCCTGTCATAACCAAGACCCGGATACGTAAGGTATTTGGCATCTAGCCCCAGTGTTGGTAAACTTGAAAACATGTAGTGATGCAATGTAACAGTTGGTGACAAGCCCAGATTAATCCAATCCGTTCATCGCCACCGTATCAAGACTCCCTTCACAGCTAAGATCGAACGCATCGAAGCATCAACAAAGGCACGTCACATATCAAAGATTTTGTTCTACTTGTATCTGTCACATATTCGTTGGTATCACTGGCCCAGAGGTTGAACACGCATACCCGCATTCAATGATAACTCATAATTCTGAAGTTCTAGGCCGTGCGCCAGAGATGTAGAAGCAACCCAGAATCGACACCCCGGATGGTCCCATGCCGCCACTGTCTTCCCCTCACCGGCCGCTGCTCCCTGTCCTATCATCGTACCACTTACTGCATCCGGTGGCTCATAATGGAACTCTAGGCTGAGATCGGATCGAGCAGAAGTGGACGGGAGCCCGCTCTACGGCCCGCGCACCATGACGGCGCTGTTTGTTCAACTTGTCTATGCCTGTCAGGTCTGTTCCATGCCTGTTCGTACGTGGCACCGGCCGAAGTGGGAGGGGGCCCATGTAGTATATAGCATGCTGCACCCGGAAGCCGGAACTCAGGCACTTGCTTTTACAATAGAGCACCCTTCTGAGCATTAGCGTGAGTTGGAAGAACCCTGCAGACTTCCAACGACGGAAAGTAATTGGGGGCGATAGCCTTTCGCGCCGATGCAACTCGGACTCTACAACCCCGCTGACTTTGCCTGGCCTTGCCACTGTGCTATGTAGGTAATTGCCGCCAAGGCAGACTACGCCTGTAAATGACCTCGCGCGACATTATGTATAAGCAGGGTGTCGGCCATGATCCTAGATATGAGGTCCGACCAGCCAGGCCAGGCCAAATGAGACATAGGAGGCCTTGCATTTGGCAAGGAGGGGCTAAGGGGGCCAAGATAGGGAATACGCCTTTCCCTACTAGTAAAGATGTTTCCCAAGAAGTGGGCTCTGAGAGGGGTGGCGAGAACGAGTTGAACTCGCCGACTTGCACAAAATCGATGGAACTTACCTTCTCTCCAGGGATCGCATCATGCCATCGAATGGCGGACACGCATCCCAATGGCAGGGCCCGAAAATTCCAGCTACAAACCGGGAGCCGGGGGCATGGATGTGGTGATGCCTTTCATTTGTGCCCGAAGTTCAGAGATCTCCATTACGGATGCGCCTTCGGTCTTCCGAAGTGAGAGCGGCCCACTACTAGTAGTTCAGGATAGCACTGAGATGAATTGTGCTGGCCCACGACCGGCCTGCCCCCTGTCCAACAGATGTTTCTCGCCATCCTGGTCAGTCAAATCCTTGACTGTAAGCAGAATTTGCAAGGATGTCAAGGTAACGCAAGCCCAGTGGGCGTCAAGACGGCCATACCAACAGACAGAATGTGGCCATCACACCCAGTTGCGTGAGGGGTTATGAGAGTATGGTCCCGACAGTTTGGTTCGCCCTGGCTCTCGTCACACTCCATCACACTCATTGACACCGCGTAATCTCCTTTCTTCCGCTTACCAGCAGCCGACGTGCAGTTTGCCTAATGAGAAGTAGATGAGCTCAATTGACAAGTTCGAGTGGCTGAGTAGAATGCAATGACGAAAACAGACGGGTTTTCAGCTGGACATGATGGTATATGAAACATTTTGCACAACAAATTTCCGTGATGTAGGGTGGCCGCTCAAGCTTGGCGCATCGTGTTGCTGAATTGTGCGGGGAACCTATGGGCCCATCCTGCGCCTTGCGTCTTGACCAGGATTTAATTATGTACCAACACATGGGCACTTGTGAAAGTAATGCTTGCCCCAGAAGAAAAAGATCTAGTTGGTAGGGTCGATGGTCTCCCGTGACACTGGTATATGTGAGACCTAGGATGCCTTGATTTAATGTAGGTTGACAAGTAGCTTCAGGTTTGTAAGGTATCAATCATATCTGGAGCGACCGCCTTTAGTGTCAGCTCAATAGCAAAGTACTGCAGAGTACGAACTAGCGATGATGTTATCCGTCAAAAACTGGAATCCATTGATGTATATTCTTTCGACCCCAGAAGATAAACGGGGCCGCATGACGCTGCATTGCTCATCTTGTGCACGCCACACCTTACAGGCTCACTTGTTCCTGGCACTTGGGTGCTTAGGTCCCAAGAACCCGGACTGTAGTTGCCACGGGGGCTACGATTTACGTCTCCTGCAAGAGTATTTCATTCCTCACCCATTTAACCGTGCTAGTACTGTCAAGACTGTCCATTCAAATTATGATTAGATATCAAGAGGTTGTATGTGCATATCATCAGCTAAGCGCTCTCAAGATGCCAACCCTGGACCAAGCCAAAACTGGCTACGGCTATCGACAACTGCGCGATGGCCCACATCCTGGGCAACCAGGATAGGATAAGTGACATTCACCCCTGCTGTACTCGTCTACAGGACCAACCATAGGCTGATTCTACTAAAACAGGTGATGGATGCATCATGCAGTGGTTTGTCTTAGCTGCCTCGCCAAGTCCCTCGTCTTGCTGGGGCAAGCGACGTTGATTGATATGCACCTTAGGAGCTCATATGCAGAGACGGAGATCGGGCTCGATTAACAAGAATGTGTGGGCTTCCATTGAGCGCTTGACATTCCCAAACTAACAAGCTAGTCGGGGCAGATACACTATCCATGCGGAGTGCTAGGGCTTCATCCCTTGTTACTTCCTAACCGATGTTGTGAGTGTTTGCTTGTTGGTCGCCAAAATGCAGGGTATCTTGACTCTTTGTCCTTTTCTCACTTTCTCTTTTCTCATGTTCTTATGGAATGGCTGTTTTTTTGTCTTGATACATGATCTGGCTTTCATCCATCACTCTAGATATGTATGGTTTGTTGACGTATAAAACTTCTTGAATGGTGGCATACTTACCTCGCGCTTTCATTCTTATCATCAGTACATTTCCCCAATCTGATTTAAGCAAGTCGTCAGTCCTCTGGGTCGACAGCCACAAATTTTCTCTTTCCGTCTGCAGGCACTTCCTTATCTTGTCGCCTCCGAGGGACCTGAACTGTTGTCTACTACGGACCTAGAAGTAGCTGCGTGCCACTTCTCCTCTCAACATGGCGCTTTCTTTTGAAACGAACATTTCCACCCAAGTGGCCGTTAAGAATGCGGAAAGAGTATCCAAAAAGCGATCCTACCAAGAATGTTCGAAAGCAGAGCCTAGAAATCTGTGTTCCCTTGATAACCCACTGGCTATCGACAGAAAGACACAAGATTCAGCTGAACAACCAGTTGATCGGCCCAAATCCGCACACAAGTCGACTCGGAAGCCGGTTCGACGACTACGCCCTACCCGTACTCGAAACTCTGACCACAGACCGGAAGCAACTGGCTTTCTGCCGCCCGCTTTATCATATCGACCTCACCTACCAGCACCCCGTCATCTCGGGCTTCTTCCATCCTCTCAACTACCCTATGCCATACCAACTAGTCATCACACCAGTCTAAGTACTAGTTGGTTGGATAGGCAGCCTAAATGCGGACACGGGGAAAACATCAGTGAGCAGGCAGTCGGGGCACAGCAGCAAACCAACCAACCGCCCTCGAACTACAGCCTCGAACAAGGCTTCCAAAAAGTGCCGCCCGAAATAAGGGATATAATTCTCAAAGATATGGACTGCCACACAATGTTGTCCTTGCTTAGAGCAAACCCCTGGTTTCACACCATAATCAACGCGTCAAAGTTCGCCACCGAAACACTGGTAGCACACATCATGGATCTCGAGAGAAGCGAAACGGAAAACCTGGGTTGCTTCGTCTGTTATAACATGCGCCCACGAGCGGAGTTCGGACACAATCAGCCCACAACAGCTATCAAGTACTCTGATGGACGATTGGAGCCGTACGACGATGACGAGCCAGCCTCAGTTCCGAAATCAGCCAGGACTGTGTCGTTACGTAGGTTTTGTATGAGCTGTGGCGTCCAGGTTGGCATGCACCGACGCGGCAATCGTCTGATATCAATGGCTGGAAACCATCATTGGGTATGCTACTGCCAGACACTACGTGCTATTCCAAACGAAGGTGCAGACCAAGGCAAAGACACCTGCCCAAGGTGTCAACAGACAAGTCCCCTTCGGAATCCGGAACACGATTAACGAGGCAAGAGGTAGTTTTGTGTTGTACCTCTCGAAATGCCTATCGAAGGCTATAGATGGCATGACGAGCCATTATCTGAACCGGCAAAAAGAATTGGTCCGGTGGAAGTTTGGGTTCGGCATCATGGGCTTGGGAAGGTCTGCTTGAACAGGTTGGCACTTTAAGTACGACCGCTGGGAGGTCAAATATTCCCTCTCCTAGAAACGGCTAAAGGAGTCTTGAAGGAATTTTTGGAGTTAGGTAAGGTAAAACGCTGTAAAAATAGATGGGAGCCAGTGGTTTGCTACCGGTGTGGTAGTCATACTATGGGCCTTTGCGGGCTTGATCAACTCAGCTCTTTGGATAGAGCTTGCGACCAGCGGGCTCCACGTGATAGACAGTCTAACCAATGAATGAGATTTGGAAAAGAACAAAGAACAATGGTACTTGAACAATTTGACAGATAAAGAAATGAGCATGAAGATGCTTGCATAGAGGAAGAAAAAGGCAAAACCACATCTATATGAACAATGATCATTTTGCGTATCGTATTAGCTATATTATTCTTTGTTTTATGTGCCCATTTCATCTTCTAACTGACCTAACCCAATTTTTTCTATCTCTTCCCACGTATTCTTGTATTCAACTTTTGATAATGCTTAAGAGTGTATGTCTACCAGGAACAATGCAGACTAATTGTAACCAGACCTTCCTTTGGTCGTGGCATTGCGATCATTGCGATCGCGAGTTCGGTTGTAGCCGCTGCGGCCCATGGGAACCTCAGAGCACACCCCACTTCCTGACATCTTGACATATTGAGACCCTTCGTGAAGCCTGCCAAGAGCATCTCTTTGCCTTTGACCCTGGTGGGATCTTGGTCGGCTCGAACTACTAGAACTTCGGTTTTCCATGATAGAAACTATTCGAACCTGCTGTATTTCGGTATCAGTCTGAGTACGAAGCCGCTAAGTTACTCAAGGAGTCAGAAGCTACCTCACGGCGGCGTGCTGCTCACTCTTCAGTGAAAATTTCAACTAGTCAAGATGATATCTCGCAGGACGGTGTCAATAGATGCTTTTTGATAATAGTATGATTGGATGAGATCAGAATATCAATAATGGAGTACATTCTAGTCGAGTATGTTGCTGCAGGTGTGGCAAAAGTCTTCGAATGATGGTAGCTGGTAAGTGACGGGGAATTCTTATGATCTTGTATACTCACTCAGAACTGCGCACTGAGCAGGCTTCATGAGGCAGAGTTTGCATGTCGCAACCTTGCTTCGGGTGATGAAAGCCGAAGGAAGGATGACAAAACTACCAATACCGCAAAGGTCGCATCGACGTAACCACTTGACATGTGCCTCTGGCCTGATAATTACTCATCCGAGGACACCAAACCTGTCTAACATAGGGTTGCGTAATACGGCTTTCAACAGGACTGGCCATTACTGGATTCAACAAATAAATGCACAGACATAGAATGGCGATGAAAGAATGGCAACTGCATGGCTAGGCATGTAAGCCTCCTTGAAATGGGACGGTAAGGAGATGCAGAGGTGGGTATGATGGAAGGTAGGAACCGAAACACACTACTACAGTAAGCTTAACAAACAACTCGGAACACCTCCTACAGGGCGATGGTAAGAGGAAGTTTGGGCATTTGCTTTTTGCAAGGTGATGCTTGGACGCTTCGGCATGGTAGCCATGTCCACGGGCCACGGCTTGCTGTGCCGAAAAAGCTTATGGTTCCCGCTCTAAAGCTCGGGCACTCTTTTCCCACCAAGTTTTGCAGTGGTTTCCGTCTGTGAGCTGATTGTCAGAGCCAAAACTTCCACAATTTCTCAGACCCAGAAGGTAAGGCCGAGTGAAGTGTCTCAGGTTGTGTGAAATCAAAGGTATAGGTACGTATAAAGGTAACTGCTACCTCAACAAATGTAAAAAAGTGGTGTGGCCCCCAGGCTTAAAAATCATGTGGCAACATTATCAAGAAACACACTGGATTTGAGTAACTTTCCATCGGCCGTGATTACTGCCTTGAATTGCTACCGGTGTATTTGATGAATAAATCAGTAGAAACCAAAACCCTTCCTAACCGATAAATAGCCTTTCCCCGAGGCTGTTGTTGTCTGTCATAGACGAGTGCGATCCTTACTTCAACGTGAAGCATTGGGCATAAGGCCCGATCCAGGACGCATGAGTTCAAGATTATACATGAATCTTTAATTCGCCTCCACCAGGTATATGCTACGAGGACTTGCTATGTTTCTACGAGTTGCTTCGACGTCTCGCCTTGGTGGATCGCCCTGCATAAGCTTAGGCCGCCCAAGCGCGGGACATCGCATCGAAGACTCACGGTACCCTCTTAGCTTTGAACAAAAGTAAATATTGTTTCCACTGGAAAGCTCCCTGAAAGTGTTCCTGGAAGTTTCAAACAACAGCAAGCAATTAGTCGCCTCCGAAGATATTAGGGCTCGCATCACCTTCCCAAAGATGAGGCCTTTTCAAAGTGACCCTAGGGTAGGTATCATCTCACTGGGGTTGTTGGAGACATGCTTGCAGCTGCAAACGACAAAAGTCTGCGGCCAACTGATCTAGTCTCATGGACTAGATAAGTTTCTTGACGGATGCAGCATTTTACAAGTTATTGGCGCTTCTAACTGACGTCAATTCAGGCTCAAGCACCTGTCAAAATCGTTCTTCTATTCCACCGACCTTGGCAAGGCTTGGCATTTCGTTTTGCTCTAGGCATCATGAGCTTGCAATGGATGGTTATCTCCTTTGGGTGAAACAAAATTGGCATCCGATTTGAAGATGCAGTACCTGAGACGACGCCCGAGCCAAGGATGACAGACGGATGAACGGCAGTCGGAGGCTGCGTTACGACGACCGTTGTCAGCTCATGATCCGGTTCCGGATGTAGGTGTGCTGAACGTCTAATAACGCCTTTCTGTCTCAAATCATCGACTTTTTGGTGACCATCTCAACCACATCTGCTGATTCTTGCTCGCCAATGGCTTGCAACTGAACCCCAAAACGGACACTGACACCACGTGAGCGGCCAGCCGGCAAATGACCACATGGATGTTGAGCCATTTGGCAAGATTAGGCATTAACCACCATTGCATCCTAGATTAGATGTTATGATTCATGGAGTGCAGCACCTCTCTTCTCACTTGCACCGCGGTATATGGCAGCTTCCCTAGATAAACATCTGGCAATGGTGATGTAGGTAGGTATGTTGCTTTCAAGCTTCGATCCCACAAGAATGGTAACACTAAGTACTGAAAGCCGAAAAGATTGGGAACAGGAAGAAGTAGGGGCTTTTAAGAGGAAGGAGATTCATATTTGCCATCTGCGGCGCAATGATCGTTCTGATTGTATTGGTTACATTACCCAAACAAAGGAAAAAGCGACCGTACTCCAAACCCACCCACTTGCAGTGCCATACATTATTCGGTGGTTGCCCTACACATTGCGGGCCTTTTATCGAGCTCCAACCTCCTTCTTGATCAGCACACACATAGCCTCCATGCAGTCGATGCTCTGGATCTCATGGGAAAACGGATATTTCTGATTCACGCCATCTCCGAAAGCTGGCGCGCTCATGAAGTCGTCAATCAGCTCGTAGATGAAGCGCATAAATGTACGCGTGGCATGATCAACTCTGGTTGGGTCGCCCTGGTAGCTGGCCAAGTAGCTTGTATGCAAATCCTCTGCGATGTACATGCCGCCGGGGCGGACGAACTTCCACAGCTCGCGCAGACTGGTCTCCTGTTGGTTCATGGTGTGGCCACCATCATCGATAATGATGTCCAACAGCCTATCAGCGGTGACCTCGTTGCCGGTTTGTTGAAGGAAAGGCGGCGAGGCTTGGTCACCGAAGTAGAGATTCGCCTTAGGGTGCTTTGCCGCCCATGCTTTGCCGCACGCTTCGTCGTATTCCATAATGTTAAGCTCGAGGTTATCGAAATACTTGATCCAGGTGTGGTATGAAGCACCAGGGCCGTAAGCCTGTTGAGAAAACATGAGCCAGGTGTCGAGAAACGGCAACGCAAGGTTTAACTTACCATTCCGCAACCCAAACCGATTTCGAGCATCTTGACCGGGTGATCGCGGAACGTGGGAAGGTACTTGTCGTACAAAACAGCGTAGTTGTGCGTTGTAACCTTGTCAGTTCCAGAATCTTTGGCAAGATCGGCGAAAGTAGGACGGTTGTCGTGCCTGTTGCCGCTGGCGTAGGGAGCCGACGCACTGGTGTGCCCTTGTGAAGTCGGGGGTGCCGCGCTATGAGAGTGGTGTTAGTCACCTGAGCAGATGCATGGGATAATAGGAAGTCGTCGTATGGACAGCTTATATGGCACACTTACTTGTTCCATCCAGTAGTGGACTTAATCACTTCTGGGACACCTTCACGAGTGATGTGTACTGTAGCGAGCAGCAGAAGAATAGTAGCCACGATGAAGAACACCGAGAGATACCTCCGGTTGGAGGAAAGCGGAGTCTGCATCATGTTGTCGATGCGAAGTCAATGCCGTCTGATGAACTTGCTGGCTGGATAATAGGCAAAGAATGATAGGAAAGCAAGAGGGGGGATGGGTTGAACGAAGAACAACCCAGTTCTTTAATACCTCACTTTCTCTTTTCTGATAACTTTTTAGCAAAACATTTCATTGGTCGAGGGATGAAAGTCGTATCCGAAAACAGCATTCAGGGACGGCGCGGGGTGTCTTGACCTTTCCCTTTCCAAGCCATTGAACACCAGCTGCGAAGGAGGCGTCCGGTAGCAATTATTGATCCCTTGCGTGTCTTGCGCAGAGAAATAAAATGCGTCGCTCTTGGAGGAAATAATCAAACTCCTGAAATGTTTTAGGCGCGTTAGAATGTACATCAGGCGTCTTGGGGTTCCCTTGAATCACCTTCTCCTCCCTTCAAAATACCTCCATTTGAACTGGAGCATGCTAAGGTCTCAGTGGGTTTGCTCCTCGCCAATAACTGCAGCCCCCTTTTCAGAAAACGACTCCAAGGCCAGTGATAAGAGCTTTGGAAAATAGTAAGAAGCGAAAATGATTTTGAGCGCAGTTGAAAAGAAGAAGACGTGGGACGCCGAAGCTGGTCCGGCTTAATTTGAAATGGAAATACCTTCAAACCAATGCTCCACTTGCATGATTTAACGTAACATGTAGGCCCAAAGTTCCTTTAGAAAGACGTGTTCGAGTGTCTAGCCACTAGATTGGCAGTGTACACCGGCCAATAAAATCCAATGAGAGAGGTAGTGAAGATGAAGGCTGGCTATCTCAGGGGTTGCAGTGGAAGCCAGACAGACCCATGAATCCAACAAGGGCACGTTGCCATTCGACCACAATGGCCACTGGCGAATAGAGCAGAATGTCCGCCCCTCCATTGTCAATCGGCCAAGCCCGTTGAGGTTATGGGGCCATCGTTAGGTCTCAGAGACGGCATATGTGGACACAAGTGAGACATTGATGGAATGGACTTAACTTCCCTTATTCAACGGGTCAGCTCCCTTAACTAATCTGTAAGGCTCAATGATCTAAAGGGGAAACCCGCTCAGGTGTTACAGCCGGTGCCTGGAGTGTTGCAATGAGCATGCCAAACTCCAAATCTATATAATTAGCTGCATCGCTGTAGCCACCCTTAAAATACTGACCCGAATACTCCTAATGCTAGCAAAAACATCAACTACTTTGTAAAAACCATTGCTACATCCATTGACTCGACCTCTCTGGCGGCCTTACGAAGGTTGCCCCATCTATTTTGACAATAACCAATCTGCTGGCCGCGAGCCGAATCACAGACAAATGAGCTTTAAGTGCCTGTCACATGAAGAGTTACATCAATCTTCGTAGAGGGATTAATCGAACACGGGGTTACGGTATTTCCTCAAGGCGTCCTTATTTGTGGCTGAGCTTTGTTCCACAGAGCAGAGTGCTTTTATTCGGCCCCGTCGCACATGAACAGAGCAGCAGCAAGCAATGGCTAACTGCCTACGTTACTAATAAAATCAAAAATTACCAGTAAATTTAACACATAACGTGTTAGGTTCTCTAACCGAGTGCTATGCTGAGATCGATTTGGATCACCATGCCCTCGATTGCTGCAAGGACATAGCTAAGGACTGGGACCCTTTGGAGCCGATTGTAACGATCGGGGAGAGTACGAAGTCCTATATGACTCAATATGAAGACAAAATCATTCGAGATAGTTGATCATATATCCTATTGACTTGAGTACCGTGACCGCCCTTGACATTATGCCATCATCTCCCCACTCACGATGTTTCCCCTATCTGGAAACTTTGCTGCGACCCACCACACCCCATCAAATTCCACCTTAGAGCTAGCCTCTAGATAAAGGACGCAGTGCAACCAACCCTTCAATCTTTCAGTCCAACCAGACAGAATCTATAAACATAGGGGTTCAGTCAGCTGGAGTTCCATAAGTATAGAAAGTCCTGAAGATAATTACCATGGAAATGTCTCCCGTCGCTAGATACACTTTCCAGTCTAGACCGTGACTTCTGTAACGACTTCGAGGACCCCATCAACAGCCGATGAGGGGACCACTGGCCCAGTATGGGGCTTGACCTCGTCGGCGTTGAGGATGGTCTCAGTGACGTCTGATGCTGAAGTGCTTACTGGGGCAGCTTGCGCCAGGGCCGCTACAAGCGTGGCGGCAAGGAAGATGAGGCGGGTAGCTGAAATCATTTTGATGGGCACTGAAACAATGAAGTGGCCGAATAAATTGTAAAATAGCAAGCAAGATGTAATAGAGCTTGTTCGCAGTTGAGTGATGCCTTGGAGACGGTGAGGAACTATGGACTTTATAGATTAAGTAAGGTCTTGTAGCGCGCCCTAAGTTGAATATCCTACTGTGAGATATAGCCTATCGTAAGCTTTGTAGCCTATCAAACAGGTTGAAGTGAAGTGTCTTTAGTCAGTTGAACTTTTTTAGGTTGAGTTGGTTACATTCTATATTCTTCGCACCTTCCTAATCGAGAATATAGCACAACCCCCGAATGCAACTTTACTGAAAAGCCTCTTCCGAGACCCAATCATTTTAAGACTTACTCAGCTATATTGAGCTGTATGAATAGCGGTCATGCTGCCCAGAAATCTTGGCGCTGCTAGTAATACGGCTATCCCATCCCGCAGATTTCACAACATCGTCGTTTATTGCCTGTCTACTCAAGATTTATTGATGAGTAATAACACAACTGATAGCCTAATAAGACCCAGGAATGTAACGTCAAGGTAGCAGTAGAGTGCAAAGGCTTGGCTAGGGGCTAGTTGCGAGGAGCGACAATTGTGCTTCGGCATGTCTTGATGCTTAGGGCGGACGAACAACCTTAGATCGCGACGAGAGTGTTACTTGAAACTTAAAAGGAGAGGCATTTCCTCTTCATTGCAGTTCTATTCACCATCACCAAAGCTCGAATCTCAAGGATCAAATCCTAGCCAGCTTTCTCGGTCTGCAGTTTTTCGGACAATTTACACGCAAACCAGTCAACGCATTTGCATCTACAAAGAATTGAAACATACTCAAATACCCTTCCCACGTCAACATCAATCACCAAAATGCATTTCCCAACCATCATCGCCGCTTTGACGCAGGCAAGCCTCATCTCGGCTTACACGTCCTACCATAGCAAACAATACTGCGACCAGACTCGTCCGGTAGTCATACGTTACAATGCTGCTGTCGGCACCTGCTATAACATTGACGGTGCAGCCTCTTACGAGTTCGGCGGCGTCGGGGCCCCCAACAGATGGGTGTGCAGTGTCTACACTCAGGGCGACTGCAAAGGCAAGGCTGCAGCGTACACTAGCAACAGTGAGAGTACGACCTGCACCAACAGCCCCATCGGCTGGATTTACTCCTACAAATGTTCCTTTATTTAAAGAGGAGTAAACTGCCAGCACAAAGAGGCTGAGGTGAAGTCACTGGCATAGGAAGCAAATACTGAGTATAAGATCGTTTGAATTCAGGGTATTGCAGAACGGCTTAGGTATGGTCACGTAGGACAGGGCTTTAGTGGGTTAGTTATTGAATTGAGAGAAGTTGTTGAGTGTTTCAGAAAGCATAGCAATCACTTCTACTTTGCAGGAAGTTTCTATGTATTCCACTGCGATAAGAATAATGCTTGAAACTTAAGAAATTATCACTCTCTTACACCTTTTCCTAGCCAGGTTGCTATGTGAGAAGTTCGTCACACAATCCTTACAGGTTAGGCCGCACATATGACTGATTGGCTGGACTCTCGCCAGCTTAACCCTCCTTCATGCTCACCTTGAGTCCTCAAACTTAGCTACCCCATCTAATTTGGCTACCAAAAACGAAAACGATTGGCTCCTCACTGAAACTTACAGTGACTGTGTGCTTGCCATGGTCCATCGCTCTCAGTATTCTGACGCATTTTGTTCTGATTCAGCAATTGCATGAGAATTCAAATAATTGGGAAGTTCAACGATAACGGTAAAATGAAACTTGACACGCCTGTAATACATCTTTGCAAATTAAGTACCGTTGCAGTTTGCTGCCTCTCTAATAAAACTCTTCAACTTACCCAATACCCTAATCAAGAACTACCTATGTAGGCATGCTGGGACATTATTGATTATTTTAAGGCTGATTTTCACCTTTCATGAATCCCTCACATCATCTCTAAAGAATAACGTGTAGGTAATTGTGAGATGGCCGTGTTATTTGTCCCAAGTCCTTTTTTTTTTTTTTTCAATCCAAAAGGATAGCTCTAAGCCCCCACTGGAATAACTTCATCGTATGTTCACTGTAATCTGCCATCAGATCAATCCCAGTTGCAAAACTTACACCGGCCATTTTTAGATTACTCTCACCGGTACCAAGCACCATCATTTTACCCCTTTCCCGTCAACTGGCGCCACCAAGCAATCACGCACCTTCCTAAGAAAGAGAAGCTCATCTCGCACCCTCTTGCATGATACATCGTCGTTTTCAGCAACCACGGAGATATTCATTCCTTCTTAGTTGGTGTGATTCAAGGCAAAGTTCTCCATACTGCTATATTTGTCATTCAACTCTACGGTCTTGTTTTCCGCCTATTCTCTCATTCTGAGTCAAAGTACAGTCTCACTGGCCCATTAGTCAAAGGAAAGGTGATTCATAATAAGGCTGGAAATTCTGATCGGGACCGTGGATCCTATTTACCTTCTTCATTCCTCGGAAAGAGCGACACTGAGTGCTCTTATCATCTTTTTGAGACATAACCTCAAAGAGAGACTAGGAGGATATCACAATGGGTTAAATAAGCCATTCGGACACCAGTTTCTTTCTTTTCTTTTCTTCCTCTTCCATACTTTTTTATTTTGTTTCGACTCTCAATATTTGCCATATTTCCACCAAACATATTCCGTTTACTACATCTAGGTATGTTTACCCAAATAATGATCTATTTTGAGATGTGTCTATGGAGACATGTTGCACATATTCTCTACCACAACAGCTGTATCTATCGCCTGTTGACGCAATTATCCTGAACAAGGAAAGAGTCGCTGATTTTGCGGAAGGACCTTCTCACTTAAGATTTCCAACGAAGGGATCACAAGGTGTCTCAGAAAAGAAAGAAAAAGGTTCTTTGAAGCAGAGATCCCGTCCGCTCTCCCATACTGATGATCACTTGGATCATCCCAAATCGGCAATTTTGAGTCACATCAGCATCACCGCGTTTAAACTGCAAAGAAAAAGAATATGGCTGAAAATCAGAAAGAGGCTTTCCGGCACAGCAGCGGCAGTCCAACCCAGACCCAAGATGACTGGGCTCAAGGCATGGAGGGTCGACTCTCTAGCAAAAGGATTTGGTCCATCGAGTTAGAGGCGCTGCTGCTTTTGGGTTCGAATGTTGGAAGAATTAACAATCTAATCTACGACCATTTACAGATCGACGTGGAGGTTGGTTTATGTTCACTGCACAGAAACCAATCTGACTAATAGAGCCAGGGCCTAACCAAAGACTTCACGCGTTTCCGTGACGAAATAAACGCAAAAATGCCCCCTCTGGCAATTAAAGACATGACTTGGAAAACGATTCAGATAACTCATAACATTATGGTTGGAGATGAGCCTGACGATCATGACTTGGAGGACGATAGTGAGGCTAACACTGAAGGCTCTGGGGGCTGGTTTTCCCCTTACTGCACTGATAACGACAGCAGTACCGATACAAGCGACGAGACTTCCTATCACGGAACCCTCTCCTCTCACTCACAAAGGTAAGCACGTGCAAATTTAAGATAACACCAACGCGGTTCTCGCACTGGATTAGTTTCAATATTGCTGACACGCCTAAAAGTGTGGTTCCTGCTGATCTTCCTCTTCTGCCTCCTATCAGGGATGGCCATGATGTCCCAGAAAAGGGGAGCATTATCTTTTCCAACGCATCTTTCGAAATTCGTCTGACCTTGAATGCTGGCTGGGGGGCTTTTGCGAAGAAAAAGCTTTTCCAAGGAGACAAAATTCTTGTCGAAAGAGCGCTATATCATGCAACTTTTGAAGAAGTTCAAAGCTCTGTCCGTCAATTGCCAGAACACGAGAAGAAAGTCGCAAACAGCCTTCACGCGTACTATGGCAGGTGTGGAGAATCTAAGGAGGAAGCAATCTGGAGCACGAATGCGTGCGTAAACCTGCTCAAATGCCGTTTCAAGGTCATATTGCTAACTCGCAAGCTCAGTTTTGCTTCTAAGTATCACAAAAGCTCAAACTTTTCGGGTTCAAAGACCTTGAGTACAGACGTAGCCGGCCTGTTCCCAGTTGCAGCACGGTTCAATCATTCATGCGAGCCGATGGTTGAATACAAATACTGTGCCAAGGAAGAGGTGTTGGTCTTCACAGTTCGTGCATGGGAGGTTGAAGAAGGACAAGAGTTGACCATATCTTATGGAAAAGACCCTTCAGTATTGTACTATAGGTTTGGTTTCAACTGCAGTTGCGGGTATTGCAGTGGGTTTGACGAGAGCAAGTGGAACTTCTAAGCATTTTAGATTGGATAAATGGAGGGAAGAAGGCGCATTGAGATTGCGGGTGCTAGGGGCGGTGGCTTTTTCTTTTTCGATATTGATTTGGTTTCGAATCATTGGTTATATGAATCTAGTAGTCGTCTCTCTTATATAAAAGAGTTCTTACTCTACAGAAACATAGTTGTTATGCACGTTAGGTCATCAATGCCCATGCTGTAAGTTCCCCAAGCCCATGTGACTAGGATGCATCAGTGGTTGCTGTGGCGCTTCTACGACAGAAAACTGCGTCTGTTTGGGCTGTATGCTCAGTGGTGACCTAGCAGCTATCGACGTTGCCATGGTGTCTTAGGCACGTCGCCTCCGGTCAGAAGTGGGAAGATCACCAGGAGGGAAGAGGCAAAGTTGAAATGAATCGTCTTTGAACTGAACAAAAGATATGTTTCAACGTTACTTCCTCCCGAAAAGCCTTCATCAAAACATAATTACATATTGATTGGTACGTCAAAGACTCTTAGTCGGCTTTGCTGCTCGGCTGCCTACTCGCCACGTTGGGGTCGTGTTCCGAATATGCGATTACGGTCCAGCGCTCATCGTACGGCTTGGTCTTGTCAACGAATCGCAAATCTGTTGAAACACGAATGCGGCCCTCTGGAGACTGGTTCATGGCTCCCGCGTGGATGCTATATGGAGTGTGGAATACAACATCGCCAGCCTCGTACGCCCCCTGGGTAAGAGTTAGTAGCTGTCAGACGTCTTTGGAAGAGCTGAACTCACCACAAGCCAGCCACGTGACCAGTGCTCTCCGAATCGCTTAGCGTTCCTATCAAGCCAACCGCCCTTCTCCATGTTCCTATTGAACGCAGAGATCCTATCTGCGTCCGGGAGTTGGGCATTTATCCTTGAAAAGTCCTCCTCGTACTTCTTTCCGATCCCATAGGACTGGTCGAGATAGATCAGACCACCACCCTCGAGCTCAACATCACCAATGGGGACCCAAGCTGTGACACTTGTAGGGGGTCCAGCTCGAAGGAAGATCTGATCGTAGTGAACTGGCGTCGTTTCGCCTCCTGGCACAGCACAACGAAGAAGAGAGCGTGGGAGACACCACGATTCGTCAAAGTTGGCGAGTTTGCCTACAAAAGGCTCCAGCTGTTTGCCGACCTTGTTCTTGAACTCCTGATAGAAGTCGGCTCTGTGGCTTTGGATGGCGTTGTCAACAAAGGGGCCTTCGTCCTTGAGACCGCAGGCTACGCGGACGGCACCGGGAAGGAGAAACTCGCGCCAGTCTCCACCAGAGAAAATGCCGTCAACGGGGTCGGTGCCGGGTTTCAGTATGCCGGTGCCTCTGTCAACAAAGGACAGATAGTCGGAGCGCATCTTATCGACCATCTTTGGGTCTAGAAGCCCTTTAACCTGCGATCAGAGTTAGTCAAAACACTCGCAGAATGGAAGATGAAGGTTGCCGACCCAGACCACGCCATCTTGCCAGTACCTCCTCTGGATCTCTTCAATAGGAGTGTCAGAGTAAACAGGGGTGAGGTGTCTGACATCGTCCAGCACCCCTCCATTTCCATGCAATGTCAGCTTCTCCTCATTCTGAACCAAAGACTTTTCCTGTGCGAACACGGGTTTTGTGTGAAGTTTAGAGTCGCTGTATCCAATAACCTGTGCCATGACGATGATGTGCCTGTTCAATAGATTCAACAGTTGTATAAGTGTATGACTGTGCTTTGAAGGGTTGACATGATATGAATGAGGGCAAGGGCCGCCTGAATTACAGCACAAGCATTATGCCTTTATGTTCTCGAATCCTGTTGCTTCCAATAGTCAGCAGTTGTAGACGGTCACCAGGTTCCATTGCCATATTCGGTAACAGAGCTTTCGCTGCCCGGATCATGGCATGGAGGCGGGGGGTGGGGTTGGCCACCGGGGAACTTTGCGATTTCCTAATTAGGCAAGCTGTAATCGTTCCCCGGGTGGGGAGATGCAACAGCCCGAAGCATTTCCGCCCCAGTCTACCTGGTCATCTACTTGCGGGAATTCCTGATTAGCCCTTCATATGGGAGGATTCATCGGCACGGTGAGGAAACGAACTACCGAGGTTCTCATTCTATCTGCAACGAATGGTATTTCTCCAATTACGAGCATGGAGTAACATCGGAGGTGGCATGGGAATCAAGCTGTGTTCTCAAGACTCAATATTATCTATCTTCGCTTACGTACTCGTCAAGAGCAGTTGTGTCAAAGAAAAGATTAGACCACGGGCCTCCAAAGTCCATCAGAGAAGCTTCAAACGCCGGTAGCTCATCAACAGTACACGCCCTTGCTAGCAGATCCATTCCCACAGATGGGGCGACGGTCGACTTCGCAGTCACATCTCGCAGCTCGCCCAGGATTTCGACGTAGCGCTGCCCCACAAGATCCCCTTCGACTCCAACAGGAAATTCCGCCATTGCTTCCTCTGCCGTGTCCCTGACGTGTGTCGCCTCGGGCCAGAGATGGGAGTACATGTACAGGGTCCCCACGGCCGCAAACTGCATGTAGTTAACCAGCCAGAATACTCTAGAAAACAGGCCTCTTTGGCAGAGATATCTGCACTCGTTTACCACCACCTTTGCGGCGCTGATAGACTTGTCATGGCTCCTCTTCACCCATTGCTCCAACCGTGAAGAAGCTTCGGCGGCTGAGTCCATGGAGTAGAGTATGAAAGGCCGGTAGAGCAGGAGACTTGCGTGAGCAAACATGAGTTTGAGCGTGCAAGTTTGTCTTTGAGTCATTATTGACAATGCTGATGGGGGCAGAGCGACATAGTTAAGATAGGCTGGGAGATTCTTCTGCCAGTCGAGCAGACTCCTCTCGAAGTCTGTAGCAGCTTGGTGGAGTTGCATGATGCCATGATTTCGAGCTGCCGGGCTGTAAAAACTTCTTAGTATTCTGCCCAGTATCCGGGCAAGACGAGCATAGTGAACCAATGCTGCCGCTGAACAGAATTCACCGCTTGCTGTCAGATGGCAACCTGACGCTGTGATATCTTCGTCATTAGCCAAGGCGCACTCGTCTTGATCAATGTCGTCGTCATGTATCGCACAAGGGCGGCCAAAGATGCTACTGATTATCCTGTCGTTGATGTAAATGGACCAGAAGAGTCTTTTCCTGTACTCGCGGGTGACGTGATTGCTCAGTGGCCCGACGGACCGGCGGTGAAGGCCGAGCGCCTGGGCGTGACGGACGACGATACCGAACGAAGACCACGCCTCATGCATACGCGAGTGATTGAGGAGGTAATGTGTCGCGAGCATCCTTGCTTGTAAGGATGCGAATGTGATTTTGCTGGACTCTTTGCGCAGCTGGTTGTCGGCCATATGGTACAATCGAACACTGTAATCGATCAGAACAGGAAACCACTCAAGGCACAGGGGAGATAGATGGCGGCCTACCTTGCCGAATAACCACAATACATATTGTTCACCCTCGAGTAGTGAGAACCGAGAGTCATCACCATGTAAACTAACCCCAGGATATCATCGTTCAGGCTGTCTACATCGCCGTCGTTGTAAAGCTTCTCGAAGCTTTCCATCAGACTCGGTTCATGCACAAATCTTGAAGTAGTCAATCCGAAATCAAAAAAAGTCCGTACCAGCTTGTCTGCGGTTGGCTTGGGCGGAAGAACAGGCGGCAGATTCCCAGACTCGGCAAGGGGATAGTCGGAAAAGTGTATCGACATTGACGGTAGGCTTGCGAGCTTCTGCTTCGCCATGTGCAAGAAAGCAAACTCAGAGGCTCCCCCGTGAAAGTGGCCGTACTGGTCTTCCTGAAGAGGCCCGTTTGGCGTTTCTCCGGAGGCAGAGCCCCCATTTGCTGGCGGCAGCTCGTTTGGAGAAAAGTCATCAAAGACGGCTGCTTGAACGCCGCGCGTGTGCTCCTGTTCCAGAGAGATAGTGGTAGCGGTCCCGACCGGAGACAAAGCCGAATTCGTAAGGCTAGGCCGCCTCTCAGACGGGCGTGGCGATGCCACCGTTGGCATATACTGACAAGGTTGGTTATGCTGTTGGCATCGAATGCATGGCATGTGGCCCGAACAACGGGTCTTTTTTCTTGAGAGATTTCAGCAGTGAAAGATGTAAGACTACAACAAGAACATACTCGCGACATGTGATACATGCGTTTCTAATCTTTAAAGACGGGCCATTCTGACTGTCACCTTGCGTCCACCGTCGTTTGCGCTTCTGGCCTGCCGGCCGGACCTGTCCTGGCGTCTGGTAAGGGACGATTCTCAGCGGCGTAGGCCCGGCTGAAGCACCGTCGTCCATGAGCTTTTTCGTATGTTAGCTGGAGAGCATAGGATAATCGAGTGAGCGAATCCTGAAAATGGTTTCTCAAAGAGTGTTACAAGTCACTAGCACAGCATTGCCACGGCGATGACTGATGGCAATATTTGGAGACAAGCTGGAAGAGAAAGCGAGCCCAGCTCCAAGAAACGCGTCTTGGAACTAATCGGGGGTTGCTCGGGATTGCTGGCCAACCCTGTGTTTCTGACCTTTAGAGGGGGGCATGCTAGCGGTGCGGGGGAGGTGGGGGGAGGTGGCTTAGTGACAGGACTGAGCAATGGGGGCCAACTTTGGAGCTGCACATATCCTGCTAGAACTCCTTCGTTCTCTAGTCATGATTATTTGACAAATCCCTTGGCACAAATTTAATAAGGTAAAGCATGTTAAAACCGAGATGTTTCTTACAATGTTGTAAAGCATGTCACCCAGGAAAGGTACGGAGCTAAATTCATTTCATCAGCGATGGCTGAATCCAATGTCCATGCCAACCCGATTCGCGTAATACATTAATGATCGATAGTAACTACTCTCTTATAGTTGCTCATTTACAACATGTACCTAAAGCCGCTTGCCTGCTGCGCTGGGGTCGGTCCGCTCTTCCCAAGGGATTCGCCATCATCCATCTTCTGGTTCTCCCTGCGCAGATACAACCGCGTCCCGGTGGCAATCAAGATAGCCGCCCCAGCAGCAACCAGGTTGACGGTGAAAGCAGCGAAGTACCTGGGCGCTCCATTGTACAGGTACGGCGTCCAGACGTTCGGCGTGTTGCACACTGAAATGATCAACGCGATCGCCGCAGCTCTCTTCGTGACGGGCTGGTTAAGCGTGCCCGTGATCCAAGAGAGTAGGACGGTCGACCCGGCGTAGAAGGACGCCGGCATGAGCATCATCGCCGTGTAACGCGCACCGGTGTTGAGCGTCGAGACGGCGATGATGTTAGCGACCAGTGTGATGCACAGCGGCCCGACGATGTGCCAGTATCGCTCCCCCGTCCGGTCCGAATGGAAGCCATTGATTAACATCGTGAAGCAGCACAGCACGAAAGGCGGGGCTGTGAGCGCAAACGTGATGGTACGCGAGTACCCCAGCGTCGCGACGACTGGAGGGAAGAAGTTGGTGACGCCGGCAGAGGTGAAGATGCAGTATAGTGTTGCGAGCATGAGCCACGTCTTTGGGTCGCGGACAGCGAGCATAAAGCCCTGCCTTGCGGTGATTTCTGACCGGTTATCGCTCTGTCCTTGGTCTTTGTCAAAGTTGTGTTTGATCCATGCCCGCTCCGCTTCATTGAGGCTTCTGATGCCGTCCGGGGAGTTGGGAAGGATGAAGGCAAAGACCACAGCGAGGCCGATCGTGACGACTCCCTCAGGAAAAGCTACGCCATGTCAGCTGTGCCTCCTGGATGTTTCTTGCGGCGGCAGTGAACGTACCCATCTCCAGCCTTCCAACCCATACCTTCCGTCCAACTTGAGGATGGCAATGGCGAGCAAGCCGCCGAATGCGTTTCCGAGTTGTGAGCCGGAGTAGAAGAGGGCAGTGCGGAAGGCATACTGCTTCCGGTTGTAGAATATCGAAAGGTAGAACAGGGCACCAGGGAAGAACACCGCTTCGACGAAACCGATGAAGAACCTCGCGACAGCTAGACTTGCGAACGTCTTGACCACTGTCTGAGCTGCCGAGATGATACCCCAGACCGCCATCGCCCCGCAGATGTAAACGCCAGGAAGCTTGATTTTCCCGATGATCATATTAGAGGGAATCTGCATGATGACTTCGAGGTGTTAGACCCTTGTTACGGAAGTAACTCTCGGCTAGTATTCACTTACTGTATCCTACAAACAGAATCGACACACAAGTCTGATATTCCGTCTCGGATAAGTGCAAGTCCTGCATAATACCAGCCAGCTTTGCAGAGGCAATGTTATTGCGGTCGAGGTAATTCAAGATGTAGGTGACCATAAGCGTGGGTAAGATGATTATGTCCATCTTCAGCGTAGCTCTTCTGCCGACTTTGTTGTACTCCTCAGGCGAGAGAGACCTCAGAATCTCGGGCATGGCATGGGTGTCGGCATCGAGCTTCTGCTCATGGGACACATCTTCTTTGAAAGACTCATACGAGATAGAGCCAGCCCTCTCGACATCCGCCATGGTAAAAGTTAAATAAGTAGATATGGCAATGTCCCGAAGCAATAATCAGGTTGATAGCTGGATGAATCCGCTCAGTTAGAACTCGAACCCCGTGGCATGAAAGGTTGGGATCACAATATAAGTACTTAGCAACCAAGACCGTGATGTTCTTCCCCTTCCTTTACTCCAGCCTTCTTGATAGGGTGTCTTGAACCTTCCGCTTCAACAGTGCTCCGCCAATCCCGGTTCCCTGAGTTAGCTCCGGGGAAGGGTAGTCTGTGGGGTTAGAGAATCTGGGGTTCAAGTACCCCGGATTGCGGGGGGCAGGTGCTCTTCCCCAGATTATACTTCCCAAAGGGTTCCCCGGCCATTCCCGACTGGCGGATTCAGGCCTTGATCGTCGTTCAATGTTTCGATCTTTTGGGATGTTAAAATTGTTGTTCGGGGCTGTTGTAATACCGAAAAAACGCATCACTTTGCCAGACGAGGGTAAAGTTGTGAAACCTGGTATTCGGCGACACATTTCTCACAGTGCTTGGAGCGCCTTAAGCATTGTTAGACGGCAGAATTGATTACGCCCTCAACCCCTTAAGTTTGGGCCAAAGTCGAGGGGAGCCAACTGCGTTAGGACTTCATTGAAAAGAACTCATTTTGCATCAAAAGTCCAATCATTTTATCCCGTCTCTCGGTACTGTACATCAAGCGGCACATTCGACTAATTCGCCTTCCTTCAAAGCCTCGAGCAACACTCGTGCCGTATCCCGGTCCGTTCTGTCCTCTTCGTGGGTAAGCTCGTTCCACGCATTATCAATCCAACCGTTAGGGCCATCGTAGCCGGGCATGCCATCAAAATACAAACCATCAAAGTCTCCTTCCATTTCAACAGACCGGTCATCCAGCGGAAACGCGGCGAGAACTTCTGCTGCCAGCCCATCTATACCTTCAGACGGCGGCCGATCCGTCATGTTCACGTCCCCATTTTTCAAATGATACTCCTCTCCGTTCCGAGGGGATGTGTCGTCTGTTGTGCTATCTTGGCTTTGGTCACCTGCTGAGGCCGGCGAATTTGTGTCTTCATCAGAAGAAAGTACCGTCACTGTCCCCGGTTGCATGCGGAAGAGGTTTGGCCGCATGTACTTGGCCTCGAATCCAGCTTTAGACACCGCGGAGCCCATACCCAGGCTGTCTAACCCTACTGTACTCTCCTTCCGCTTCCGCTCGATGAGAGCCTTAAGTGGGTTGGAGTCTCTGGTGAAGAGACCGCGTAAACTGACAGGAAAGTCGCCGTCCTCTGGAAGTCGCCCTTTGCTCAATGATAAGTCCATAGTGAGTGCGAGGCGGAGGTATGAGCTAGGTTGAGAGGCGAGTATGTCCGTCCAGTCTGTGTTTACGGTGCTGCCTTCATTGGCGTTGCCTGACTCCCCAGCAGGTGGGTCCAGTTGCGCAAGGTTCACGATATGGCGAATTGCTTCGCTCACCCAATCGACGCCATCGTATTGAGGCTGGTACGTTTTCATTGCTTCAATAAGAATGTTGAGGCGATGCTGCTTGAGAGCTGACTGTGTGTTGGGATCGAATGATCGTGAGGAAGATGCCAGTTTCACGTCAAGGATATGAAGGACGAGAGGCAAAGCTGTGCATGCGACGGCGCTGATTGGTAGCCAGCGAGCGAGGCGGAGATGGATGAGCTCCTTTAGGCACTCAGTGATTCCAGAAGCCGCATCCTGAAGCTCTTGTCTATTCTCGCCAATAATGACGAGGTCCGATGTGGGTATTGCGCTGAACAATGGAGCAGCAGCGGTAATGGCCAAATGAAGGACCTCATGGTGGCTAAGGACCACACGAGAGGAGCTGTTTGTTTGTTAGCACCGATACTTCAAGAGACAGAACCGTGAGACTCACTGATAGTACATGTACATCAGGTTAGTGTACAATATCACTGAATCATGCTGGAACTCGTTCCCAGGAGACTTCATTCTTGCAACGGAGCCACCCCCAAACATGGGAAACCTCAACGCGGCGCCTTTGTACCATCTACGCAACGCAACTTTACAGCCACGGACCTTGTCCTGCTCCTCGGGTCGCATTTCCCGGCCCCAGCCAGGACTATCATCTAGTGGAAATACCAAGATCAGAATGTCAGTGAGCACAACACAAAGCTCAACCAGCTGTTCCAAGATCTCAGCAAGACAACGCTTCGTGCCAGGATTGTATACACGACTTCTCTCAATCTCATCCGCCAGATCGGAGTAGCTTAGGATACCATTCGAATCAAAGTCGAAATGGTTGCGAGTGATTTGTAACCCGCGGCGCATGCCTAAGCCAACGATACGGTCGCGGATGATACAGCACCACCACAGTCGCTTAAGTAAATTGCGCTTTTTGGGAGGAGCGGTTCGTGTAGCATAGTGATGCGCTTCAACTGTTCTTGCATTTTGAATCGCAATTGAGAGCCATGCTGTGTTTGATTTTCGCAGGGCTGGAGATGACGGAGGAGATCTGAAGGATAGCAGTAGAGCGGCTTGAGAGATTGCCAAGGGGGAGGATTCGGCCTCAAAATCGTACAGAAGCTTTGCACGTCTGTAGAAGGCGGCGCGGGCAGCACGTATCGTAGAGAAACCCAGAGTCTTGATGGTTTGACGGGAGACGAACTAGAAAGGCGTCAGTAGAGATTGAGGCAATCCGGGGGTCGTGTGGGTCTCACATTGCAAGAAGCGAAGAGCATCGCCTGGAACAGTAGGAGGGAGATTCTCTCGCCGGGGACATTGGAGGGACTCGTGCAGTAGACATCCCAGAAGTCACCCTCGTTGAGCATTGGGAGGAGGGGATGAACATGGAGGAAGTACTGCTGAACGAATTCGTCGAGCGTTGCGCGCGTTGGTATTTTCAGGCAACCCTGAAGCTCGAGAAAGTTGACATCTTGAGGTGGGATGCTGTGGAGGCTACCAAGAGTGAGGAATGGGTAGAATGAGTATGTGATGTCGAGATTGAGGCTATTGCGCTGGTCGCTGGACCATAGTGCCGTTGGTACTACTCCATGCATATGCAACGAATTGCCGGGTAACTGTTCAGAAGTTGTTCCGCTTGTGCCGGAAGACTTGAAGGCCTGCGCCGCTTGCTCATGGCGGCGGTTGTTCACTTGCACCGTCGGGCTCTTCTGTCTCTCATTCTCGGCGACGAACGGCGGTGAATCCTCGCTATAAGAGTCGTGAATGTGATGGTGGTCGTGAGGCTCAGTCAGAGGTATCGACTTGCTGTCGCTGCATGCTGGTGCGATTGGATCGACATTATGACCGTGTTCCCCGGTCTCAGGAGCATACGATGGATATGACTCCTGCGCATTGTCTGTGTTCCCGGCCTCGTCTCTCTGTTGAGCCCTCCGGCTGAATAGTGTCAGTATTTTCAACATGATAGGATGAGACAGCGGGCATCACCTACAACCTTGAAGCTCTTCCAGTAACAACGCAATTCTCACTGTCCAAATAGCAGTTCATGCAAGGGCGGCCACGCTGCGAGACATCACACCTCACTTTACGAGCGCGACATGACAAACATGCTTTTGGGGCGCGTTTGCGGATCTTGCTTTGTGATTTGGGCTTGGAGCCCTCTGGAGGGATGGCATCAGAAGTCATAACCTTGGGATTTATCTGGTGTATGGCCTGATTTTTCCTTGTGTGGGATCCGCAGAGATTGGTTTGGCCGAGGTGACGTTCGTCTATCAGTGTTGTTTACGGGTCAACGAAGCACGAGAATGTCTGGAAAAGTTCAAGTTTCCCAGACCAAATTGGACCGAAGGCGGAGGAAGGAAGACACTTTGCGGGGTGTGGGGAAGAGAGGGGGGCACTGCATGGGAGCTCTGGAGTCGAAGCTGGGGTTTGGGGCCGTTGACGATCCGTTGACGCTAGGCATCTGGGGATATCAGGACTGCGAACATGGAGCTTGGGGCATGCAGCTCGCAGGGCCGGGGTCCTAAGCTCCAGCAGCACGGGTACACCGGGAAGGAACTACGCGGTCTTGATGGAGCTGACTCGTATTAACTGTGCTTCTTGGCATACCGCTAACCAGCATCACAAACCGGAGACTTGATCTCGAAGAAGAAGATGGCCGAGGGGCTGTGGAGGGTCACCACGTAGTGGAATTGACAGAGCAAATGAGAGTCAGGAATCGTTTGCCGATGACACCAGCCGAGTCTCGAGAGGAGACACCCCAGGAAGCTCCATATGCCTCGGCGCTATGGACCAATCAGACGCCATCTAACTTTCTCCAACTGACGCTGCAGGTCGAGTCATTAGCGTGGTATCGTGCCCTGAACCTCGGAACATTTCCATCGGAACCACTAAAACGCGGAATTAAATGACACATTCCATCATGTTCAGTGCTTGATCTGCCCGTTTTGTTCGTTTCTAGGTTAGAGGTGATGTATCAGTGCAGTTTGTTAAATAAGGAGGCAAGGATCACCATGAGATCCCTCAATCCGAAGATTCAGATTCCGACGATGATTCTTCGCTCTCGATCGGCTTGAAGACCCAATCGCCATCATCCTCTCTCAACAAACACACCTTTATGTTTCCGACACGCTCGTCCAGTCCGTTCGGCAGATCCATGCCATCACCGACCTGTGAGAGGATCGAAGGGTCGATTCGACAAAATAACATCGGCAACGAATCACTTTTCCACACAGACACACCGTCGCGAGCACCTTTGATAATGGTGTGGAAGAGATAGTAGATGCTGACGACAATCAGGCCTGTCGGAAAGATTAACCACTTCCAATCCACACGAATAACTTGTGCGATTTTGTACGCCCGGCCGCTATATCGATGTCTCTGCTTATCCCGGACTTTCCCGTGGAGCCTCACCTCGTTTGTGAGACTGATACTGAATCGGCGAATCCATGCTGGAAGGTTCCGTCGGGCGTTGTACACGCCTTCCGCCCACTCTGACGAGAAGTTGATGATGGTGTTCTGCTTTTCGTACGTGCCTTCTACCAACGGGTCCACGAATCTTCGCAACGCCATTAGCGCCTGGTGAGTGACGCTGTATCGAGATTCTCCAGCAACGTTCATGCTTGCTGGTATGTCGACAAATACGTATTCGTTATCATGCGCAGTGTTGCCGTCCTCGAAGCGCATCTTGCTCCAGGTTTCGCGAAGAGCTTGGTTAAGGCGGCTTTCGGTCACTGTTATGTTGTAACTCTTCATGCAAAACCAGAGTGCACATTCTTGCCCGATGATATTGGCTTCTTTCCTGTTTTTCAACACCCATAGCACGTCGAACACGGATATATAAGTGTGGTCTGTTGAGTTGACATGGTGGTGGGTGCCGGGCGATGCCGTGACCCTGAAACGTTCCGCGCTTGCCGCATTTTGGGCGACGTCGAGCGACGTGCCTGAGGACATCCTGTAAAGACACATCTGCGATTTGTCTGTACACATAGTGTCAACACTAATCGTGTTACATTCACCGCAAACCGCAAGTGTGGGAATAATGGGCCAGGTGCAGTTGACAGCAGAGCATTCAACATCCAGCTCTGTTACATCAACGGATAAAATACCGCTGTATACTGCAGCCTTGGTAGATACGTTGAGGACGGGGACTACCACGCGTTAGCTGTTTTCGACGTTAAAAGAGTGGATACCACTCACGCGGGTCAATGCCTCGTGATACTGTGTAGTCCCAGAAATCGCTTCTAGGAGGTGCCACAATGGGAGGCTTTTCGCCATCGTTAACCTCCCATGGTTGACCCTCGTACTGGTACAGCTGTTGAGAAGAGGCTTCGAGCCCGTGAACCAGAACAACAATCATGGCGCCGATACAGGCGAGATGTCTGGGTTCGTCAAGGTCAGATTCTGGACTGTGAGCAGAAAAGGGAGAGCCAAGACCATATTACCTCCCTCTCAAGCGCCACAAGAGGCAAAGGCTCCCCTACAGCCCACGAGATGCCTCGTCATATATCTTGAAGTCCTCGAGCTTGGCACGCATGTCGTTTGTACGACGCTGCCTCGCCTCTGACACCCAGATCCAAGCGGCCTGGCTGATGGAAGATTCTACAATACCGCTCATGGCAACACGGACGCAGGTGAACATGGCAACAATGACAACATCGAAGTCGATGCCACCTGGCAGTTTAGGAACCAACTGGTTGTCAAACTGTTGGAAGACAATGCCCAAGGCGATGGCGCCGGCAACACAGACTGCAACTAGACGGTACTCATCGTTCCACCACTTGTATAATGACTTATAGTTGGATTTTGGGCGGGGCCTCGGAGGTCCTTCTCCTTCATCATCATCGTCGTTAACGGTGCCGTCGTGAACAGCCTGTTCGAAGCGGGGGCGCTTTTGTCGGATTTTTCGAGCTGGTTTCTGATGTTGATTGTTCATGCTTGCTGGTAGGTAGTGCAATGGATGCCCAGAGAGCCGAGAAATATATACAGGATTAAAAATATTCGACAGAAGCAAGGATTGAAACTAGGCGTTCACTAAGAAAACTTCAGGATAACGAAGCGGCAGAGGCATGGCGTGTAGTTGACTGCTGGTACGGAAAATAGTGTTGTTGATTTTAGTGAAGAAGGTGTCTGTGGCGACCAGGATATCATGCATGACTTTGTTCCTGCCGTCAGAGCAATTCTATCATTTCCATTATGTCGTGTAACTTCCTAGCCCGCTTCCTTCTTTTGGCCTTCCTTCTTGGCGGCAATGGTGTTCCTCTGGGACACCAGCCACACGGTTTCTTCAAAAGTGGCTGACTAAATTAATGCATGTATGCACAAAAATAAGGAAGTTTTTGAAGGGTGGCATGCATTTTTTAGGTAATGATCGGACCTCTCTTCCCCCCGATGGAAACAACACGGCCTCAACTGCGCTTCGACAGGGCTACCATAAATAAAAAAAAGAGAAAGAAACAAAACGACGGCATTTTTTCCATTGAAGTGATTGATTACCGCACTGAAATTTGTCGTTACTTTTGTAGCCATGCGTTCTTTCTCAATTATCCTCTTATCTCTACAGACTGCGGCTGCATGGCAGCTGCCCCATCCAGCTCTCATAAATTCCCCTCATCGCCAGCAGGTGCCTTTGGCGTTCCATGACGACGATGATATCGATATTTTCGGTGCCGATTCTCTCGCAGGCTTAAGAACTTTTGCCAATCTTCCCTACGTCAATTGCTTTTCGGAAGAAGATATCAAGAGCCAGAGATACGATATCGCTGTTTTTGGTGCCCCTCATGATACTGTCCGTCTGCCTGTGCTCTGTCCTTGACCCAGTGAAGCATTTTATACTAAGCTTGTAACAGACAACAACAGGTCGACCGGGCGCTCGGTTTGGTCCGCCAGCCATTCGAACTGGCAGCCAAAGGAAGGGTCCTGGGAATTGGGATTTTTACACTGGTTTGTCACCACATACGCCATGCTGCTCATCTTTCTCAATCGTTAACTAACCGTCCTGTTAGGTCGGAGCCCCTTAGACAGCTGGGCCACAGTGGTTGACTGCGGCGATGCTCGTCTTACTTGGTTAGACAATACCGTTTCCTTAAAGCGTCTAGATAAGGCCCACAAGGTGATTTCTATCCTTTTTACCTGGTTGCCGGAAGACATGAATACTCACAGGGAGAAGGTTATCTCGGGTCGACCGGCGGCGAATTCGTCGGTGTCTTCCACCCCGAGAATTTTGACACTTGGAGGTGATCACACAACAACCCTCTCCGCTCTGAGATCAACTTATGAGAGATGGGGCCCAGTCTCTGTGATTCATTTTGACAGCCATATTGGTCCGTCCATATTCGAATACCTTGCTGATTGACTTTTGCTAAATCTTCTCTCATTCAGACACGTGGGACCCTGCAGTTCTTGGTAAGTCTATTGCCTCCGAGTCGCCATAGCCGCTTATAAACTCATTCTCGAATTCCAGGGGGCGGGGTATCCGACTATGCGTAAGTGGCGACATCCCACGATCTTCGGCAAATGTACCTACTGACGAATATCAGGGGCTTGAACCATGGCACATTTCTACATATTGCGCACGAAGAGGTAATCCGCTTCACCTGAGTGTGCAGTATCCCTACTGACAGCAGCAGCACTTGATCTTGAATACTTCGATTCATGCCGGTATCCGAGCTCCTTTGATACGACGCAAAGGCGATCTGCGAAACGATGTGCGTTGCGGCTTCGAAATTGTAACGGCTCGGGATTTCGACAAATTCGGTGCTAGCGGTGTTGTCTCAAAGATTAAAGATCGCGTAAAGGACTCCAATGTCTACATCAGCGTCGATATAGATGTTTTGGATCCTGCATATGCCCCAGGTATTTTGGCATGAGCCTTCCCGTTCTTTTTCCTAAACTATGACTAAACCCCGCTAGGAACTGGCACGGCGGAGCCTGGGGGTTGGTCTACTCGAGAACTGCTCACAGTGCTCGAGGGTCTAGAGGGGCTCTCCGTCGTCGGAGGCGACGTAGTTGAAGTTGCGCCCGCCTACGACAACAACGGCGAGACTACAGCTCTTGCTGCGGCCGAGGTTGCTTGGTCGCTTCTTGACCTGATGGTTGTAACACCAGTTCAGTCAAAGGCCGATATCGAGTAAATTCGTTGAACAATGTTCGAGGAATAAGAACGTTGATATGACAGGGTCTCAAAGAATAATGGACCATGACATCCAATATGAGGTCGCAGGCAGTGGCAATGAAGGCTTGCAAAGAGTAAGGCGCGGTGATAGCCTGGTGTAAGGCTGAAAAACCATGTTCGACTTCGACCTCTGTTCTCTTCAAAGCTTTTTGTGAAAAGATCCAACGTGACTGGCCAAGTATAGCGGGCTATAAAGAAAAAAAACAATACAACGGTTATAATTCTCTTCAAAGTAGGTTGTGAGCTGGAGCCATTGGGACCCGGTGGCTTCGGGTCATTGTTTGACAGCCTCAACAAAGTAAATTGGACACTCACAATGGCCTGTCCTCAAGGCCAGACATGACTTCAAGAGACCTAACAAAGACTCATTCGCCAAGCTCCTCGTAAAACTGCTCTTTTCTCTTGTCATATGTTTCGCAAGTCTCGTATATAAGCATGAGGAAATCGCCAGGATCCAGAGCTCATGTTTCCAGCCCAAAATACCCCAAAGATTACCTTTCAATCAAAGGCCAGCGCCATATCATCGCGATTCCCACGTCAAGCTCCCATCATTAGCTTTCTAGCCAATCTTCAACCTACCTTAAACTGCCTTCTGAACCCAACGCCGACATGTCTAGCCAGAATCTCTCGTCACCTCAACTACCTACTATGAGCGACAACACCCCCACTCAGCACGAGCTGGTCTCGGCAGAATGGCCCCAGGAATCCGAGACTCAAGAGCTTCCAGATTACGATGATTCCGAGAACTACCATCGCGTCGGTGGCTTCTACTTCCGCCGGCCCTCGGTCGACACCTCCTCGCCGCTCCCCTCCCCCGTCCGCAGGCGCGTGTGGGAGGCCGCCTTGGATCAGCAACAGCTCAACCTCACCCTGCGGCAAAACCGCCTTGAAACCCAACACAACACCTTTGAAACAGCGTTGGAGACGGTCGAGGATCGGCAGGATTTGATGTCGGACCGTCAGGACGTTGATGCGTCGCGCATCACCCGCATTGCGAGAGACCTTGAAAGTATCCAAGAGACTCTCCAGTCCAGGCCATGCGCGGCGTACTGTGGCCTCAAGTCGCCCAGTCGTCACACAAAAAAGCATTGGCTGCCACGGTGCTTCAAAGCGGAGGGTGCGATTGCACATATGGCATGTCCTGCAACAGCAAAGGGCGCCACGGCTGAATCCGATGACGAGGTGTTTGAAGGTTCATCTGGCGGTGCTGGGGGAAAGCGGAAGAAGGGAGATGAAGATGACGACGACGATGATGAAGATGATGAGGTCAAAGATAAGCAAAAGTCTCCTAAGCGTCTTAAAACCTCCTCCGCAGCTGGCAACAATGAGATTATTGATCCGGAAATGAGCGAGGGGCTTCGGCCTTCGGTCGCTAGTAATGGTCTTCACGCTCCCGGAAGCCCCGGTTACTTCTCTACCGGATCTGCAAGCAAAAAGCGGGCGCGTTCCAGTCGGTCTGCGGAGCGCTTAGAGGATGACGAGGAGGATAACGACCGGGATTTGGATGAGGAGGATAAGCACAAAGCCAAGAGCCGGAAGCTGACGACCCAAAATGAAGGGGCCGATGAAGAGGACGATGAAGAGGAAGATGAAGAGGAGGAGGCTGACGAGGAGGGCAAGGAGCCGCTAAAGATCAAGCTTCAGGAAAAGGCAAAAGTCTCCGCGGAGCTAAAAAAGAAGGCCATTCCGAAGGCGAAGAAACCCACCCATCCCAAGAAGACGATTCCCACACCGACGAAAGCCAGAGCAAATCCCGTTGCTAAGCCAGACAGATCCACAAGCACTCGCTACGACTTGAGAAACCTTGTAAAGATCCAAGAAGAGAGAATAGAAGAAGAAAGGAAAAAGAAGCTTGCCGCTGAGGAGAAGAAAAGGGCCGACATCAAGAAGAAAGCGGAGGCTAAGAAGAAAGCTGAGATGAAGAAACAGGCTGAAGAAGAGAAGAAGAGACAGATTGATGAAGAAAAGAAGAAACAGTCTAAGAAGGGAAAAGCCGAAGAGAAGAAGAATCAAAAGAAGTCGGTTGTGGATGAAGAGGAAGAAGAAGAAGAAGAAGAGGAGGAGGAGGAGGAGGAGGAGGAGGAGGAGGAGGAGGAGGAGGAGGAGGAAGAGGTTGAAAATGACGGCAGCAAAGAAGGGGAGGAGGACGAAAACGACGATGAAGAGGTGGAAACGGAAGGCGAAGACGAGGTGGAGGACGAAGAAGAAGAAGAATGATAAAGAAGACGGAGTAAAGATAGTTGTAAAACCATTGCGGGTATATATCTGAAGGTCTGAAGAGTTTCAGAAAGATTTGAGAATAGCTTCAACCTGGCCAACCGCTGCAAACCATGCGGATCACTGCTTTTAAGACAAGTCCAACTTACAGAAACGCATTCCATCTTGATTTCGATGCTGAAAAGCTAATCTACCCGATCCAAATCGCCAATACCAACTCTGCGAGGTCCTATAAGTGAGACGGCCCATTCCGTCATACCCCTCAATATCCATCCAAATCCGAGAACATCCCCCGCCGCATCGCCTTTGGGAACGAGCAGACCCAAGAAGCCCCTCACATGTCCCGTCCCTCTGGCGTACGTCATCGTATAAACAACCCTCGTGTGCCCTTTCCCGGATGTGAAAGCCATCGTCCACAGTCTCGACGAAGAGGACGAAAGAACATCGTAGGTATAGCGCGGACGAGGAGGGTCAACCAGCGGAAGAGACCTCGGCACCTCTTTGGCCTGCACATAAGCGTACCGGCCTTTCCACCTCTCCTCGAACCTGCTTCTCCTCTTCCAAGCATTCTGCTGGGCCCGATGTCGTGGCGTAGGTGGCGGCTGCAAGACCCGCTGCTCCTCCCACCGCGCCCCATCGACAGCCCAATAACTCCCGCCATCGATATCCCTCTCATCCCACCCCTCGAGTTCCATCCCGCTGCCAGACCATCTGCTTCCCCTATCCCGTCGTGCCTGTTCAGCAGTGCCTCCGGTCCTCTGAGTCCTCGGCCGTCGAGGGTGCGGCCTCCTCCGCCCCGTCACGTCTAAAAGGTCGCCTTCTCTCCTGGAGCGTTCATGCGTGCCTGTATGTGTTGTTGCGCCCGTAGAGGAAGTATACGTAGACATCCACGACGGCGAGGCAGTGTACATGGATGCGTACACCGGCGATGTCGACATGGGCACGCCGTTCTTGTATGCCTGGTCGAGGTGAGCCTCATATTCCAGGGGCTGGACGACGACCTCGGGGACGACGGGAGCGGCAACATCGGCGTCCGCCGCCGTGAAGTTTGCCGACGTGGTGGCAGTTTCCGGAAAACACGCGAGCTCGAGGGATGATCTCCTCGACAGGTCTTTCGACAGCTGTTGTCTTCGTCGTGTGCACCGCTTACACAGCCGATTCCTGTGCTTACATCTTCTGCAGGGCACCTCGAGGCCAGGCGTACACGAATCGTCATCATCCGTTGACACCTCTTCCTCGCTTGATTCCGACTCACCCGCGTCGGGGAAGATGTCCCAATAAGCCGAATCCATCCTTGCCTTGCTCCGATCCCCGCCAATGAACGATACCAAGTGAAGAATAAGAAAAACAACAAGCCAACTATTTCGAGTTTTGGTTCAAAAGACAAAATGAGTCAATTAGTGCTAGCACGGAGAATCCAGATTCCTTTTCAGTGACGCAAACTAGATGAGACTTTTATTAGATGAACATGTGATGTGAGGAATTTTTTTTTCCCTCACTAGTTCATCGGGGAATACCACGCGCAGGTTTGCGATGCGGGAAAAGTGAGACACGCAGTTGGGGTAACACGGCCAAGAACGGCCGCATCTGAGGATAATGACTACCAGGCAAAAAAAAGCCACTCCCCGCCCCCCCCCCCCGATTTGCGGGGGATGAGGCGCTGAGCAGCTAGTCGAGGAGAAATGGCGTGCATCTTGTCAGAGTTACCGCCGGGTAATTGGAGCGATGTGCGGTGATTAGTCGCTGAGCCGCTTACGGTTAAGAGATGACAAGTCGAGGGTTCCCCTGGTGCTAGCCAAAACAAACACATGGATGAATGAATATCGTAACCTTCTGCCAATAATGTCTTTTGCAGCACTGTTTACTATGATTATTGGTTGTGAGGATACCACGAGCATGACAGTTTATAAAGACCAGACCGACCCGTTTTCAATCCCTCTTCAAACGCCAAACAATGCCGGATATAGAATACAGTCTTTTTCTTGCGCCGCCCCGACGCCGCCGCGGGGCATCTTAGTCCCAGTACCGGATATCTCCCTCCGCGCCCGCCGACACAAACTTGCTAGTCTCCTGCGGGTGCCACGCGACACAAGTGACTGCCTGGTCGCCTGCCTTGAGGTTGTGGTACATCTTGCACGTCTTCCAGTCCCAGAAGCAAACATAACCCTGGGTGTCACCACTTGCCAGGAACTGACCGTCGGGGCTAACGGACACGTCGATGGCCGTGCCGGCGTTGTTATGGCCGCGGTATGACTTCTTGCGGTTCTGGCGGAACTTGTCGTTGGCGCCGTAGACGACGATCTGGTTGTCCGAGGACTGGAACGCGACGTACTTGCCGCTCGGGTGCGGTGCCGCACGCGTCATCGGGTACATGTAAGGCTCGGCGATGTACTTAATAGGCACCGGGATGTTGTAATCCCACGCGCGCAGTGACTTATCGTCTGAGGTCGTCATGAAGCGGCGGCCTTCGTCGACGAAGGTGATTGTGTTGATTGCGGCCAAATGGTGGTCTGCGACTTGTTAGCATTCTCCGATACGTGCAAGAGGAAGATTGGATCTTAACATACCGTATTCTTGAACAATCTCGTTGCCGGCGCGGGTATCCCATTGGATAATCTTCTTATCCGACATGCCAGCGACGAACTCGTGCGCATGCTCCACCGACGGGTTGAACCGCACAACATGCGGCGTCTTGCCTGTTGAGAACCGGCCCAGGCACGATCCCGTTTCCGTATCCCAAAGCTTGATCTGCCTGTCGAAGCTAGCCGACAAGAACCTCGTGCCGTCGTTGTTGAACGTAGCGTCCGAGACCGCCTTCGAGTGGCCGGAATACGTCCGCAGCAGCTCGCGCTGGTGGTACACATCCCAAATCTTGACCGTCGAGTCTGCCGAGGCTGACAGCAACAAGTGTCCGGAGTTGGGGAAGAAACGCAGGGCGGTAACAGCCTTGGTATGGTTCCGCCACGTATGGATCTGCTTCTTGGGGATGAAGTTCGTGATGCTGCCCGCCTCCTTGCGCAGATCGACGTCCAGGTCCAGCGGGACGTGCATATATGTCCGGCCTTGGTAATCCCTTTCCTCGGAGCCGTGGAATGTCGTCGTCTCTTCGCCCATTTCCTCGACTTCTTTTCTCCTCGTCAGTGCTGCCTCGGGGGCGCGCAGCACTGTTCCACTCTCCACCACATCGTCGTCGTCCGTAACCTCTTCGTACTCCTCGTCGCTGGCCAGTTCCTCGCCCTCGCGGACGACCTCGTACTTTTCACGACGATACCGTGCCCAGGGTCCAACATACGCGCCGTCGCCTTCAACGATGGACGCGTCACCCTTCTTTTCACGACCGGAGCGTATCTTCGCAGCCTCCTCTTTCACGGCCTCGCCGGTCTGATATTCACGTTCCGGTCCTCCTTTCCGCTCGATCGCCCTGTGCTTGCTCCGAAAAGTGTGCTCCGAGAGGAACGTCTCCTCCGCCGTGCCGGTCAAGACGTTTTTGCGCTTCAGCGTGGTGGTTTCGTCCTTGAACGGGTTCGCGGGGCCCAGCTTCGGACGGGCTAGATCTTCGCCGGTGTAAGGTACGACGGCGTGGTCTGGCTCTGCCTCCTGCCGCACGATGAGCGCATCCTGCGGCGCCATATTTGGCGGGTAATCTCCGAAGCCTGACATGTTGTATGCTATCAGCCAGTAATGAGGTGTTGAACAGGGTGCGGGGGTGTGTGTCGCGGTTGAATTATTTGTTCGCGACTCATCCAGGTCCTGGTCGCATCTGTAAAAGTCGTGGTCACGTGATCTGATGTCAGGCAGGAGCTACACATGCCTGTGGTTGCAGCTTGTTTTACAGCTTTTTGATGCGGGAAGGGAACCAAACAAAAAAACAAAACCCAAAAAAAAGATAAAAAGAAGCTTGGACAGCTGCGCCGTCAACAGCCCACTTAGCAGATGTGACCTCAAAGATTTGCAGAACTTTCTTGATTAAGATTATCATATGAAGAACTAATATGACAATATTCCACAAAATAGCAACCATACATCAAGTACAATCAAACATCTGTCATTACTCAATTATCGCAACCCGCCGCTCCCAGGACCAGCCGGCCTGGCAGCAACATAAAGTAAACAGCTAGGTATTTGTCTTTCGCATCGTAAACCTTCCGCAACCGTTACTACCCCTCCTCCGTAATGTTCCTTTCCCATTCATCATCATCAGAATCTCAAACAGAGGGTGACCATAAAAACCCAAACCTCTGCCCGTAAACTCCAAGAAACTGAGGCACAGGCATCAGCGCCAGATTCCCCAAACCAACCACCGCCCGTCTTCTGGTATCATGACCCCATGTCTAGCAGTTGCCCGCCTTATGCCCTTGAATTGAGCCAACTAAGCGCGTCGCTCAGATCATCTCGCAGCGTCTTGCGTTCGGTTACTCATTTCTCGTCCACACGGCATGGTTATGTATGTACTGGAATCCGTCCCGTTGTCGTCCGCAGGGAGCGATTCAGCTCTTTAGTGAGTCTCGTCGCGGATGAGAGCGACAATCATGCTGTAAAGGTAGAAGAAGAACATGACCAAGTGGAAGCCGAGCTTCACAAAGGACTCCTACAGAGGGGTTAGAAAACAGAAAAATTCGGTTTCGATATTGAGGGGAGGCAGCATTTACCTTCTTGTGTACGTTCAGCTTGCGGAAGATCTCGGTAGCATCCAACAAGTGGGTGTTGTCGACGATCCTGGGGCTCAAGTCAGCTTTCATCCCTTCGATAGATAACTTTTCTGCAGTGTGACGTACTTCTTAATATTGTAGGCGAGCAGAGGCACGTTCAGGACCAGAGGAACCCAGTACCCGTTGATTAGGAATAGGAAGGTCAGGAATCCATGGACGGCAGCTTCGGGGATGATGTAGGTGTTGAGGCGGTTGCAGAGGTCAATAGGGTTGATGTAGTCGCTGCAGAGGAACTTGTCGTTAGCCGTCACTTGTCCCATCTTTCACATGAAAGCGAGCCCGAGCACGCCCTTGCAATATGGTCAAGGCCGCAAATGCTGCAGCTGCTCGTCTGGACACTCGGAGCAACTGCCAGTACCGTGCAGCAGAACGGGCGCGTGCTCTTGTTAAAGGGGGAAAGCAGACATACCATTCCAGATCGCTGTACATGATGGTGAAGAAGACCTGCAGGAACAGGTTGACGGCGTTTATCAGCACCGCCAGGAGGTATAACCACGCTTCACCAGACATATTGACGGTTTCGGCAGCAAGCTGCGCACAATCGAAACAGGGAAAGATAAGAGGGCTTGTTTAGCAAGTAAAGACCACAGCACGAGTTGAAGTGCTGCTGTTGTTGGAGATGGAGGGGGAGCTCTCGCTTTTTTGCGCGCTCAAAAGTCTTGGTTTGGAGCTGTGTGCGGTGCGGGTGGGTGGAATGCTTCGACGTCACTGGGGTGATGTGTACGAGGGAAGCTCTGCGCCGAGGCAACGGTTGCAATCAGGAATTGCAGTTGCAGTCAATATGTGGCTGGAGCTGGAGAAGCTGTCGAGTGCGAGGGAGGCAAAACTGAGAGGCAAGACGACACGTGTGGGAATGCAACGGGTCGGTGGTGATGTTGAGTCGTGGTAGGACCTTTTTTCGGGCTTGGAGGGAGAGAAGGCGAGAGAGATAGATGGAGACTCAGGCAGGCACAGGTTCAGCAAGGCCACAGGTGAGCAGAGGTAGCGTAGCGAGCCGAATCAAAGTCGAGGAAAATCGGGAGGGTGGGCTACGGGGCTTTAACCTCTGATGATGAAAGAGGCTCCGATGCCTTGCTCCAGGGCGTCCCTTTACTGCCCGCACTGCACCAGCCAGCGGCCAACAGAAGGGTTATCAACCAGTAAGAGCCCTTGACTTTGCCCCACGGCCCTGCACCTTACAGGTGCAACGACCAGCGTAACCCCCCTCCATTGTTCCGAATACCATGTACCCTATCGAGTACGTACTCCGTACTATGAGAAAATCCCCCGGCAAGATTTTTATCGCGCTCCGGCCGGCGACTCCAGCGAATCCTAACGCTTCTCCTTGGAGCATTCCAGACCCATCAATGAGCCACACTGGGCAGTTGTTGGTACAAGCGTGAGGGGAACCACGACATTCCCCCAAGGGTCCCATCACCAGGAACCCCTCTGGCGTGCTGGGTCCTCCAGCTGTCAAGCTGTCGCCATCGCGCTCGAGCAGCTGTCAGCAGCCCAGCTGCTAATGTGGCCGTGGCCGGAGGGGAGGGACCACTTCCTTTTCTGCCCGCTGGGTGGCTGGGAGGGCGGGGGTGACTTAACGGACTCTGCTTGCCCTGTCCCTGAACCTGAGAGGGCTGGACGCGAAGGGATGCCCGGACAAGCCCTTCATCTACCCACTCAGCATAGCCATGTGAATATGGGACTGTTGTAGAACGGCCTTGGCCCGAACGGTCTTTGCAGATTTGGATGGCCAAGTGGACCATGAGTCCGTACCATAGTATCGCAGCACATGTCAACAACATTGGGGTCTTAGCATGTCCCTTAACATTAATGAACCTCCGTTGCTGACAGCTTCCGTCCACGTTGGAGAGGTAATACTCCATCGCCGATCGCATGCAAATCAGCCACGTCCCCCAAGTAATCGTTCTTTTTGATCCGAGATAGTTGGATTTCCTGAGGCATCATATCATCATCCTCAAGTTTAGTAGCTTTCGATTTGCTGACTTGGTTCCTCTCTTGAGCCAGCCGCTGCTATGTTATTCCCTTTTGCACTCCTTTGATTCTACAACTACCGCCCACCTCCAATCACATGAACGCCACACCCTGCCCCATTTTGGTCAACTCAACGCCTCGTCCTTTTCGCTCATGCTCATATCTATGTTAACGTAGATGTTTATGCGGTTGTGCCGTTGGCCTCGCTGTTGGTGCCAGGCATCGGGATCTTTCCGCCGGGGGAATCGGCTTTCCTGGCTGTAAGGACCTCCACTCCATCTTCAGTGACCAACAGTGTGTGCTCTGCCATTTTGTTAGACACAATCCACCGTCAATTTCAAAGCAAGTTACTCACCAAACTGCGCGGTCTTCTTGCCGTCAATCGTCGTGCTGGTCCAGTTGTCGGGCCAGGTAATATCACGGTACTTGCCAAGAGCAATCATGGGCTCGATCGTGAAGGTCATGCCGGGCTTGCATTCTCCGACCTGCTTGTTCTTGGCGTAATGAGGAACGTTGGGAGGGCAGTGGAACAGCTTGTTGATGCCGTGTCCGCAGTACGTACGGATGACACTGCAGTTCCGCTCCTTCGCGATCTTTTCAATGATGTTACCGAACTCGCGGATCAGCGTGCCAGGCTTCACTGCCGCAATGGCCGCATCCAGACAGTCACGCGCAGCTTCCACAACTCTGACAGCATCGGGGTCGGCCTTGGCCCGATCACCGACGTAGTAAGTCTCGTTAAGGTCGCCATGGTAGCCCTCGAAGTAAAGGGTAACGTCGATGTTGAGGATATCGCCGTCAAGCAGCACACGCTGGTCGGGGATTCCGTGGCAGATGACCTCGTTGAGCGACGTGCACACAGACTTGGGGAAGTGGTTGTAGTTGAGGGGGGAGGGGTACGCCTGTTCGTCTCGTCAGCTTTCTATCCTTCTCCCCCAAATGCGCCCGCCTAAGCGCGGAGTAGACTCACATTGCGCTCTATGCAGGCGTTGTGGACAATCTCGTCGATGGCGTCAGTCGTGATACCAGGCTTGACGGCGGCGGCAGCGATGTCCAGGACCTCTCTTGCCAGGCGGCAGACCTTGCGCATGCCCTCGATTCCCTTCGCATCCAAGATGTCGACCTTGTTCCTGTTAAGGATGGATCTGGGGTACTTGGGTTGACCATCCTGCCACCAGTCTGGGTGGGGGATGTGCTTGGGAACGGTGCGCCGCGGTGACAGAGGGTAGACGGGTCGGAGAGGGCCGCTGAATGGGTAGGTCGGGAACGGGTTGAAAACACCTGTCTCTGGATCTGGTTTAGAGACTACTTTTGGCGGAAGGACGTGGTGGATTATACTTGTCTCGGTCTTGTGCATAGACTTGTGGTTGCCCTGCGACTTGTTAGGAGCTATTGCGATCGTTGTTGGCAGCTATTGCGATCGTTGTTGGCAGCTACGCCAAGATGTTGCACAGCACTAACCCAGTTCTTCTTGAAGCAGTCTTGAGAGCAAAAGAAGCTATCCTTGATTCCAAGCTTCAAACATGTTGGGCACTGGAGAGAGCCGGCGTCATTGGGGCAGTCGACTCCCAGGCACTTCTTCTTCGCGGGGGGTTCCGTCATGGCGGGCGTTTCGTCGTGTTGTAGGAGGGGAGGTGTGAGGACCTGTCAAACAGAGGGGAAGAGAGAAAGAAAGAAGAAGAAAAAACAACCGAAAGGGCTCGAGATGTTGTTTCAACTAATCCAAGAGTGAGTAGAGGGAGACCCTGGAAGCGGCAGGATTTGGATGGACAAAGCGGCACGGCAGCTTACAGGATACGCCCTAAAGTTGACCACTCGGCAGCGCAAAAAAGTGACCTGACGAAGAAATATTTCAGGTCCTAGGCTGTGATAGGTACGTTACGGAGAGGCTCCCCGCCACACCTAGTGGGATTTTGGTGGGCAACGGATTCACCGATAAGACACCGATATCGATAGCGATAAGTCACAAGGCAGCTTGTATCGATAAGGATAAGCGATGAAGTGTTTGTCAGCAGCCAAACAACAGACATTCGATGAACAAAGCGGAGCTTCCTTTGTTGGGGCTTCCGGGGAATACCCGACTCTCTCTTCACTGAGCGAGGTGCGTTCTGCGGCTTTGCGGTATTGGCGCAAGTTAGTCATGGAGGAAAAGGACTCTCCTCCGTCCGGCTATCCGTCTTTCCCCTGGTCGAGTTGACCCGCCAATGCGAATCATCATGCGATTCTTTTCGCGCCACTGGTTGTAAATTCTTTCCCTTCCCAGTTGTGCCCGTTGAATTGGATCTCTTCTTTTTTCGGCCCAAGCAACATGGCCAAGAACCAGAAAGTTATCGTAGTCGGCGCCGGCCCCGTCGGCTCTTTGGCTGCTCTCTACGCTGCGCAGCGTGGCCACGATGTTGAAATTTATGAGCTGCGTCCTGGTAAGTCCGCTCATCAGAGTCGCGTGTTTCCTTTCCCGTTCAGTCATTTGCGTACCCTTTTCAGGTCGCCTACCATTTCCCAACTTCACGGGTTATGGAGATCCTTCACATCAGCCCCACCATCTCTGCGCCGAGATTTGATGTGGATAAGATTGATAACATTGCATCTCAATATCTGAATCGCAGATGTAACGAGTCAATTGGAAATGGGCGAATGCGGTTGATTCCTCATGGTCTCAATTGAGTAATAACTGACGCCCACTATGCAGACCTTCGGGACCCGACAACAACGTTGTTGAATTTCACTCGGTCTATCAATTTGGCCCTGTCGGAGCGCGGTATTAACGCTATGCGTAATGCTGGCCAACCAAAGTTACTGGAACATGTCTTTGGCGCCACCATTCCTATGCGGGGACGCATGATCCATGGCAGAACCCCGAAAGGTGATCTCTATGAAGCCTCGCAAGCCTACGATGTTCACGGCAGGGTAAGTCACTTTAGTTGCACTTGTCTTTCAAACCCAGTATTTTCACACTACTAACTATGCCAAGGCTATTTATGCCGTTGACCGCGCCGGCTTAAACAAGCGCATGCTTGATATCCTTGAGGAGATGCCCAATGTCAAGTTTTTCTTCAGCCACAAACTTACCGGTGCCGATTTTAAGCAGTGTAAGGCCTGGTTTGAGGTGATGACCTCCGAATCGGCAACTGGTCGCGCCAGGGAGATTGAGATTGACTTTGATTTTATGATTGGAGCTGACGGTGCTCACTCGGCTGTCAGGTACCATATGATGAAGTTTGCTCATATGGACTATAAGCAAGAGTATATCGACACTTTGTGGTGCGAGTTTCAAATTAAGCCAGCCGACCCCCCTTCCAAGGACAGCGCCGGCCCTCACTTTCGTATTTCGCCAAATCACCTTCACATCTGGCCTGGAAAGGACTTTATGTTCATCGCCATACCCAGTGATGTAAGTTGACAGCATTTACCTTTGTGCTCTCTCCAATGAGACTGACGAGTTGCAGGACGGTTCCTTCACCTGCACATTATTTTTACCCAACGAACAGACAGTGGCTTTAGAGAACGACCCTGAAAGCCTCCCGGCATTTTTCGACAAGCATTTCCCGGGAGTAACTAGTTTGATTCCTGCTACTGATCTTATCGCCTCCTTCAAAACCAACCCACATTTGCCTCTTATCAGCATCAAGTGTAAGCCATATCACTTCCAGTCGTCAGTAGTCCTGGTCGGCGATGCAGCTCATGCAATGGTTCCTTTCTACGGCCAGGGTATGAACGCCGGCTTGGAAGATGTCCGCGTTCTATTCTCCATTCTCGATAAACACAGGCGGCTGGATGAGACCAACGACCCTGCAGCAGAAACGAATGAGCCATCAGCGGCAGCATATCACAGGTCGGTAGCACTGGCCGAGTACACGGCAAACAGAGTCCCCGATGCCCACTCTATCAACGACCTCGCTCTGCAAAATTACGTAGAAATGCGTGCCTCGGTTCTCTCTCCCCGTTACCGTCTTCGCAAGTGGTTGGAGGAGACCATGTCTGTCTACCTCCCTGGCTTGGGCTGGCGGACAAAGTACTCGCGCGTTAGCTTCGGAAACGAGAGGTATTCCGAAGTTGTCGCTAAGAGCGACTACCAGGGTCGTATTCTTTTGAAAAGCTTCGAGGCAATTGTGTGCAGTCCGCTCGTAGTAGGAGCTGTGTACCTGTGGTGGAAGCGGCCACAAGTTGTCGTGAGCGCTGTTCAGGGGCTGTTGCGGACATTGTTGAAAGCGACTGAGAAGGCATAAAATTCTGGCAGATGGCCATTATATCACTGAAAATACCGTATATGTACGACGAAATAAAGCAAAATGATTCCCCTCAAGTCAGGCCTTGTAAGCTCATTGAAATTCGTATGAGAACTGACTGGTGTACATCTTGCCCGGAACACTCACGATATATTTACTCGTCTTGCTGTTCTCGTATGTTTTAGATCGAGGACCTTTTGTCATAATAAGATCGCAAAATAGACAAAATTCACCAATCCTTCAGTTTTGATAACCCGTACAAATGCACAAAGAATTTCGGCTAACTTGATAGCTCACCCGCAATGACTTGTTATAGGTGTTAAACTAGTTTCTTTGGACGTGTTGGACAGAACAGACAGATGATTCTCATATGAACGATAAATACAGACAAAGCGTCACCAGCAGGATCAAAATTCAACTTCTAACATTTCATATTGAACGGAATCCCACTCTTTTCACAGCCTGTGATAAACATGACACACAACTTTAACATATGTCTATGAAATCTTTAAGTTGTGCCTAATTGATAAGACAGACTGACTTGATCCTACAATTTTAGTGAAGCTGGAAATAGACTTTATCGGCCGTTCTGGTCACCTCTAAGATTACAAGCGGTATAGGAGTCTCTAGACCAAGTAAGTGTTGGCTGATGGATAAACTTGCTATTACTTGGACTAATAATTTGTGTCTTAATTAGCTATTTTACCTTCATAATGAGAAAAGCAACCCTAACAAAAAGCGCTGGTGACTTTCAAAATCATTTATAAGCATATTCAAGAATGAAAAAAATCCATGATCAGTGGACACTCAGTATCGTGTTCAGGTGTCGTGTTGGTTCGCTCCAAGACTCAGGTGTGTCGGTGTGAAGGATCAGGCCCCGCCTACAGGGTTGCAGTGGCAGCCGCATACCAGCCTCCAGCACATATTAATAATAGAGGTGCTGCTCCGTTGAGCTAAACGCCCAAAAGGATGCGTAACAACAAGTCGTGCACTTGTTGCTTGGCTGCACTTAAGAAGGGATAATGGCACAGCTATCAACCGGGCATAGCCCGTAACAGTCGGCTTACTATATTTTGCATTTAGATCTTTTGACGTCCTAGAAACATTGAACACGGCTTCTGTCTAGTTTTAACTCTCATTCTATTTGACAGTTCCTGACGGTTGTCGAATATCTTCTGGGTCTAAGAATATGCCCACACAGGCACAAAGTATCAAAACTGCAAGTAATGATTGATTTGACAGATTAAATGACACAAAGCCAATTCTTGTACCGTAAGATACATACTCATCATGGTGAATTTGTAGTTAAGTAGCCAGTCTAGATTAAGACAGAGAAGTTGGCACTCAACCTTGAGAAACAGATTTGCTTGCTTGTGGCGCGGAATGTCCAGTGGGATGGCCTGACCGGTGTCCTCTGTTCAACTACACTCGTACCCGCATTTTGCCGTTCCGAGGCTCATTTATCGCCCACATTGCTACAAGCTATGTAGTAGAAGAAGATGAGACGTACTAAGCTGGCAGAAATGCTGACATCAATACTACTTTCGTCGGAAGAGATGCAATGTGGACATTGGTGTTTTGTGGAGATCCCCCGCATCGTCGTCTCGAGGGTATTCATGCAGCTTTGCATCCCCGCGATTGTGGGGTTCAGCATCGCGAATCATGACTGGTCAAAATTATCCTTTGCTCGTCTCGGGGGTAATGTCATAATATGAAGCATTCGTGATCTGGGTTTTGAGGAGTCGTGGATCGGCGACGCTATCTGGCGTTAAGACATAAATACTGGCCTCAAAGTCGAAGGAATGCCTTCTTTTCAATTTCCGTTCAAGGCGTAGCTCGGACAATAAAATCATCTCCAGTAACACACGTTTCATTTTGACCATACACCTATTTCTTCTTCCAGTTATCGGGACTCGTTCTAACTCACAAAATACGCCATGTCTTCTTCGTCCTCAGCACCAGCTGCAACAGCTACCGTCGATGTTCAGCCCATTCTCACACTAAAGGGCAAGACTATCGCAGGTAAATCAGCCATCATTGAGCATCCGAAATATCACTTACAAGTCTAAAGTTACCGGGGCAAATCGCGGCATTGGTCTGGGAGTTGCCGAGTGTTGTCTTCTCAACGGTGCTGACAGAGTCTACTCTATTGACCTTGCGGAACCTGGCGAGGAGTTCGAGGCTGCCTCCAAGCAGTTCCCCGGTCGTCTGTTCAGTATTCAGGCAAATGTTACCGAAGAAGAGAGCATAACGGCCGCCATTGACAAAATTGTTGAAGAGGCGGGTGCCATCCATGGCGTAGTATGCAATGCGGGCCGTACGAATCACAAGGCTGCGCTTGACTTTACAAAGGAGGAAATTGAAAGTTTGTTTGGCGTTAACGTAAGTGACACGACCCTGGTTAACGAATAAGGTTCAACTTTATGGCTGATACGGTTCAGTTATTTGGCGCTTTTTACACTGCCAGAGCCGCTGCAAGGGCATTTATCAAGCTCAACATCAAGGGATCGGTGGTTTTCACAGCATCCATGGCGTCGTACCGTCCAAACAAGGTATCTCAAGTCTTGTTGCACAAAAGATCAATCCTTTGCTGATATTCCCTAGCGAGTGCCCTCGGCACCTTATGGCGCCTCGAAAGCTGGTATCCGCAACATGGCGCACACCCTTGCCATGGAATGGGCCAAGTACGGCATCCGTGTTAACAGCGTTTCTCCTGGGCTTGTCCGCACTGCCATGACCTACTGGGTGCCTCAACAGCCCGACTGGGAGCAGCAGTTGAAGTACTACGGAGGCATCCCAAGACTAGCGGAAGTACAAGAGCTTGGTGGCGCATACGTATACCTCCTTAGCGACGCCGCCAGCTATACGACGTCGATAGATATCCCGGTCAACGGTGTAATTGGAAGTAAGTAGCCCCCTCCGTGGTTGTTGGTATCAAGTCTGACACTGTCCTTAGTTTGTTAAGTTTTCGGTATGAAAGTGAGATAGTGGTACTAGGTTTGGACAGTCTATTGGAGTGCGAGGGTGTTCATAAGTAGGAAGAAGCATGTTATCAAGGAACTCAAGTATTCATGCCAAGCGGGTCTTTAAATGCAGGTGACAATTGATTTCAAAGCAATCATCCCCACAGCCTCATCTGCGTTGCCAATCAGGGGCTGCTTTATCGATTCTTGATCAGTAGCATTACAGGACGAACAAGACAAGTTGTCATGCCCCTGTTTTATTGTTGGGTTCTTATGCCGAGCATCGAAGGTGTCTCGGAGAATTGTCCTACTTTCCGAAAACCGGAGACCGAATAGCCTAGAGGCAGAAAAAAGCGAAAAGAAAAGAAGGAGAAAAAAAACCTGCCTCGCTTCGCTAGAGGCCAGGTGAGTCGTGGGTATCATAAGATTCAAACGTTCTTGCAACCCACTTCGACCTCGTACTTCAAAGCCTCAAAACCTGTAACCGAGATATTGACCAGCCATGACCCTCACTGGACGCCCTATAAGGTCCAGTAAGATTTTAACATTGAGGGAGACTAGGTAAATGAGAATCCGAGCGTGGGGCTCATCTCAATAAAGAAAGTGCGACCGTCATATCGGCACATAGTCCCATTGGCTGGCTTGAACCCCTGGTGCTGCTACTGTTCCATTCCGATCAAAAAAGCCTCACGGCATGGTAAACTGACAACCTGGTAACCAGGTAGACAGGTGAAATGGCGACAGCACGTGTAGTAGGTAAATTGTGTTTGAGCCGCGATAACCGGAACCTAATACTTGCCACCACGTGTGCCTACTTCGCTACCAAGGTAACATGAGAAATTCATACAGGACCTTTATGGCGGATGTCTATCCCTGGATTTCGTCATGTGATTAAGGAGGTCTAGATGGGTTTATCTGCCCCTTTCACATCACCTTATGTAAGTGCGTCAAGATTCCCGCGTATTGCGTGCGTTGCTACACATGGATTCCCGTGAACACTTTCTGACGGAGCCTTGTAACTCCATCTCGCTGAATCATTGCCCGATGGAGCCGTTTGATTTCTTGCACAACCCTTGCCAAATCCTTCTAGTACGCACATGCGCAGGGTGTCAACAACTATGAATCGCAGCATGTGGAGAAAAATATTTTTTTCCTTCTCAGTATGTCTTCCAAGACAACCGCGCGGGTATCCATCTCGGACTATCGGACAACGGAAGGCCTCCACAACTCTTTCGAAAGAGCACGGTTGAATAAAAGTTAGAGCCCCATTCGCTTAAGGTTCTCCACAAAGTCCGCCTTAACTATGTCCCGTTAACAACCCCAGGGGGGTTTTTAGCTCAAATCTGTTATGGACTCAATCCCTCTCAGGTGTGATGAGGAAGTATTTTGCATCCGAGCCAAGCCTTCTTTGACAACAGATCAATTACTTTATTCCGGTCAGGATCCACTCTATCCTGGAAACGAGAACTTAATTTTACCTCGACTCGCGACTTTTGTCCATGGAGCCCTCGAAATACCCGCACAGATGGGGTTACGTTGCATTTAGAGAGGCAAAGCACCCAAACAAGCAACACTGCCGACAAATTGCATGGAGCAAAAAGCTATTGAGGTTCCTTTTGCCCCAGCCTTATCTCCTCGCTGGGAAGGCGAATCAACCTTCTGTTTTTGGCAGATTTCTTCGTACATAAAGGTGTCTCACAATCTTGGCCTGTGAAGAAAACGTCATTTCGTCAATGTTCCAGAACTTGGGCGACTCGGGTGCTTCTCCGTAGTAGGATGGTCGTTACCAGATCACTGACAGGATTTACCTCATTGTGGGCCTTGTTTTGTAAATTAGCTACCCAATGCCTTGGTGATCCGACAACGGTGACAGGAGACCCTTGCATTAACTTGCATGCAGTGCCCGAGATCTGACCATAATGGAAAGGCGAGACCCTCAAAACATCCCGAAAAAGGAGACTACTGGTTTCTTGTCACAATTAGTAAGGATGACAGAACAGACCCCCACGGAGGCCCAAATGCTTCAGCCAAGGGCTCCCAAGCACCGGGTATCTCGGATTGATTAGATTAGATCGTGACCAACCAGTAAACAGGTAGGTTCCATATTCATTCCACCCAAGAAGCAAGGGAGGCCCTAGCTCCCAACTTGGTAATTGACTCGACCAAGACCTTGGTGTTTACTGTTTGCCTGGAACTTGAGATGAACAGCACCGCTCCTCTCCGAGAAAAAATGCGGCGCAACCCTGAAGCCGCCGGAGATAGAATGCCCCGACAAGGAAGTGGATGCCCTTGATGGAGATCCTCTAAGACGACAAGGGGCGTGTCTTACTCGAAAGTCTACATACATATAAGTCGAGTATGAGTCGTTGTATGTCCAGCAGATACTCGGACTCTGCTTGGCAAAGATCTACACTCTTGCATACATTCGTTCGTTCTTTATCACAGTCTCTACAATACAACCCAATATGCGCTCTTCGCTCTTTATCGCTGCGCAGTTCGCCGCTGCCGCTTTCGCAGCCGAGCCATGGGAGAACGAGGTCGACACCGGCTTCCAAATCTACCTCGACGGCACCAACTACACCAAGGGCACTCAACCCCTCCTGAAGGATATTCGTGCTATTCCCGACTTCGACTGGGCTGCCCGCCAGAAGCTTGACAACCAGAAGTACTCTTTCTACCGCACTGGTACTGCTGGCGAGTTCAGTATGTGATCCCCCTCCGTTCGATGCCTGTGAGCAATTCTAATTAGGGGTTTAAGGCTACCGCCACAACCTCGATGTTTGGCAGAAGGTTCAGCTTCGCTCTAAGCACCTGGTTGACGTCACCAAGTTGAACCAGACTCTCCCGTAAGTGAACAGCAAAAACAACAGTTAACCCGCTCTAACTCAACCAGTACCACCATCCTGGGATACAACTTCAGCGCCCCTGTCTTCATTGCTCCTGCCGCCCGTGGTATCTACGGAGATGAGGCTGCTGAGCTGAACTTTGTTGGCGCCGCAGGCAACGAAGACATTTTGTACATTGTAAGTGATCTGGCCCAAAGACCCATATTCCGAAATCTGACTAATATTATTAAAGCCTTCCATGTATGCCTCCAAGTCCATTGAGGAGATCGCGGCCGGCAAGGTCAACAACACCCTCAACGGACCCCAGGTCATCTTCCAGCAGATCTACACCAACGGCAACTTGTCCGTTACCTGGGAGAACATTCGCCGTGCCGAGAAGACTGGCGCCAAGGCCATCGTCTGGACCATCGACGCTCCCGGCGACTCCGTTCGTCACCGTGCCGCCCGCTACGACACCACCAACGCCAACTCTGTCTCTTCTGCGCTCACCTGGGACATCTACGATCAAATGAGAAACCACACCAGCTTGCCCATCATCCTGAAGGGTATCACCACTTCTGAGGAGGCTCTGCTTGCCATTGAGAAGGGCGCCAAGGCCATTTACATTTCCAACCACGGTGGCCGCCAGCTCGACCACACCCCTGCCCCTCTTGAAATTGCCTACGAGATCTACCGCAACGCCCCCGAGGTCTTCCAGAAGGTTGACGTCTTGGCTGACAGCGGTATTCGCTACGGCAACGATGTTCTGAAGCTGCTTGCTCTTGGTGTCAAGGCTGTCGGTATGGGCCGTCCGTAAGTCACACCCAGCAGAAATCCTCCTTTTATTTTCGTCCGGTGCTAACGTCAATAGCTTCATGTACGCCAACTGCTACGGTCTCGAGGGTGTCACCAAGGCCATCGACATCATCAAGACCGAGATTGTCCGTGATGGTGCTCAGATGGGTGTTACCAACCTGAAGAGCATTGACAAGAGCTTCGTAAGTTACAGCCATCCCGTCGGTAGTGATCATTACTAATTTGCTTTGCTATAGCTCAACCTCCGCCAGCTTGAGGACACCGTCTACATTGCCGACAAGCAGTAAAACACGGAACATTTGTGTTCGTTTAAAGTTCATGACTCATATCCTGGATTATGTTTTGATTGCATGCAGCAATGCTGTGGATAGAATGGCGTTCACATTTGGATTGGGCTGTATATATATCTTTGACCGTACCTCATTCTAGGGTCATTTCTTGTCTATATTTAAGAAGTGGGAAAGCATTCCTGATTTCATCCATTTTTGCGAAAGTCTTGCGTCACTCAGAAGACATGGGCAGAAGAAATTGTTACAAAAATAACATGTTCTGGATTTCGGTGTTAAGTGGCTTGTAAATCCTAAACGGTGGTACCTTGATAGTGCATTGAGCTAAGATCTCGTGACCACTCCCCCCACTTTCGGAGTACCTACAAATGGGGAACATCTCCGTGGGGAGTGTGAAATCCGAAAAACCCGACTTCATACCCCTTGCTACAGCGTTTCTCCAACTTAATTTTCGTAAAGACTTTACCAAGTCTTGTATCTAAAACGACCCTTTTTCGGGCCCAAAGTATCCTCTTTCTGGAATAGGAAGGATTCCTATTTGGCTGCCATCGACACCGGCATGACTAACAGTATTTCCCCACCACTTCAGGGCTATTGGGTTATAACCCACAGCGAAGAACATGATGAGCGCCGAGACGGCTACACCGGCAGTGAAAGCAGCCGATAACACATAGTTATACTTTTCCCACCACGCCAAGCGGTGTCTTGGAAGCCAGTACATGAAGATGAAACTAAGGATCATGCCGGGTGTTTTGTACGAAAGATTGGAGGGCGCCCAGTGTTGAATGCCTTGGATGACGAGAACTGGGTTAAGCCAGAGGAGAGAGGCGACGAATGGAAACAAGGTCCGATCGAGGAAAGCAAATGTTCGCGGTTGCAACTTCAGCCTCAGCTTCTCTCGTACACGGGGCAGATAGACTGGCCCGTACCCCTGTCCGACCAAGAAAACGATGGCAATGAGTGTGCCGATGAGAAAACACCCTGAGAGTGTTAGCGCACAGCTTGAACGAGGGGGGTCCAAATTTCCCACTTACACTTCAGAATCGGGTAGAACGCGACAAACATTCGCTCCGAACCAAGCAAGCCCCACATCAAGGAGTTCGTGTATAACGGGTTGCCGTCATTTGCACACGTAAAACGACTTGGCTGGTTAGGCGTGCATAGGCCCTTGACGTTTTCTAGTATGAAGTTTTGCGTGGCCACCGCGACGAAGCAAGTGATGATGATCGTGCCAATTTGACTCCGGAAAACGGCACGTGGTGCAATCTTCGTATAATGAGCCATCTTCTGATCCTGGACGTAGTTGTCTCCGTACCCTGCGAGGGCCCATGATCCAAGAGTTTGGGAGAAAAGAAAGGCATTAGTGTTGCCGGGAAGCATGTAGCCAGTGATTACCTGGATCAATGCACCAAGACCTAGGTTTGTTCCCGTCGTCGCCGAAAGGAACGACAGAGGAACTGCAAAAATTAGGTTGATAGCGATCATTAGAAAGACTATCCAGACAGGTGTGTCCAGTGGGTAGATGCTGAGGAAGATGCAAGAGACAACAATCGCAGCAACTAGAATCAGCAAGAACCACCAGTCAGGCACCTCCTTATACTTGGACATAAGACGGCTGTGGATATCCATCGCGCCTTCATAATTGCCCTTCTTGTAGCGCAGGCCTTTGTAAAAGTCAACGTACGCCGCTAAGATCGTCTTCCATTGATTACCTGGACACCAAGTCAGTTCGGCAAAGTTTGGCGCGTAAGAAAAAACATGACTAACCCATAATGTAGAGAAAGTAGATGGGGTAAAAACAGTAGTTGCCCCCAACTGTGATGAGATAACCAGCTGAGTAGAATGGCGGTGAGTATTCTTGGTAGAGTGTTTCGTTGAACTTGTTGTTGATCACGACGTTCTGTACTACGTAAGGCGTGCCGTTGTTGGCAAAAGGAGCAGAAGAGTTGATTGGTAGATAGGCTGTGTTGTACATGTTGGTGTAATAGATTCCAAGTATGATGGCACCGCCGAGTATTGCACCACAGTACATGGTACAAGTTGCGAAGAACGGCTGGGCCAAGGCATCATATGACGAGGTGGCGATGTTCCAGTCAAACGTCGTGATGGGATTGAACAGCCCTAGACCGAGGGAAGAACCGGTAATGATGGCAAGTGTTACATTCTGTGGCGAAATCCAAGTCATCCAGTTGAAGGTTGCTAACGCGGTGGAAAGATAACCAGGCAGCCAGTAGTAGATAAACATGCACCCGGTGCAGATGTAGAAGAACTTGTACCGAGAGATAGTCCAACCGTTGATGTTCTCCTTTGGTTCAGGTCGTGTCAACGCTCGGTTCATGGCAATAGTCGGCAGGATCGTTGGCCAAAGCGCCTTGACAGGGTATACACTGAAGCGTCGGAGATACCCAGCAAAACCCATGCCCATGAGTTGCACGAAGAGTGTCAGCATGATCTGGTAACCGAAGTTGACGAACGTAAGACCATAGTAGACTGGCGACTTCTGGACAAGGATCATTCCGTAACTGTTGGTTGTGTAGATGGCAATGTTGTAGGTGATTGTCGCAAACATTTGCTCTTTGAAGGTCCATGGTCCCGGGTTCAACGAATGGCGAGTGCCAAATACTGTGATACCCCAGTCCGGTAGAGTATATTCAAGGACTTTTGCGCATGGAAACAACAAAATTTGGATAACCTTGCCGCTCAGAGCTGTGTAGAATCAAGATCAGCCAAAGTGTCTTATGAGGGTGCTCCCCTTTTGAATATGTTGGCAAGCATAAAATTACTCACAAATAGCGGGGAATCTTGAATTGAAAAACGTGGAAATGAATGTGCCAATAACAGCCCATCCGATGCCCAGAAAATATGCCCGGATCGTCTCAATTGGGACACTCTGGTCATCGATGATCTCGGCAACGGCTCTAACACCTGGGTATGGAGAAGAATACCGGATCATAACGGCATCAATCCTCAAATCGCGGTCGTAGTGTTCTCCGTACGACTTTGGCCCCTCAAGCAGCTTTTTCATGCGTTCCCTCATATCGGAAGGAAAGTTCCAGTCATCCTTGAAGAATTCCACCCCCTCCTCGATTATCTCGAGGGCCTCCTCTTCTGTCATACCATTGATTTTTTCCAGGATGTATTCATGTTCTCCGTTGGGTGCTAACTCTTCAAGTTTCTCATGAGAAACCTGACTTCCGATCTGCTCCGTGTTGTCGACTCGGGTGGGGATCTTTTCGATATCGTCCGAGGTGGGGGTCGGCCCGTTCCCGGTGATCTCCGCTTTCCCGGCCATTATTGATGAGGGGCAACGCCACTATGCCGCCTGTGTCCGTGAAGAGCTAATTTAATGAGAAGAGCGGCTGACTTATAGGGGCTTAAAAAACCATCGAACTTCCAAATGGAAGCTTGGGGAAGTCTTCGGCATTATATGCCACAACTCATGTCGTCCGACATTAAGTTGGTGGCGGACATGAAGGCGGGGGAGTCGGGTCTCGGCCTAGCTATCGGGCGACATAGGTCATCCGATGATAGGAAGGAAGCACCATTTTCTCCTCAGTTTCTCGCCAGCACTGACAACGTTGCATTTTCCCGGACCAACGTTGCGCTATCAAGCTATCTCTCACAAGCTTTGTGATCGTCCCATATACATCCATCACAACCCCGCATGGTCTGCGGAACGGATGACCTGCCAAACGTGGTCTGCGGGGTACATGCGTAGGAGGGATCTCCGCCCCTGTATATGCACTGTCGAGCCAACGGCAGTTGGGTATTTGCCAGCACAAAAGCTCCCAGAGCCGATAAAAGTATCCGAAGGTTGGAGGGGCAGATGTTATCGGATAATGCGGCAAGTAAGGGAAGGCATGCAAACAAAAAGTCACGAGAACTATGTCTGTGGTGATGGCTAAAAGAGAAAGATATCCTGTTGGGAGTTCATCTTATTTCAATCTCGTATCTCTGCAACCCGGCTCATATACCTTACCGCAATGTTAGTCAAGCATTCAGATGTGTAAGCACTCTGATCAAAGTTATGGCCAAGAATATGGACAGAGCTTAATATTTATCATTCTAACTCCAGTAGTAAGAGTTCTGGGCCCAAGACAGAACAACAGTTGTACAATTCGTATTGGCATACCTTTTGCATGGATAATGAGAGGGTCAGGCTGTGTAACTCGGATAGGCAACTATGCCTGCTGCCACAGTCGCCCAGAAGCGGTCAGACTCATCGCTGTGGCCCATTTAGCACGTGTGTCGCGGTATTGTACTTTGAAGCTGCCGGGCTCTGGCTTTGCTGAATAGCTAGGGGAAGGCACTGCTATAGGCACCAAGTATTTCATTGAGTATTAGATATTGGCTACAGAAAGCCTGAGTAGTAACCCAAAGACGTTGTCCCCGCCGAAGATATGAAGGAGTGGAAAGATTAGTTCCTTTGAAAAAGCATAATCCAGAACAAAGCGCTGAAGGCGATTGATAACATCGTTGGATTAGGAACAAGACTGCCTAGGGTGGATGTATTGTGCTTCCTGCCACGAGGCCGGGAATAGGATTTAACAAAGAATTGCCTCAAGCATGAATTTACTACATCAATTATGGTTACAGTTAACGACTAAAACGAGGGAGGACGTTAGATTTCTCGAAAGTAATATGCATGTCTCGACATTGCAATCTATGTCAAAGTATGGACCCGAGCTATGACATTGTCCAGTTTCATGACAGAGATGTTCGGCTATGCTAACTATTCTATCATTTATATCACATGGCCCTCTGAATCTCAGCTAAGCCGGTGAAGCGGAATGTTCTGACTTAACTCTATGATTTATGTTTCGATGGCAAACACTGAAAAATGTTGGTCTTGTGGCACTTGTTTGTGTCAAAGATGCATTTCGATAGCCTGTCGATAGAACTTCGCCTTTCAGGTTTATCGAAGTTTATCCTGCATACGATCCAAGCCCATTTGACTTCTATGCAGTGGCTTGAACGAGTTCAAAATTTTATTTACCGACGCGGTACTAGGGCCCTACGCAACCTCCAAAGGTCCTCAATGAACTATTGTGTAGTAGCGCAGGAGCCAACTGAATGGCTTCCATTGCATTGGCGTACAACGATCCTTAGCCATGTTTACGAAACCGACGGGAAAAAAACAGATAGATTTTGATAATACTGGCAGTTTATCAAGGCATGCTTAGCCCATGGCTTAGACCAAGGTACACTAAATAAAGGACCTTGTTTTCTATTCGTAGTTTCAAAATATCTTAGCTTGGAAATTTGGCGGCTGGGTTGGTTGCGTTGGTAGTTGATGCCGATGTTTGGTTAGCACGCGAGCGACCCTGGCCTTCAACCATGCCGCCGCTCAACATGTCACGGATGTCTGAACGGAGTGGTCCAAGTCTGCGAGCGATTAATGCATGTTCAGCCATCGACGCAATGTTATTAACTGCGGTCATTTGAAGCTTTCATCGACGTCGAATAGAAGTAGAATCTATTCTCTAAGCGCGAGAATTTCTGTAAACCCCTGTTTCTACCACCATTGTGCAAGAGCAGAAGCTGTTGGTTGGGTCTTCTGACTACTGCCCCTACAAGTGGAAATACCAAACACCACCAATTGGCGCTGTACTCAACGAGCGGCTCAACTATGCCCCAGCCCCAGTTCCCCGACTACTAATACGCGCCGCATCCCTCGCCCAGCCAGTCAGTCACAACATCCCATATCTAAATTATTAAAAGCCTTACCAATCAGAAAAATGACCTTAATCGATACCATTAAGGTTTTGTTGTTACATGCCAAACATTCTAGCTCTTACCTTCACTTTTCTGTTACCACAACCTATGGCCTTGTTGTTGATCTATCCTCAGATGAGCCGCTGAGAATCCGCTTGGCAAAGGACAAACAGCAACTCCCTGCAGTGCAGACCGTACTCCAGGTTCCGGCATCCAGCACCACCAAACCTTCACCAGACATCACTCCCGAGCAACAACCAAAAATGAGAGAGGTGGCTACGACCCAAGGGCCTCAATCAGAGCCAGCATCGCTACCAATACATCAAGAAATACTCTCTGAGACAGAATGTCCACCACCATGCCAGCCACAATATGGCCCCCACCTGCCAGGGTTCAAATACTACATATCTCCTGATTTTGGAACAAACTTCATGTGGTACGACTGGGGATGGCCCGGGAATCCTGAAGGTGGCGTCGATGTCGCTGATGACGAACTAGAAGAGAGATATTCTAAAAATTGGTGCAACGCTTACGTGAGGTGGGTTGACCAATACAGCGAGGCTTTCGAAACCCGAGAGTGCCATTTGGGTGCCGATAACGATGTTTTCCCGGATGTTGAAGAGCGGTACGTCTGGTTAATAGAGGGCGCGTTGCTGGCTGCATGGTTAGCTTTACAAGATGGCGTTCACGAAGTCCTGTATGGGCCGGAGAACGATGATAATTACCAGTTCAGGTTCGAACGAGACGAGATAGATAAGACTTTGTGCCAGTTTATTCATTCCATTAAGCTGGAATAGAATTCATTGAAGGACTTTGGATGAAGATAGATAGGTTGCTTGGGCTTAGAATAGCTCATAAACTTTTTTGATTCTTAAATTGAGCCCAGCGCGATGCAAGAAAGGTTAATTACGTCACAAATTCAGACCTATACTGACATCTACTTCATCTCGCTCTTTTTAGGTTATCCTTGGTCCTACCAAAACAGTTACTTTCCTTAGCCGAAAACCACCACCCTCAGGTGAACAGCGATGTGAGGTATCGCACTTGAACGACATATCGCGGTTGAGTAAACTTGAGCTTACGTACTTCTGGTGAATCAATGTTCTGGATTAGGCTAAGGTTAGCATGAGCATCGCATTGATGGAGTAGGTACCACATTTGCATCTAGTTCACACCGTATTTTGGGGCATTTTAAGACGACATGACAGAGAGAACTTCTGGCTGGTCTAATGTGGCGCAAACTGAAACTGACGTCCTCCACCAAAAAACTGACGCTACTGTTGGCACCGTTGGCACGAGGGTATGGTCAAGGCGACCATTGGGGGGGGGGATAACCTGACCAATTACCCACTTATTTAAATGAATTATGGGTCTATCTGACCAATTTTATGATTGGCTGTATTGAGGTGAAGTGGGTCCACCTGACCATGGAATTTTTAATCGGTCAGGTGCACGGACCAGTTACTGATTGCGTCCCACTACTGATTAGGGTGCATACCCCATATTAATATTTAAATCCCTATTCTATTCTGATTCTCTTCCTTTTCCCTCCGTAACCCTTTCAAATCGTATGCGCCCCCCCCCCCCCTGGCGCACCGATTCCTAATTACTTCCGAATCAGTTCAGAAATCCGACATCATGCCTTCATACAAGGATTCTGTAAGTACAATGGAATCGGTTTAGGATCGATTCAGAACTGATTCAGAATCAGGACGATTACAAGACCTACAAAGAAGGTCTTCTCCAGGGCGGCAAGAACCACCGCATGGAGGATCTTCCTCCCTTCGAGTTCAACGAGGTAAGTGATTCAGAAGCGATTCCACAACGATTCAGAAACAGTTCTGAATCGATTCAGGCTGGCGAAGTCAACTCTACTGCCGCTGGGGTGGTAGATCCAGCAGCATCACGTGCACCAAGGTAATTCAGAATCAGTTCCGGATCAGTTCAGAACTAATTTCGAATCGATTAGACGGAGCGGTTCTCGAGCGAGTCGAACCTCAAGAACCACATCAAGAAGCACAAGCTCGACGGGGTCCCGGCCAAGGTTAAGAGCCGCAAGTCCGGCGCGAACTCCGTCGAGGAGAACGATGATGCAGCTGGTAAGTGATTCTGAACTGATTCTGTACCGATTCTGAACTAGTTCTAAACTGATTATGAATAGAATTCTACGACCGCATCCACGGCATCGCCATCGGCGCTCGCGATGACAGCGAGCTGCAGACTCCTTCCAAGAAACGGAAGGCGCAGACCCCTCCCCCCCTTCTTGCCGTGCCCACGCGCAAGCGGGGCAACCAAACTGTGGTAAGTGATTCTCAACCGATCCGGAATCCTTTTGGAACCCATTCTGAATCGATTCTGCAACAGATCAACTTCGCCGAAATGCGTCGCGCCGCCGGCTTCCCTGCCAAGGGCAAGTGCACCTACTGCACCACTGCCCGCAATGCTAGTAAGTTTAGAATCAGTCTTGAAGCAGTTCAGAACTAATTACGAATCGATTCAGAATGTCCTCCCGCCCTTCGCGATCAGGAATGTGAGGTCTGGGCCCGCTTTGAGGATGATGAAGAAGATGAGGCCTGAATCAATTCAGGATCGGTTTGGAACCAGTTTGGGACTTCTTTCGGGACCGATTTGGAACCGCTTTAGAATCAATTCTTTATAGATACCCGGGGCGTTCGGTTTTTAAGCTTTTTTTAAAAAAAGCATTTCTAAATCAATACAGAAATGATTTAGAATCGATTCTCTACCTATCCTATATGCTATCAAAGTCCTAACCTTCTCCGCCGCTCTGCTAACTCTAGTTCCTTTTCTTGTAGTTCAAGCTTCTGTTTTTCAACTAGAAGTTTTCTTGCTTCTAATTCTAATCGCTTTTCTTCTAATTCTAGACTTTGCTTCTGTAAGTCAAAGTCATCTTGTTGTCCCTGTCTGATTTCGTTTCTTAAGTTAGAAATAGATGTTCTTTGGAGAGTATTTGACCTAATAACCCCAGAAGATGAAGCATGGGAAAGACGAGGGGATCGATTCCGAATCGCTTCTGAAAGACTTCGGGATCGATTCGGAATTGAGGATGGACTTCTTGAATTAGTACCCCTTGAGGGACTAGACGTAAAGAGTCGGGTTGATAAAAGCCTTTCAACACGTTCATTATCTAGTTGCTCACGGGATTCCCTCTGGCGTTGGCGTTTAAGTTCTAAAATAATTTAGAAATAATTATTAATAAATATTAAAGTATTTTTAACTTACGTAAACGGCTTGCAGCTGTATTATAACGGCTAATAATAGAAACATCTTTCCAGGAAAGCCGGATTCCTAGTGTTGTAAACACTGTATCCTGCTCTAAAAGATGGCGATCGTATTCTGCACATCTAAGTACTTTTGAATTAGTTCTCAACGCATTCCAAACCAATTCCGAATCAATTCAGAAGGGATTCCAAACTTACTTCTGGATACATGTAAGTAATGGTAAATACCGATTACTCCAAGTATATGAGGCTTCATGTAAAACCTCAACAGTATTTGTATTAGGTATGAATTGACTCCAATCTGATAAGGGGATTTTAGAGCAGTTCTGATTAAGTCCAGCTGCAATTGTTTTTCGGGCTTTATGTTGAGCCCATGCTTTTATTTGAGGTTCAGCTAAGTAAATTAGTTCCCAAGTGATTCTGAAGCGATTCGGAAGCGATATAGAATTGATCCTTACTCTCAAATGCCTGACATAAAGCGAAGTAGTCTTCTGAGGAACGGCAGAATAGTAGGCTGCGCATTTGATTCCATAGAGAGTCAGGGCTACGGTCTTCTGTACAGTATGCCTCAATCCCTCGTTGGAAATGAATTAAACAGAAGCGTACAGAGCGTTCAACCTGCCATGCCCATGGTCTATGCTCTGGGTCACATTCCAGAGATAGATATTTCCCAAACCCTAGATAATTAGTTATAAATCGGTTCTGAATCGGTTTAGAAACTATTAAGAACCCATACCAATAAGGTTTTTATGGTCTTGATCAACTGTAATACCTAGTAGACCCCTACCATGAAGGTGTTTCCACTTGACTTTATATCCAAATTTCTTATAAAGTAGTTTAAACACAATTGTATACATCTGCTGATACATTTCTGTACTTTCAGAATTGGTAAAAACTCGGATAAGTGGAATTGCTAAAATAGTTAGGAATCTGTTAAGAATCCGTTCTAAATCGATTTAGAAGCGATTACGCACCTTTCGAAGATATCGAATTATACCATCCCCAAATAACCTCAACTTCCTCCTTTCCAGCTAGATGTTTATAGTTTGTATCTACCTGGAAAGTATTAAAAGCCTCTTTCTTCCATAATTCAGCTTGCTCTGCATGAAATACAATACATAGGTATGTATTGCCGTCATCATTAAAGTACTGAATATACTATAAGTAAATTAGTATTGAACCCGCTCAGAACCGATTCAGAATCACTTCATACCCGAATTTGACGCCTAGTTTGAGCATACTGGTATTCATACCAAATCGCTAGACGTGAACAGCCTGCTGGAAAGCTAATTGCTTCTTGTTTACGGATAATTGAGCGTAAGAAGTCTGTATTTGCTAGACTTTGATGAACGCTTGTAATAGTCTGGCTATTATAAGTATCACAGAATTCCTGAAGTTCGCGAGATTGTAGGAATGCATCTAGAATCAATACTGGATTAGTTCTGAATCGGTTCGGAAACGATTCTAAAAGGATTCTCACTTAACCCCGTTCTAGGTTGATTGATCTTCTGGACTACCTGTTGCAGCCCAGATATAATACCAGCTGGGGCTCTAACTGGTGGTGGTGGTGGATGTAAATGGACCCCATGAGAAGTTAGAAGAATAACTGGGGTAGCTTCTAGATCAAGCGGGACCCAGAAGTTCCATTTTACTGAACACGTAATTTGAAGAATTGTTTCAGGAACGATATGATTAGCGTCTAGATTGATTCAGAATCAGTTGGGAACCCATTTGGAATCGATTCGATACTAATTTACTTACCGCATCGTGTAATTCTCCTCTTATTGCTAGCAAAAAGATAACAGCTATCAGTAGGGGAGCTTTCTTCTATACTTCCCCCTTGAAGTATAGTTTTGATTAGAGGTAAATATAGCTGGAATTCGATTGGAGGAAAGCCAATATAATGGTTTTCTCCTTGGAGACTTTGTGACCAGCAGATGCAGCGGGCTGTAATCTGGGAAGTTCCTGGAATATACTAAAGTGATTCCGAATCAGTTCCAAATTGATTCCCAATCCATTCAGAAAGGCTTCTTACCCCATACTCTGTATTAACTACTTCAAGACTACATCTTTCTGTAAACGGTCGGCAGGCGGTATGTTGTTGGAAACGTTTTATCTGTGCTTGTGCCCATCTATTTATAAGTATTAGTATATTATTTCTAAAAGGGTTCCGAACCCGTTCGGAATCGATTCTGAATGCTTACGAAACTGCTTTCCGTTTGAGATCATACTGTAGTACCTCTGTTCGTAATGCTTCAATACTTTGCAAGATTTCTGGGGTAACTTTCTGATGCTTCCAGCATGGAAGATTCTGATCGAAATAAGAGCATGCCTTTCCACCTGTACAAGTGTAAGTTGAACGTAAACAAACAGCATTTTGAAGGAATGCTGAAGTCGTCCGTTTTGGTGGGAATTGCCGGGCATGGTTGTACTGAATCTGTGATGTAATTAGTTCTGAAGTAGTTCCGGATCGATCCCGGATCGATTCAAAAGTAGTTCGTTTACCATTCTCCAAGGCGATTTAATATCCTCCTCATTTAAAGTCCTTATATCAATAACATAAAGGACTCCATTCTCACTTGTTTCTGGATATTCTATAAATGTAGGTAGAAAGATTACTTTTTGAGCAAGTACATGAACATCCCTGAGGCTATTATGCCCAGAACGGGTTGCCTCTGATGAAACAAGTGTTGGAGGTATTTCTGAATCGGTTTCGAGTTGATCCTGAATCGATTTAGAACTAATTCCAAAGTCGTTCTCATATATCCCTACCTCCTCATTTACTGGTAAGCCAGACTGGGCCTGGGCTGGTAGTTGATAGTAAAGATTTAAGTCTTCTTCAGCTTCTGCATCAAGACTAGTAGGTTCTAATAGAGGACTTATTCCCTCTAGGCGAGGGAAGAGATTTTCAATCGATTGAAGAGCCATTGTAAATCGATTCGGAACGGATTTGGAAGCGTTTAAATGTCGTATGTTCTTACAAAAAGTATGTCAAGGGTGAGGTTTCAAACCGCGCTAAGGAATTTCAACCTGACCATAGCTAACTAGCTGACCATGGTCAGCTGATCTCAGGGTAGCCCCACAAATCACAAAATAAGTGGGTAATTGGTCAGGTTATCCCCCCCCCCCAATGGTCGCCTTGACCACACCCTCCGTTGGCACGGGCACGGCCTTCTTTTACGCCCGTCACTGGGGCACTTGTGTAATCGATCCAACTAGTTCTTCTTCCTTGTTCGGTTCTTCAATTAGGTAGCTGCCGATGTAATGGGTTTCTGTCGCCTGATGCGATTGATTTCCGAGCCTCAAAATCTTGTCCAACTTATACTCATATTGAAGTATCAAGACAACGACACGTTATACCGAGTTCTCGCTGCAGGAAAATGGTCTTACTTCGAGCCAGCCATACAAGCCACCCCTTAATGCCTCGCCTTTTTTACGTGTATCAACCGATATGTACAGAATGATGTGAATGCCTGCGCATGGACCTAATTCAAGGATATTTGAGGTTTCTCGCTCTGGGCAGTCTCGGATGAGAAGAGGAAATCAGAACGGAAGAACGACCAGGACCAAAAGATGCCAATCAACATCAACATTGCTATTGCTTGATTGCACATAAACAAACCAATGCAGTAAACTGTTATCATTCAGCTAATAATCTACTATGATAAATCCTATTTTTTTCTTTATTCTTTTTTGGCTTCTTGCAAGGTATTGCATACTGCCGGAAAGCCGCAACAACACGCAAAGCTAGGCTGCGAGTCTGAACCCACTTCTACCGTGCACTTTTATGACTGGGTTCCATGAGCCATCCCCTTCCCTTTCTCCAGCAGTTCCCTTACGAAATTGCGATGTGTTGTGAAAAGTCGCAGCCGTGGTGTTGATTCTATTTCTTATGATACAGTGGTGCTTCTCATTATTCATGCAGCAGAGCCGAAGATACATTTGAACGCCGTGTTAAAGGCCATGCTTCCAGCGCAAACAATGGGAAACGTGCTTGAGCTTATTGTAGTCTCACTAACAACGTCCTGTCTTATGTACGCAAAAAGGGAGCTTGTTGCTGAATAGCGCCTGAACGGCTAGCCTCAGCTTTCACTGGTTCCACGCAAAGCACAGAAGGAAACTCAGCAAATTGAACCCAAAGGAACGGCCTGATATATCATAGGATTGCCATTAAGTCTCCTAACTTAACAGCAGGAGCTTTGGTAGGAGATGTCAAGAAAGAAAACGGAGCAACCCATGGGGTACAACCCAATTGCCGACTCAATACTCTATTGTTTTATTTTAGGCAGATGGCCGATGCGATGCCTAGATGACGCCACGCGTGTTGTGGCTTGATATCTGGCAGCCTACAACTAGAATAGGCAGCATTGGTCTAGACTAGTCTACCTCAGTGGCATGGCATCTTCATAGGCACTAAGAAGCAGAGATGGTAACCGAATACCCGCGCTACAAGCTTAGTTTCTTATAGCGGCACGTAATTTACCTTAGCATAAAAGGTCTTCAAGCTGGCAACATTATGGTCAGGTTTCAGGTAGCAGAGCGTCTAATTTACCAGAATCGCTAGTAGATACAGCGAATGTATCCCAACAAATTTCCAAGGCCATAACATCAGCTCTAGCTGCAACTTGACTACTGCCTGTGGGGATGGCCAAGATGAACAAGCGATGTGAGGCATTTGTGAACTTAAGAAGCGACTAATCTTGCAATTACAGTTGATGTTCGTCGTGGCAGCCCCTGGTCTAGCCCTTTACTGAGAAGTAGACTTTACTCAAGTCGACCGACTTAAATACTCTCGTCCGCCTGTTCTGTGAGAGCAGAAAATCCACAGTTCCACGGGGTTTTCCCAACACTCTCTTTATCTTTATCGAATTTGGTGTCTTCACCTTTGCCACTCCTTAAAAATGGCACCATTTCGTTTAAGCGTGCTGGGATTGACACAGCTACTTTTATTACCTTCTGTGTCTGGCTTGCCAAGCCAGCATTCTGTGCGCGACCTCGCGTACACTCCTCTCGGCTGCTTCACCGACTTAGCGAACGGCCAAAGAGCAATCAACGACAAGAATGCGGCAACCAACGATATGACTGTTGAGTCGTGTGCTGCTTTTTGCTCGAATTACGCCTTCTTCGGTCTTGAGTACGGCCGGGAGTGCTATTGCGGCAACTCGCGGGATTCCGGTAGCACCGAAGCCGATGCCAATGATTGCTCGTTCTCTTGCGCCGGCGACCCCAGCGGTGTTCAAAGGTGCGGCGCCGGTAACCGCTTGAACCTCTACAGCAACTCAAACTACGCAGCTGCTGCACCCGCATCCCTCCCTGACATCGCCTCTCTTGGCTGCTTTGTCGATAGTGCACAACGCGTCCTTCCGGACAAGATAATTGGCGCTAACGACATGACGGCAGCTAAGTGTGCAGCAAATTGCGTTGGGTATAGCTACTTCGGAACACAATGGTCTTCGGAATGCTATTGCGGCAATACTGTTCCGAGTGTTTCTGCTCCAGCATCCGAGTGTAACATGTTATGCTCTGGTAAAGGCGACGAAGTGTGTGGCGGCAGCCTGAGATTGAATGTCTACAAGCTCCCGTCGACTGCCAATAACCAGCCGTCCACCTCAGCAACAGAGCCCGCTATACCCCCAGTATCAGGCTTTGAATATAAGGGCTGTTATTCTGACGGCATCCCACAGCGCGTCTTAGCTGGAAAAGTTGTTAACGACCCCTCGATGACCATCGAAATGTGCGCGGAGGCGTGCAAAAACTGGGGTTATACTTGGTTTGGTGTTGAATATACAACGGAATGCTACTGCGGCACTGCACTGGACGGGGCAAGTACCAAAGTTGCCGGCACGGAGTGCTCCATGTCATGTGGTGGCAATAACTCACAAAAGTGTGGAGCAGCCAACCGTATCAGTGTATTTGCAAGCTTGAGCGCGGCCGGCCCTGCTACTAATAGCCTCTCCGTCGCCGGGTTTCAGTACGGCTCCTGCTGGACCGACAAAGTGGATGACAGGTCTCTCAAGGCTGTTGACTATCGTACTGACGATATGACGGCCGAGAAGTGCGCAGAAAGATGCCAAGGGTACGCATACTTCGGTCTAGAGTACTCGCGCGAGTGCTATTGTGGTGACCAACTGGGAGGACAGACAGCCCCCGAAAAGGAGTGCGGTATGCTTTGCATGGGTTCAGCCAACCAGTGGTGTGGCGGCCCGGACAGATTGAATGTGTACACACGAGAAACAGCATCTGCATCATCCTCTACACACGCGGTTTCTTCATCCAGTAGCAGTACCGTTGACCCGATAAGTAGCTCAACGAGCAGTCAGATGCCTAGTTCGGACTCTGTTTCTCCATCGTTGACTATATCATCAACAGCAAGCTCAGCGCAATCTTCAACAAGCGATCTGATATCAAGCTCTGACCTATCCTCATCAACAACGGTGGTGTCTTCAACTTCAACATCTTCAGGACCCGACATGACAACAATCACCAACTGTCCCGCCGCCCCCACATACAATGGATCTCCGGAGTTCTGTTATTTGACGGGAAGCCTTCCTGTGGCGTGTCAAACCCTTTCAAAAGGCTTCAATAATTTTCGAGCTATGTCTACTTCGCTTTCAAGCTGTAGCGCGCAAATTAACCGAATGAAAGCATACGGCGCGACTGCCATTCCTCAAGCAACAGCTTGCTTCCCAAGCTTAAGGTCCAATCAAAGTCCGCCCAACGCTGCTGATGGGACAGCGACTGCAATAAGCGTCTACAGTTGCTTGCTAGAGCCGACGAACTCGGTGGCCTGCCAGGTCGACTCAGAGTGCAAGACATCTACCTATGTTGTTGGACAGGTGCCCTCACCAACCCCTTCAATTGGCGTCAACTTGCTCAAAGACGGTGGATTTGAATCTGGCACTACCGGCGAATGGGTAGGCGGCGCCTCTAATCCTCATGTGCAGATCGCTGTAAATGGTGCACGCCCCAGATCGGGTAGCTACAGCCTTACTGAGACCTTCCTTAATACCAATGGCGCCACTTATGCTTTTACTCGGACGATGAAGGTTACCCCTGGCAGAACATATACATTCCAGGTCCCCTACTGGAATTCTAACCCGGCTGCATTAACATCTCTGTATCTCTACGTCTACCCTAATGTTTTTGCGACGGACTTCAATACAGCACAATTATACCAAGCGGCGGCGAATCAATGGTTAGCAAGAACTATCACTTTCACTGCTACATCATCATGGGTTCAGATTCTTTTCTCCTTTGGTGGAAATGTTGGAGGAGGGGTGAACCAGATATACATTGATGATATTTCGTTTGTCCGGTTAAATTAGAACTGTTATGCTCCATGGCGAGTTACCGTCATTGGATGAAGACATTCCCAGCTCTGAATTGACATGGGTGATTTGAACCTCTCCACACACCGAGTGCCTCGATATGCTGAAGAGCACTTACGTGCATGTTAAACCTTTGTGATAATGACGAGTCAGACGAGGGACATAATCGATGGTGGTAACGTAGTGTGACCATGATGCAAACGGGAGGTAAAGTATGCTACCAGCTGATCATGTATGAAGCTGGAACCGACCAATTGGCAAATTTCACGATGCATGTAAATTCCCTACGCATGTTTGGGTCAATTATAAAAAGACCATTATAATGTTGATCTGCTGATTGTTGGGAATTCGCTTATGTAGAATCGATACATGCGGTAAGCCAGGCGAGAATTCCTGCATTGGGACACGAGATTTTACAATCTGCATTTTAGGCAAGTTGTGAATATTACGTAGTATTGTGTAGTTCTTTATGGATTGAGTCCCATGCTGTGACTGCAAGCCGCGGTCGCATTGCCAACCTTTCAGTACCAAATCCAGTCAACTACAGATCACGCTTTGCAAGCTGCCAGCCTTCCTAATATGGACAGTACCGGAACATCACTGGTAATATTCAGTGATAAGTTGTCGGTGCAACCCAGATGGGCTTCCTCGTTTCTCCTTTTACTGGTTCGTCACTTGGTTCCCCGCACATCCATACAATACGAACCAAGTTGACTACCATCGTAGGCTTCGTTGACAGGGCAAAGACGGCCTTGTCTCAAAACGGACGTGCATAACTTCTCAAAATTGACCGGAATCCTACTTGATGTGGATTAAGCTTACGAAGTTCCCTAAAACAACACGACGTCAATAAACGCAAAAGAACCGTAAAGCGATGATATGATGGATAAATAGAAAATATCGGGGCAGCTGTCTCCGGACCATCTGATCCTGGACTGAATATTCAGGAGCCCGTCTAATATTTGGAAAAGACTTAATTGAGGCACTCAAGCTGCCCATAACACAAGTTGGTTTATTTAAAGCCGCATGCTCTTCGCTGTTGAAAATCCTCTCTCTGCCATACTCGACACCAACATCCAAAGCTAGGAAGCAGCATCATTAGCATCAGTACTTTAAACAACATGCAATTTTCCAGTCTCATTAGTTCTCTCATCCTCGCACTCGGCGCAGTCGCTGCTCCAGTCGACCAAAACATTGACTCCCCATACCCCCTTCAGTTTCAAGCTTGGAATTGGGATTGCAATGCATCTGGCGCCCACACTCTTGGAACGTATTTAGGCAACCTTACCCTTGCCGACATATGCCTTCCTCTCCCGAAAGACACTCGTGCATTGGATGTGCAAGTTATTCGTGCCGGATGCCGCAGTACGTTCATCTTTTTCGTTGTTACGTGGCTTTTGGATGGCTCGCTCAACCAGCGTCATGAATATATGGGCGCTTGACTAATAAAACATCTTTGTAGTTACCGCTTTCCAAGAACCCATGTGCAACGATTATCCACAAGAAGGAAGCTACAAGGAGAACCTTGGCTGCCTTTGGACTGCCCGCGATTACCGATCTTATAAGCTGACCTGTAAATAAACGATCGTGCACTGTTAGTATTGCTAGGGGAGGCACATAGGCGATCTGCTAGTATGCTCGGGAGGAGACAGGCATAGTATGGTTCAGTGAGACATATCTGCAACACCACGCTCCTTGAACAGTTTAGTACGGAAGTAGACAGTTGTATTGTTCTTAAAAAAACGTAAAAATAAAACCATGTTGCAGTATCACGTAAAATTAGTCAAGACGAGTGAAGTGTTCAGAAACTTTTCAAATGCTTTTCTTTATGAAAGCCCTGCCCACTGGTAGTCGAGATCGTTTTGTTGTCTGCTTTTTTTTGTCGTTTCTTGTTTACTAACAAAATCCACCGATGTGAACACAGCAACCCTCCTTCAGATGACGTGTACTCCCTGTATTAACCAATAACCCTAATTTCTAATGCCCATAACAATAGTTTGTCAAAACACCGCCGAACACAAAAGCCCAATAGGAAACCTTTTCTGGGCCTTGAACTTTGAGTGAGATTAAAACTGCGCATTGTTAGTAGGGCGAAGCTGAAATGAGTAGGCATAGAACATCTAGCTCGTAACTGACCCGAAATTTTCAGATTCACCTTGTCGGAGTACTAGCGAATATTGTTGAAGGGGTAAATTGAAATTCGAATGATTAAGCTTCTTCCGACGTGAAGAACCCATCCACAATTTTCTGTCAGTGTTCACGCGCTCGACCATACGATATGGTGATTCGAGAAGTAGATAAAGAAACTGACAATAGGTAAAAGCGAATAATCTGTCGTGTGTATTAACTTCCTTTCAACTTCAATCGTACTTATCAAAACAAGTATCCGCTTGTTATCGAAAAGATACAATGAAGTTTATACAAAACCCATAGAGTATTGCCTTGCCATTGCTAGATTTACACCTTCACAGATTCTCCTAAGCTAGGAGGGGTTTCACAGGCTCCGTTGACCAAAGATCCGCAACTTTAGCATCTGTAGCTCCTGATGCGGTCATTCCAATCCGCCGGGATAGTTGCGTGTCTTCCACTTCCAATAACAGTGGATTGACCTCTGCAAAGAATTTCGCTGTGAGTAGGTATGATGTGTTAGCAAACAAGCACTGCAAAAAATGTTACCAAAGTGTGAAAAATGTTCAGTAAATACATACTCAAAGTAAGTGCAGGGAGCAGTGGTTATCATGGAGCTGATTTGACCTTTCCATTCCCAGAGTTGATCTTTTATGCCAGTATCCATTAGTGAAAGGAACAAAGATAAAAGACGTCTGGGCAAACGCCTTGTGTTGCAGATACGTACTGCATACTCCCGGCTCAGAGTCCCCTGATATTCCCCTTCCCTGAAAGTTTGCGTCCATGTAAAACGCAACATGAACTGCTCGCTTCTCAACTATAGGATCTCCGCTCACAGGACTGCTTGCGGCCATGGCAGCCAAGGAGACGATGGGGATAATCGATGACAGATACATGTTGGAGAAGGTTATGAAGAAAGTAGTTTGAAATTCGGATTGAACCTAGGGTTTTTGATTCTTATTCACAATAAAAGGACACCTTATATACTTATAATTGAGTTGGAATCAGACGGCATTGGACTCAAAAATCTTAGGGAGTATTCCTCATTTACCTTCCTCATTGGGGAAAATAACCCCAAACGGAACCCAAAATCTAATTTGGAAGTATTCCTGAATACAAGCAAGTGCTAAATAATTGGGATGGCTACTGCTAATCGCTTTCGGATTATCACCATGCAAATATGACAGCTTGGTCACATATCGAGATATTTGCAACTGCCCATCCGTACCAACCATACACTTCGCCAAGTTTCTTCGAATTTGGGATATAATGATAAGTCGACCGCTTGTTGCGGTGCTGCATTTTAGTGGGGCAGTGATTATGGGGCACGCCTCTTGAGTTATAGCAGACCGCTGGTTGCAGACTCTTGGTGGATCACGCTGGGAAACGGCGATCAGGTTTAGTGCGCATCCGCCCCACCAAACTTAGTCGCTCTTTCTTTGCTGCCTTAAAGGATTTGCTGCCAAGAATTCGTATAACTAACAACGCGACAAGTTTCCATTTGTTCCAGGGAAAAAGCCATTCTTTTATTCGAATCTGTTGGTAAACAAACACAGCTTGAAGCCAGCCCCACACGGCGCAGCAGGATAACCGCTCAACTAGGTAACGAAGGAAAAAGCAAGAGAGGAGCAGTCGAACCCAGAAGGCCTATCTATCGAGAAGAAATTTCTTGGGACCAATCAGGGACAGGAACGTTCTGCCAAGAGCATCCCTATAGACAGGACTGACAGTACGGCGTCGGTCCCCAGGGTCCTCCGAATAGTACATGGATCAGGACTCCAGTCTAGCACTCGAGGACTTCTCATAGTTCTTTAATTACCAACCTTGTAGTTCTTTTTGAATGACTTCCAGCTAAAGTGTGACAGCATCGTGAAAGAATCGTTACTTCGTTACCTAGTTTAATACTGAGCACTTTGCTCTAAATCTCGATCTACCAGTCAGGTGTATAGGTTGGCAACTTACGCTCTAGGTGGTCTGGCAGCCTCAGCTTCTGTAAACAAACCCACTCTCATATAGTCTAGTTTAATCAGCAATTGTAAGTTGTTTGAACCGGTGACATAGCGCAAGTCCCTAATTTTGGGACCGAAAAGTCTAATAGATGTATCAAAAGAAACCAACAGGAGTTCGACAAACATTAGTAAAACCCCCGCTCTAAGTCTTTTGTGACATGTAGTTCGACAGGCAATGGTAATCTAACGTTTAACAACATCTTTGGGGTGCCGTCGACGCAGCTCAAGCTAGGAAAGATTTTCATCAGTGTGCAAGAAGCAGAAACTGTCTGGTCTTATGGAAGGGGCGCTCGAGTATCTTTCCCGGCCAGAGCAATATCGACGTGCCCACAATCATCACATCAGCCATCGTTTCGCCATCGATCTCCTCAGCGCTTCCTGCCCAGTAACCCAAACGAAGAGTCAACTACCGATAGTGAAGGAAATCACTGTGAGCGATGATGAAGACTGTAGTCTTTAGCTATGCATAACAGCAGGCCCAGTACCTGAACACGCGAAGTTGTACCCTTGGTTCTTCTGGCACTAGGTGACATACTGCAGCTTGGGGCAATGGAGAAATTCCGCGGGAAGCATTCATCAATATCGATGCGTATCGAGAATAACTGTACGAGAGAGCGCAAAGATATGACTTTGGTTATTCCACTGGACATCAAAAGTGGAACGCCAAAGTCCTCGAAGTTTGTGAAGTATAAGTCTGCCCTCGCCGTAACTTTAAGTCCTTCTCATGCCTTCAGCCCGTTTCTCAAGGCTTTCTGCACTGAGAATCCTTCATAACGGCCTTACGAACGTTGCATCCACATAAAAGATACACCAGATAAGAAACCATGTCGACATTTTCAGCAGAGAGATTTCCTGACCGGCAACGCAGCGGTGATGACCGTTTCGAAAGTGACAATATCAGACAAGGCCACCTTACCACCACGAAACTTTTTCATTATCATCTCCGTCGCGTTCTAACTTTCGTCGCGGCTTCCAATTCCTATTGGTTTGGGAGTGCCCGCAAGCGCATCAGAGATTGATGCCAAGTTTTCCGATCAGGTAAGGTATATCAAGAACTCGAAATTCATGACCTGTGTCGAGAACGAACTCATGCGATGGCAATTCAATTATACCGCAACTTTCACGTAGAAAGCTCTTCCGGTGTTTCAGGTCGCCAGGTAAATCCCATAGTCGGGACAGGAAATTTGATGACATTGTCGGGTGTCACAAATATCATGAAGAGTTGTCCGATGGAACCATTTGGAAGCCTTCATCGATAAGAATTTAAAAAATTATCTTTGGCAAGATTGAACCAATCTCGAGAAACAGTCATTCAGGAACTATACTGATGTTTTTAGGCCATAGCACCGTACACGAAACCTGCGCGAATGGCCCCGGGAAAAGGACCGGGGGGATGAATGGATTACTAATTAGTCGCCGCTCCGTTTTGCCCTTCACTTTACTGAAGTTTGGTGGCTGTCAACCGACCCATTAGTCCCTCGTATCATGACCCAAAAGTAGCAGTTCGACTATTGTCTTTTGCTCAGACTGATACAATTTGTCTACAATACATCCGCCTATTGTTACGTTACGACCGATGCATTTGATCACTATACGCGCAGCTACATGTAGCAGAATAGGGAATTTTGGAAATGTCTTTATCACTACTGAGGATTTGTTTTATGTTACAGTTCGTTGCCCCGATTTACTTGTAGCAATGTTCAAACATGTGGCCTTATCAAACAAACCCGCAAGTCAACCAGAAGAAGACCCTCACCACCCTCAGCGGAAGACTGGAGTCATTGAACAGCACGCTATGAAGCGCCTCATAATGCAGGAGGTTCAGTCTATCTCTAATTAGAGAGGTTTGATGACAACCATTATAAAGTGAACCTTAAATACAATTAGGCACTCTCAACCAGTAGGGCTCTGAGACGAGCTGCCGCTCTTGTTTTGGTATGTCATTCAACCGGAAGCGAACTAACGTCGCACACCCACTTCTCGCACACCCCCACATTTCGCACACCCATAAATTGGGTCATCATGAGGTATTCATCAACTTCATAACTATAAGTCTGATTCGTCTCCTGCAACTGTGATACTATCGCCAGTTTTAATAGGTAATTCAGGCTCGCTAGATTCATCTGAGCTATCCTCAATTTCGCCAGCCTCAATTTGGGCTTTGTGAATTGCCTCAATGTTGGCAAACTTCGAATTTGGGCTCATTTGGACCTTACGCCGCTTCCGTACCATTCCAGCCTCAACTTCTGCTTCCAACATTGCAATCTTCTTCTCTGCTGTAGCCAATTGATAGTCCTTTTCATCAAATCCCTTTTGAACCTTCCGAAACAACAGTCGCTGCGTTTGCTGATCTTTATCCAACTTGCTGAATAAGCTAAGTTGATCATATAGATCAACTGTCTTCTTGGGCGTTGACCAGGCTACTATGGATGTAGCAGATGCCCAGTTTTCGTCTTTTCCACCATCAGAGGCCCTCATAGGCGTAGAATAGCCTGGCTTTGAGGGCTTGGAAGCATTCTCAAGCAGTAGAGGGCTCATGAGCGGTCGAGCTATCGAAATGGGCCATAGTCCTGTTGCTTTCCAGCCGCTTCTGATATTCTTGCTTGAAAATGCCATCTGGCGTGCTTTTCCATGTTACGACCCGTAAACAAGGATAACAGCTGAACGACCCACTTGGGCGTCGGGCGGCTAGAACAGGACATTTGATTGATTGATTGATTTATTCCTACTCGGTTATGAAGCCGCTCTTATGCCAGCAGCTATGCCCGGAAAGCGGGGTTTGGCAGGTAGCCGAAGCGTCGACAATGAACAGCGACGCCCCACTTCGCCCTGATGTTGCATCAGGGCCAGCTATCCCCAAGCTCCCCACTATGTTCTCTATTCTGTGTGTTTGTGCCCTCTGTTGAAGAAGTGTGTTGCTCTCCTGTCTGCTTTCTCGCTTTTGTGTTGCTCTCTAGAATGCTTGTTTTGCGTCCTCCTGCTTCGGTTCAGTTGGTGCTGGTAGCACCGTATCTGGTTCTTTGTACCTACAGTCTCCCCCCAGCGCTCAGCTTTGTCTCTTTGTTTTGTCCGTATCCTCCCGGACTTGTATGTGCCGTTTTCTCAGTTGCATCTGTAAATTCTTTGTTGCCTCCTGCCGGGTTCCTATGTGGCCTCTTGTTTCTTGCCTGTTGACCACTATTGCCCTCCACCACATTGGCCCAAGGGTCTTCCACGAAGCACAATGCTCCACTGACTCCGACATGTTCGATTACTGGGTATGAGAGCTCCCGCACAGATTCCGCAGACATTGTCGCGCGTTGAAGGGACACCAATCCTTCTTCGCAAAAGGGGCGACAGGGGACCAGTCTGTCTGTGGTCTGTAGTATTGTGTGGCATCGATCGTAGCATGCCTAATGCCTGGTGCTTTCTCCGTGCGGAAGGTGATACTGTTCTGTCGGACTCATCTTCGTCGTTGTGGGACGTTGCAAACTTTGTCGGGGGTGACAGGTGACCTAAAACCTGTCGGCGGCTGTTGTGTTGAAGTTGATTGTTTGGGCGCAGTCTTAGTGCTTCGTGTAGCGGCTTGTGGCTCGCCTGTGGTGGTGGTAACAGTGTTGTCTATTGATATGTCGTATTTTGCGGCTTGCTCTCAAGTTTTTCATTGTAGTCGGGGCGTGCTCTGCGGCCATCTTGGGCCCCTTTGGGACGTAGAATCAAGGCTGAGGATGGCATTGCATCGAAGGGGGCTCTGTGGCCGCGAGCACGCGTATTTGGGGCCGTTTTTGCTCCGATTTTCAAAAATTTCGTTCTCGCTGTTGTTGATGTTTTGAACAGGACATTTGTACTGCAGGATCACGGGAACAACAGGGACTCACTCGGGAACGGAAGAACTATGGTACAAGTCACGTGATGATAAGATAAGACTGAGCAGGTAGTATGGGTCACTGAGCGCTCAGTCAGAGCTACTGAGCGCTCACCAACGATCACTGATCGCTCACCGGTACCTGATTGTTACGGCCAGCTAACTGACAGTGGGTTTGTGTTAACAGTAAGCCAGGGATTGAGAGTAGTAACAGTCGTTCCGTGGTCCTGGTCGAATAGATCGTAGATCTTCAAAGGTCTTGGTGATCAGTCAAGGCCTCAACAAGAGTCGTAGAGTAGTCGTCACTTAGGTATAGCTGAAAGTACCGGTTAGGGTAATCACAAAGTTGATTGCTGAAGAGCTATGGAAGTCTGACCATGGGCCGAGCTCAGGTCATACTATATACAAGTCCTGGACAGTCCCTGTGTCTTGTCGCTGATCACTGATCAGGTACCGGTGAGCGATCAGTGATCGTTGGTGAGCGCTTAGTAGCTCTGACTGAGCGCTCAGTGACCCATACTACTTGCTTAGTCTTATCTTATCATCACGTGACTTGTACCATAGTTCTTCCGTTCCCGAGTGAGTCCCTGTTGTGATCCTGCAGTACAAAGATCAACAACAGCGAGAACGAAAAACATCAACAACAGCGAGAACGAAATTTTTGAAAATCGGAGCAAAAACGGCCCCAAATACGCGTGCTCGCGGCCACAGAGCCCCCTTCGATGCAATGCCATCCTCGGCCTTGATTCTACGTCCCAAAGGGGCCCAAGATGGCCGCAGAGCACGCCCCGACTACAATGAAAAACTTAAGAGCAAGCCGCAAAATACGACATATCAATAGACAACACTGTTACCACCACCACAGGCGAGCCACAAGCCGCTACACGAAGCACTAAGACTGCGCCCAAACAATCAACTTCAACACAACAGCCGCCGACAGGTTTTGGGTCACCTGTCACCCCCGACAAAGTTTGCAACGTCCCACAACGACGAAGATGAGTCCGACAGAACAGTATCACCTTCCGCACGGAGAAAGCACCAGGCATTAGGCATGCTACGATCGATGCCACACAATACTACAGACCACAGACAGACTGGTCCCCTGTCGCCCCTTTTGCGAAGAAGGATTGGTGTCCCTTCAACGCGCGACAATGTCTGCGGAATCTGTGCGGGAGCTCTCATACCCAGTAATCGAACATGTCGGAGTCAGTGGAGCATTGTGCTTCGTGGAAGACCCTTGGGCCAATGTGGTGGAGGGCAATAGTGGTCAACAGGCAAGAAACAAGAGGCCACATAGGAACCCGGCAGGAGGCAACAAAGAATTTACAGATGCAACTGAGAAAACGGCACATACAAGTCCGGGAGGATACGGACAAAACAAAGAGACAAAGCTGAGCGCTGGGGGGAGACTGTAGGTACAAAGAACCAGATACGGTGCTACCAGCACCAACTGAACCGAAGCAGGAGGACGCAAAACAAGCATTCTAGAGAGCAACACAAAAGCGAGAAAGCAGACAGGAGAGCAACACACTTCTTCAACAGAGGGCACAAACACACAGAATAGAGAACATAGTGGGGAGCTTGGGGATAGCTGGCCCTGATGCAACATCAGGGCGAAGTGGGGCGTCGCTGTTCATTGTCGACGCTTCGGCTACCTGCCAAACCCCGCTTTCCGGGCATAGCTGCTGGCATAAGAGCGGCTTCATAACCGAGTAGGAATAAATCAATCAATCAATCAATCAACAGCGAGAACGAAATTTTTGAAAACAGCATCAAATTGATCAAACCACGCCCGCTCGCGCTCTCAGAGGTCACTTTGGGCATAATGTCATCCTCGGCATTGATTCTGCTCCCAAAGAGCCTGCTCGTGGCCGCGGGCGGGCTCTGACCACGAAAAATTCGAGAGCAAGCCACAAAGTATGACACGTCAATAGACAACACCATCGACACCACCGCGGTTGAGTCACGGGCTATCACGTGAGCACAACGACCAAGCCCAAACAAACATCAACACCACAGCCACCGATAGGTTATGGGTCGCCTATCACCCCCGACAAAGTTTGCAACGTCCCGCGACAACAACGACGACAAGCCCGACAGAACGGTATCACCTCCTGCATAGAGAAAGCACCAGACACCAGGCATGCTACGATCGATGCCACAAAATACTACAGTTTGCAGACAGATTGGTCCCCTGTCGCCCCCTCCGCGAAGAAGGATTGTCGCCCCTTCAACGTATGACAATGTCTGCGGAATCTGTGTACGAGCTCTCATACTTAGTAATCGGACGAATCGAAGCGGTTGGAGCATTGTGTTTTGCGGATTGAGTCCGACTCCAGGCGGTGGATGGAGGTGGTGGTCGAAAGATGGAAACATAGAGCCACATAGGAACCCAGCATGAGGCAACAAAAAGATTTACAGATTCAACTGAGATATAGCACATGCGAGTCTGAGAGGATGCGGACAAGATAAAGAGACGAAGCTGAGGGCTGGGGGGAGACTATAGGTATACAGAACCAGACATGGTGCCTAGCACCAACAGAACCGAAGTAGGAGGACGCGAAAGAAGGATTCTAGAAGGCAACACCAAGCGAGAGAGCAGGCAGGAGGACAACAATCTTCAACAGAGGGCATAAACACACAAGAATAGATAGCATAGTGGGAGCTTGGGGACAGCTGGTCCTGATCCAACAACAGGGCGAAGTGGGGCGTCGCGGTTTATCGTCGATGCTTCGGCTGTCTGCCAAACCCCGCTTTCCGGGCATAGCTGCTAGCATAAGAGCGGCTTCATAACCGTGTAGGAATCAATCAATCAATCAATCACCTGCAGTACAAATGTCCTGTTCTAGCCGCCCGACGCCCAAGTGGGTCGTTCAGCTGTTATCCTTGTTTACGGGTCGTAACATCAGGTCTCCTCTCCAAGGGTCTTGTCCTCAAGACCAGCTTAAGTAGGTCGTCTGCCCTCAGGTGGGAGGGCGCCCAACTTGCTTCCTTTAATGATGCTCACATCATGTCAGGTCGCGTTAAAAAACGAAAGGTCGTACGAGCGTTCGATTCTCGTGCGGAAAAGACAAAGCAGCGCGATTCCCTCTTGAGTCTTATCTTGGGCAATCGTACCGTCATGCCTGTTTGTTCCTCCTGTGAGGTAAAGGGTTTTTCGTCGTGCGAAGCTTCTCTTTCTGATTCCTCTCGATGCGCCGAATGCGTTCGTGGCGGCAAGTCCTACTGCGACCTTCAGGGTCTCAGTGCCCAACAACTTCGTCGGATTGGTGATCAGCATCAGAAGCTTGAGGATGCTTTGGAGAAGGCAGAAGAGGAGCGTCGTGCTCTGGACGCCAAAGTAGAGCGTCTTCGAAAGCAGAAAAAGATGTGGTTTGAAAAGATGATGCGCGCGGTGCGCCGTGGTATCGACAGTGTGGAGGAGTTAGAGCGTGTTGAGAGAGAGGAGGCAGAGGCAGAGCAGCGTCGGGTAGAACCGGTTCGTCCTTCGGCTGATTCGCCTCGTCTGCCGGTGGAGTTCACAGCGGATTGGGATACCCTGTACCCGGATGTCGCTTTGTCGCCATCCTTGTTGGCTGAGTTTGGTTTGTTGGATTCAGGGTCGGTTGTTGAGAGGCGGAGTACTCCTGAAGCGTCTCCTGGGGGTGTTGGAGGCCCTTAGTGGGTTCCTTTAGGTGGCTCTAGGGTTCCTAAACGAATGAGAGGGTGTTTATCCCGTGGCTTGTTTGATCGTGGTGGACGGATGATGGGTTGTGGTTGTCGTAGTCGAAAT